CACTCTTTTCTCTTCATATATTATTTCCTTCATTCATTATTATTGTATATCCACCCTTTTTACTGTCCTATTTCTTCAAAAAAAAAAACTTTAATACACAACTATTCTTATTTCTTTTTGTTTTATTTATAATCTCATTCACTTAATTCCACTTTTGTGATTCATCATTCTTTTCATTCCATCTTAGTCCAATTATTGCTTTATAACATATCTTTATACTATTACTGTCTATATTTTCTATTTTGATTATAACATACTCTATGATACACTTTCAAGAGAGAAAATAACTCCATCAAATCAACAAATTAACGGTAAAGATTCTCCACATTAACAATTTGTCGAATGATATTCATTAAACCATATCTAAATTTGAATGAAACAATGCCATAACTAAGACAAATGTTTTATTCGTAGTTAAGTTAGTAACTAATACTATATAATCCCATCTTCTGTAGTCAGAGTGTAATGACAAGAAACAATTGTTAATAATCGTTGATGAGGAAGAAAACTAGATATTAATTCTAAAACGTATAAGTTAATTCTAATTAAAGTCAATCTCATCAAAATGATTATCAACCATTATTTATGAAACTAAATATCATTCTTCATTTGTTCATAAATGAGTTATTATCATTAAATGATTTTATATTCATTGTTTTATTAGAAATAAAAGTCTAAAGAGACTATTGAAATTTTATTCTCTCTAAAAATAGTTGAAACAAAGAGTATAAAAATGGATAAAAATCTTTTTTTCATTATGTCTATTTGAAAGAACTACAATGGATATATTTTAATATTCATTTAATTAAATATTTGTTATTAGAAGAAAAGAAAGAAAATATATGGAGTAATAAATAGTCATAGTATTTAATAATATGACATATACAAAAAGTTACGTTATAACAAAATAATAAGGAATGTTTAAATCTTTATGTAAAATATTATTTTAAATAAATACTATGTTAGTAAATAACACAACACCAAATGTATTATCATCTATCAACAAAATTTATTCTAAAAGTTAACTGTGCTAGCTTAAGTCAAAGAAATTTATATATTTTGAGGTTTATAATATTATACTAATTCTTATATTTTTTGAAAAATATTAAGTAAATTTGTCTTTTATAATATTGAGTCAATATTCTCGATTAATTATGAATTATTTTTGTATTTTGTAAATGAGTCTTATGATTAAATTCATGATTTGTTAGTTTATTTTTGCTTTCTTTTTCTGAAATACTTACCCTTTATTATTACCCTTATTTTTTGATAACCATGAAATCAACTTATTGATACATGATCACTCAGGTATGTTATTGACATACTTTATTAATCGATATCAATAATGACTGAAATGAATTTATTCTTATTTTTTGAATGATTTTGTATTGAATATTTCTAGTTTAATAAAAATATTTCATTTCAATGTTATATTATATCATATATAAAGACAGTTTTGTCTTTAAAAAAATAAAGAATAGTATAACACTAAATCTAATTATATAAACTCTTTGCATATGATGTTAGTCAAATGGTCATTGTTTATATTAAATTTGTGTTTCAAAAAGTATTTGTTAATAGTTTTATAATTATTTATTTGTCTATATCTTATTTGAGTCACAACTGTTTGTTCGGTATTAAGTTATTTAATCATGACGTTCAAATTAGATCAATCTGAAGATATAATAAAACAAATGATAGTGAAGCACAAGTTAAACTTAAGTAATAAAAAGTATTAACAAAGCCTATAAAATTCTCCTTTAAATTTAACAATGACTATTAATAATTAAATTCACTGGTTTGATTGTTTTATGACATTTGTTGAAGTAAAACAGTTTATTAAAATAAACTGTGTGAAAGTAATTTATTCTATCAATTAAAATCACTAAAAAAGCTCAGTTGTACCAATTATTCACAAATAAACAGAATAGAATTTATTTTATATTATTGGAATGTCATTAAAGTCAGTGTACAATAAAATAGGTTTTGTGGGTGTTATGAAGGAAGAATGAAACATAAATGTTTTTCTTTATGGTATATTAATTTTTGTATCTTTTAAGATTAGACAGCTATTTTTTTCACATGAACAAAGAAGTAATGCTCTTCCTTTGGACTTTAACAAATTACTTAATGTCACACAATAAAATTGGTTGAATTAAGTTATTTACATATGTAATAATAAAACATAAAAACAAGAAATGAAAAATAATAAGAAATTGGTTACAATCATTAAATAAGTTGTTGAGATTTAATAGAGTACCAACCTAAAATTAATTTTCTATATAGAAGAATAATATCAAACAATAACAAGAAGAGTAATGCTGTTGTAGAGAGAATAACAATGATAAAAGATCCAACACCAAGCCACTTATTATCTTCATCAACAAGTATAGAATAATTATCAAATAATGGCTTAATAAGACAAAATGGAATAATGTATAATACTCTTAAAATTATGAGAAGTGAACATAAAGAGAGTATAAAAGAAAATTTAATACTCAAGTTTAGTTTTAAAAATTCAATGTTTTTAATCACTTCAAGAATATCTAATATAATGATAAATATTACTGAAAAACGGTAGTAATGAATAATGAAGGCGTATATCAAAAATAACCCTTTTAATAATTGATAAGCAATTTCATTATACTGAGTAAATGAAGTAACAAATTGGAATATAATTGAATGAATAATATGCCCTAGTTGAAAACAAATAAAGAATAATAAGCTTGAAGACAAAGATGTATTAGGATAATTTTCAAATAATGAGGTTGTTTCTTCTTTTCCAAACAATTCTGATGGAAACCAATCTTCTAATCTAAATACATGAAAGCTGAATGGAATTAAAATAAGATTAACACCAATGTCATAAATAGAAGTTGCATATAAATGACCTTTTTCTCTACGACGTAATTTAGGTAAGGAAAAAGGAAGGACAGAATGAAACAATGGACGAAGAATAAAGTATTCAATAATTATTCTACACCCACTAATAATACAACACGGGATAATTGTTCCTACAAGCCCTTTCATTAAATGTGCTAATGAATTTATTTGAAAAGTAAATATTAACGGCAAGTATATTAAAATTAATGGTATTAATGCAAGGTCAATGTGAAAATGAGTTTGGTCATTTTGAACACCTTCAGTTTGATAATTTAATGGGTCATTGAGTATTTCATCTTCCATTTTCTAAATGAAAAAAAATCTAAATATTTTTCTTTCACATTTAAATTCCATGTTTTTTAAGATTTTTACATTTGGCATTTTTTTTATTTAGTTATTTAAAACATAATTTGAAAATTTTAATATTCTCCAAATTGTCACAATTAATTTTTATTATTCTAAATAATTTATTTAATGAAAGGAAAGTATCTTTATTGCTGAAATCTCTTTTCAATAGTTCTATTATGTCTATTGATTGTTTAAAATCAGCAAGAAAATCGAGTGTATATGTATTTCTTAGTATAGAATTTGAATCGAAAATTACATGTCGAACATTTATATTGTTTTCCGAGTTATAATAATCATAAATTTTTAATTAATGCTTTTAGCTTATTAGTTATTATGAGTTATACTGTTTTTAACACACCAAACCATCCATTGTTCTACAATGTGTTTGGTTAAAAACTCAAACAAATAAGTCCATCTTTTTTTTATGGATGTGAATATGAAAAAGTTATTCAGTTTTATGCATTTAGTTGCTTAAAAAATAAAGTTCCTCATTTGTGGAGTTTCAAGGTTATGTCCTAAGTCATGAACGGTTATCAGAGTCACATAATACAACAATTTTTGGTTGTGAATTAAAAGACTTGTTGAGACAATGGAAAATCAAACAAACCCAAACAAATGGATAAATTTTGATTAACAAAAGAAGGTGATGATGATTATCACAGGTAATGAGATTTCATTTTGATTATTGATATTGGTGAAACAATCCATTAAAGATATGATGAGTTGAACGAAAAACAATCATTAAGTATAAAAAAAAAATATATGAAAAGTGAATGAAAAAAATAAAAAAGTAAGTTATGATGTAATGAAATAGGAAAAATAAAATAAGAATTAAAAGAAAAGCATAATAATACAATTATAGATGGTACTTTACTAGATGGTTGAGAGAGGTAATTAGAGAAGAAGGAATACAAGGGATTTGATGAATAGAAGATGTACATAAATCTGACAAAGAGTAATGAGACAATAAGAATTGAGCAGTAAATGGTTGGATAAAAGAGATTGAAGTTAGTAAATGTTCAAACACTGACTCTCGGTCAATTAACCAATCTCTTGGATCAGATTGAGGAGTAAGGGAATGAAGAAGTAAAGAAATAGATGAAGGTTCTATTGAAAAGTAAATAGGAAAATGGTATTTCATAAAGAGAGAGAAGATAGAGATGAAGCAAAGCAAAGAAGATACTGAGTTGTGCTGAAATAAAAGGCAAATAGAGTTTGTGTTAAAATAAGAAGAAACAGAAAGTATATTGTCTTTCCAACTAACATGAGATAAATCAATGATAATGACCAATTGATTTGATGAACAAAACACCAGAGAAGATGAACAAAATCTTGAAATACATTGAATAGATGGATCTGACTGAAACAATTGAATAACACTTTCACTCACAATACATTTAATGGAATAATTCCTTTGAATAAAAAGAGGAGGAAGATAAGTAACAATTTGCTGGGTTTTAATTTCTTTGAGTTTTATTTGTAAAGTGTCAATATCTTTAATATGTTTTCTCATTAATTCATTTGATAATGCTATTGAACCAATAGATGGGATTTTTTGTAATGAGTTAATAACAAGAGTTAATGTAATTTTATTAGTTAAACATAATTCTCCTATTAAACTAATTGTTAGAAGATCATTTGGAAAAATAACTAATAGCTCTGTGATAAGATTCCATTTAATTTCTTTAATTTCTTTTGTTTGGATTAATGGATTGAAAGAAATTATGTCAAAGAGTTTTGTGTTTCTTGTTTTTATCCAATGATTAACAACTTCTTCAATTTGGTTATCAATAACTATTCCATTTTCATAATTTCTTTTAATTTCATCAAATTCTTGTTGAGATAATTTATCAATAACACTTCCAATATCGTCTGTTTGAACTAATTTAGTTATTAGTTCGTTAGGTTGATTTGTTTCAATGAGAAATTTGAGTAATTTTTCTTTCACCGGACAATTTTCTGTATTAATGATATGATATGTAATTGGTTTAAATCCTTTTCTGATACAGTCTTTTTGTTTTGTTATTTGTTCTTGGTTGATTTTGTCGATATAATTAAAACAAATCCCATGGTTTGACAACTTATTAATATAAAAGACTTGGTTGTACTTCTTAATAATATCTTCTCTAATATCTTTTAAGCTAATAAATGAAATCATGTCATTATTTTCTTTTGTTTTATCTTCTTGAATCAAACCAAATGAACAATTAGCGTCTTTTTCAAGATAATATACAATCAATATTTGAATATAATCAACAAATATTGGTTCACAACAAATAAGAAATTTTGCATTTGGTTGAACCTGGATTATAGAGTTCATTTCTGTTGCAATGAATGAAACAAGATAACAAGGAGATAAAAATAAATTTCTTCTCTTTCTATTTTCTGTTGTCATTGTTTTGTAACTTTGTACAAAATCATTGCTATCAACAAGATAAATCATTTTCTTGATATTAGTCATAACATTAGTTGGAATAATAACTTCTTTATGTTTTTTATTCCAAGGAAATGTTTTGTTCAATTCATTCATTTGAAAAATATTTTCATTTGTTAAATTAAAGTACTGGTCAACTTTATTCATTAATTTCTCTCTAATTTTACTTTTAATCTCAATTGGTTTGATGTAAGGTAAATCTATTTCTTTATTTTCTTCTTTCTTTATTCTTTTCTTAAATTTACTTGTTCCTTTATTTTGTATTACCGTTTTTCTGTTTTTAAATCTTTCCTTTAGTTCTTGTGAATATGATATATTAAATGTCATCTCTTTCATTAGTTTTTCTGCTTTTTCTATTTCTTCTTTTGGATTTTTTATTTGAATAATTTGGTTCTTTTGTGGTATTTCTTCTTTTGTTTCGGCTTTTGTTTTTTCTTCAATTTGTTTACTGATTTTAGTTGTTATAGATTTCATTTCATTTAATATTTCTTGTATTTCATTAGAGTCAATAGAACTTGTTTCTTCTTTATTGTTTTCTTCTTCTATTTCAAAATCTTCATTTGTCATTATTGTCTTTACTTTTTCTGGCATTTTCTCTTCTTTTTTTATTACTTCATTTCCTCTTTTTGGTTCTTTTAGTTCAGTCATTTTAAGTAATGCCATCCTTCCATACTTCTCTTTAAAAGACACTGTATTAAGGTCAAACACTCTTAAATTATATTCTTCAATAAAAAACTTCTTTGTGATGAATGGAAAAAGTAATGTCGAGTTTTTTGTTTTGACATTTGGTAATTGTAAATTATTGAGATTTTTCATTTTCCAAATTATGTCTTTCTTCTCTTTCCATTTTTCCATCCATTTCTTTCCATCTTTCTTTACTCTTTCCCAACTTTCTTCATTTTCAATTATCATTTTTGTTTCTATCTGTATGTCTTGTTCAAATTCATTTTCTAATATTGGATCAAATAAAACTTCCTCTATCTCAAAAAGTTGGCTATCTTTTGCACAACTTATTTTCTCATTATTAAAAGAACTTTCTTCGTTAATCACTTGATGGTTAAATGGACTGACATGTAATGTTATTCCATTAAAACAATGATGTTCTTGTATTTCTAATTGTTGTTGAAATGGTGGAGAAACAAATTCCACTTCATATTTATCAAATAGAATTTCATCCATTACAATATCAACTTCATGCCAAATTATTTTAAAAACATTTTCATTATCAACTTCTTTGTTAATTGTTTTATAGCATGGAGTTGGAATATCAAAATAATCCGTATCTTCTTTTTCTGTATCTGTAATTACTTCAAATGGGGTTTGACTAAGCACTAATTCAATCATTTTGCTTGAAGGAATTTGTTGAGGTTTTCCAAGACATAATTTATCAAAAATATCATTATTGATATGAAATTCATCAATGAATGGTAATGTAAATTCCATCAATTGATTATTTGAACAATGTAGTATTTCTGAATTCTTTTGTTGAAGTTTTGGATGATTATATTTAAGTGTCATACCATTCTTGTTGTTTGTTGGTATCTTGACCCTTTGTTTCTTTAGCTTCTTACTTATCAGCATCCCAAGAGTAGGAAATGAAGGACGACAAAATGATGGAATTGGACATTCAATAATTTTACTTTTATTTCCTTTCATTGTTGATGTATTTACTTAGTGAATGTTAAATAAACACATAAAGATTGTTTAGTGAAAAAGTGAAGATGAGTAGATTCAATCACAAAAAGAAAAAGACAAAAGTTCAAAATTCATAATGTGAATGAAACAATAATTTATAAAAAAGTTTCTTCAAAGAATTGATCAAAGAATAAGTGGTTTATGAAAATAATAAGAAATAAAACAAAAAAAAAAAGAATAATAAAGAAAATATATAATGTAAAATGATGGTTGTTGATTTATTTTAATAAAGAGATTAACCAAGAATGTCAAACATACAGTATATGAATGAGGAAATGTAGAGGAAAATTAATAAAGGATTAATGATGAAACTAATGTGATGAAAAATATTATTTTATTGTTCATTGTATGGTTGTATGGAGCAATCAGATGTTGATACTCTATTAGAATGGATAAAAGGAAAAAAAATTCAATAAATAATTATTTACACGAATGTAGTTAAAAAGTAATGTATGAAAAAATGGAGAGTAATGAACAAACATAGATATTTTAATAGAATAAAATAGTTCAATGAGTTATGCTATATCATTACAGAATGAGAAATTGAAATACCTATTGAAATGTTATAAATAAAAGGTTATTTTGTTAGATTAATAAAAAGCAAGAAAAGTGTTAGTAAAAAGTATGTATTTCAGAATGTTGAATAGTGTAGAAGTAGAAATATATAAATCTTTGAATTGATTATTTAATAAAAAATATACATTGTTCAATGATAAAATTAATTACAAACAAATAAAATAACAACTAATTGTTTTCAATATGAAAATGAATCAGAAGATAAGAAGAGAATATAACATCATTATAGCAGAAACAAGAGAATCATTTTGGTTTAGAAATTTTTATTTTCTCATGATATCTATGAAGTTGTATGGTATTTTTCATTTTCTTTAAAACTCTGGTTAAATATTTGAATTGCCTATTTTAATTATATAATGTTTCTATTGAACTAAACGGATGTATTTCTCAAAAATTAATCATAATTATTTGTTGAACAAAACGTGTATTACCACTATATCAAAATATACCATTTATAAAACCAAATAAACAATACAATTATTTATCTAAACTGATAATTATTTATTGATTAAGATGAAAATAATTAAAAAGACACTTACATACCACATGATATAATTTTTATCTATAAAGTATTTCATTGTATGCAAAACTTATCATTCTTTTAAAAAAATGGTTTAATTCAAAGTAAGTACTATTTAATAATATGATAATATAGGATAAATATATATTATTACAGATATTTAAAAAAACTTTGTTTAAAATAACAAGTAGTATTGAAAGTAGTGTAGTAGAAACAAATTCAAACGTTAAGTGTTTTAGAAATGTTTAAAAAAGAAAGACAATACAGAAATAAAAAAAAAACAAGAAACATTCAATGTATCAAATTGAAATTTAATATTGAATAACATTTTAATATAAGAAGTAAAAAATAGTATAAAGAATGAAAAACGACTTAATAAACTAATATATAATTATTAATATGTTTAAATTCACTTAATGAAAATAGTGAAAGACATATATTTAAAAATAGCAATAAAGTAGAACTAATATTGAATTTTAGCTATGCTAACATTCTCATAATAAATAAAAGCAAAGAAAATATTTATATAAAATTAATCTGACAGTTTGTGTGTGATAACTCAAACAATAAACAATAGTGAAAATAAAGTAAAATATAATATGTTTTGAACAAAAACAAAACACAAATTAAAAACAAATAATGACATTTTAATTAAATACATTATTAAATATAATATTGAATGGGTTGAATGATAAATAACATGGTTAAGTTTAAGATAAATTCATTAAAAATTAATAATAAAGTAAATTAAACGAAAAAATATATAATTAAACAAAAAAAATATAGAAGATTCATTACTAGTTCATCTGTCTTAAAATATAATTATAAGGTTCATTGGTATGATAATCATTGAATTAAATGATTTGATAAAATATTATTATTATTATGAAAATAAATAATGTTTTAAATAAAAAGGGATTATTATACACATTCTAGACAAAGAAAAAAATGTTTTAATAAAAAAAACTTCCAATCAATAAGGAGTACGAGGTGGTTCTTCTTTAAACCTCATAACACCAGGCGTTTTTGGTGGGGCTCTAGCCATTGATGGTGTCATTGGTGTTGCTGGATTTAACATTGGAGTGTTATGATAATTAGGCATTGGAGTTTGGGTTGTATATTGTGAGTTCATAGCAGGAGTTGATGGTGGATAATTTGTAACCCTCATTGGTTGTTGACCTGGGGTTGCCATGTGAGAAACTTGTGGACGACAAGTATTTGAGTCACATGTTCCAAAAGCTTCTTGTTCTAATTTAATAATTCTTTGGTTTGCAGATAACTCAATCATGAAATCCTTACCTTTAATATTACGGATTGTTCCTTGATATCCTTTATAAGGACCTTCTCTTACTATAACTTTCTTTCCTTTAAAGTCTCTAAAGGAAATTCTATTTGCACTACTTGGATCTTCAAAACCATTTCTGTCTTCTCTTCTATCTTCTCTGCGTTCATTTCTTCGTTCTGCTTTAGAAATAGATGATTGATGTGAGGCATTAGGACCAACAATATCTTTATTTGTAACAACAATATATGAATTATTTTCTAAAACACCAGGACATTGAACAAAAATCTTTGTAAATTGGTAAATATGAAGAATTTTTGCTACTCTTCCAGAATAGACTCCACTAACGATATTAACAAGATCTCCCAATGACACATAATTTCTATTTCTGTCCCTACACCTTGCATCTCTTCTTTCTTGGAACTTACCCTGAATAACTGATGGGTCAACTTCTTGTGTTTTGTTACTATCATTTAATACTAATAGTTTATTGTTCTGTGGCAAGATTTCTAATATTAATCCTACTCCTTCAGATAATTGAACAAAATCATTCACATAATACCCATTTAAGACTGTAATTTCTTGATTAATTTCTTCAGTATTTTCTAAATCAATTTGACTTACACAAATACTCGACTTCTTTTTATCAGTAAAAACAAATACTTCATCCCCTTTAATAGCCTCAATAATACCTGTTTCATTTGCATACATTCCATCAGTAACTTTGACTCGATCTCCAACATTGAAATAGATAGAAACATCTTCTTTAGACAATGTTATAGGTGTATCTAGTTCATTTCCCATAACAATAATTTTATCTCCATCAATATGAACAATTTTAGTTTTTTTACCTTGAACATGTTCATCTGGATTAATAATAATAACCAAATCTCCTTCTTTGTAATTCCTTTCTTTTTCATAACGTAATTTTCCCTTGGCTGGCATTTCTTCCCCTTGAGCAAATTGTACAGCTTCTTCTTGTGTTGGAACAATATCATTAAATACTAATTGACTCATTTTATATGTTTTAAAAATAAATCCATCATAGAATAATGTCTTATTAAAATGATATACAGTCATCCCATTTTCATCTTCATCAGGTAAACATACATCAGATATACCAAGTTCTACTGGATTAAATAATTGTTTAGTTAAATTTAGAGCTTTTGGAGGTACTCTTTTTCTTGGGTTCTTTTCTTCATCTTCAACATCTTCTTCTCCATTAGCTTCACGCTCTTTTTTTAGTCTCATTTTTTTTGCAATTTCTTGGAAATGAGCAATATTAAATCGTGGAACTAATTTAACAATAACTTTCTTATTTTCTGTAGTTTCAACAACAACTCCAAGATCACCTTTATATGGTTCAGCATTAATCCTTACATATGAATTTGGTTCAATGGTAGTAGGCATTCTACTAACTAATAACTCTTCTATTTGTTTATCATTTAAGGCATGAATGGTATTAATATAAAGGTCTCTAACTCCATCACAAGCATCAGCAAATTTTCTTTCTGTCATTGCTTCTATATAAACAATACCTGTTTTTTCCTTTGGAACAAAAACAGAGAATAAATGCATTGTACGGTCTTTTTGGTTAATCCATATTTTCATAATTCTCATGCAAATATCCTTTTCATATCCCTGTTTACATCGGATAGCAAAAATAGGATAGTCTTTATCTGGGTCTCTTTCTGGTAATGATGAGATATACTCCATTTCATTTCTTCTCATTTCTGCTAAACGTTGTTCTTCATCTCGTTGTCTAGCTTCCTCTGCTAATTTCTCTGGGTTTCTTAGTTTTTGGGCAAAATCTTCTCTTGCTAAATTTTTTGAACCATATAACCGTTTGCTCTCTTCAATGCTCAACCTTTCTTTTTCTGTCATTTGATATTCTTCACTTTCATCATCATTATCTTCTTCTGCTTCTGCATCAATATATTTATTTTGAATTTCATTTTCATCAGATTCATCTTCACTCTCTTGACTATCTAAATCCCTTTTATCTTTGTATGACATCTTATTTCCTTTTGTTTCAATTTAAAATTTTCGAGATGGTATTTCTTTCTCTCTTATTTTTTAATTTATTGAATTATATTTTATACTATCCATTTTATTTGTTTAACTGATTTTTGTTAAAAAATATGAATAACTATTTTTCTAATTCAACTCTTATTTCATTCCATAACAACATAATTCAATAAGAAAAATCAACAGTATAAAAGCTATTAAAAGAAAAAGATATGAACAGGTTCTAATGAAACACAAATTTTTATTCCAATGTCTTTGTAAATCTATAACTTTAGAAAATCAATAAACTTTGGAAGATGCATTCGACAATATCAAAAATTATAAAACTAAATAGAACTTGTTTCTATGCTTAGTAAATAGCTTTAATAACTACATAATATAAATTACTTTCAAAGTTGAAAAATTTAATTATTACTTAAAATGCTTACCTATAAGAAGATACTAGTCGTTCTATTAAAAACTTTATAGGGAAGCTATTGATCAGTTATTATTCAACCCGCTCATTGAAATATATGTTTCTTTATTAATTCTCTAATCTCTTATTTGAATACTTTTGATAAATTCGTGTGTCTTGTATTATTACAACAGTCATAATCAAAATTCACTTTGTTGTACAACTCCTATCACTTGTGTTTAGTCTCTCATATTGAAAAAAATTTTATAGTCTCTCACTTCTTTCTTTTTCAATAAATTAATCAAGAACAATATATGTTAACCAATAATTTTGAAGATATTAATCTTTTTCTTCAAATTATTACAAAACCACTTAAATGTTGTTACTGTGTAGAAAATAAAGTTTTTCAAACACCCACATTACTGTCTTCTCTTAAAATTTTCACTCCAGAAGTTTATAAGCTTTATCGCATTTCATTTTTTTTTTCAGTTATAGTTTTATGACTGTTATATGTCTTTTATTGAATTACTGATGTTGCTTTCATTTGAAAGTGAAAAGTTTGTGCATCAAAGCAAGAAACTAGTTATTTGAAGAATTTAATACCCTTGTTAAACACAACTCATGTAAATCTCTCCATTTAACAAAAGTACTGGTGTGTCATTTTTATGACTACTTTATCACGTCACAATTTTACAACTCTCTCACTCCAATTAGTTTTATAATACCTTTTCATTAAATTCATAAATATATATCTATTTGGTCCTTTAAATTTATTTTACAACCCTTCATGGCTTTTTGCATTATGATCATTTACAGATTCAGAGACAATATTACCAAACATTATTTCAACAAGTCTTTTCTCAATTTTGTTATTCTTTATGTTCATTAAATGAAGCAAAGGTTTGTGTGCTATTTATTAATGGAAGTATAGACTCCATTACCTGATATTCTTCAGACATTTTATTTAAAACTCTTCCTAGTTCTTTTCTTAGAATTTTATGACCAAAGCACTTTTGACTTATTTTTTACTTGTTGTTTAGTTTGTCTATATTCAAATGAAATGGTAATCCAACAATCATTTAAGAAATGCTTCATAATACTCATTTAACATAAGTGACAATATTTGGTATAATGGTATTTTCAAAATATTATCATATAAAACACTAAACCACAAAAAAATTTCCCTTCATTCAGTTTAAACATTAAAGTTTAATATCATCAACACCTTATCTCAGTTTTGAACCAACCATTTTCAACCCAAATTCAATTTATCAAGTATTTAATTTATGATTTAGAAGTAACTCAATGAGCTATATATATTACATCACTAGTAAATTCTTTTCTAGTTGTGTGCAATTTATTCAAAAGATGATTAACTCTTACTTAGTAAAATTACAAATTGAAATAATTAAAACTTTAACATCTGTTAGTTCATTATTTTCAAAAAGTAATCTTTACTAATTCTATTGTCTGGTTAGTGTTTATACCTCTTATCACTCTAGTAACTCATCTTAGCCATGAAACAAAATTAAAAGTTGTTGGTTCTGTATTGGCAAACAAAAGACTTACGTTAGACAAATCAACCCATTCTTTAAATTTTATAAAGACCAATTTATAAACGCTTCTCTTCCACTGTTCGGGTATAATAAACTCAAAACATATCCAATATATTTATTTGAATAATTCCAATGTTGTGACTTAAGAGAAAATAAAGATGTTTCTCATATTACTATTCATATGAGATGTTGGCAACACAAAGAATTTAATCAACGTTTAATAAATTCTATGGCAAGTAGTAATTCTATGTTTTTGGATTATTCATCTTGTATAGCTGATTTTTCTAATAAACTAGAAATGTAATTATCTGTTTGTTTTCTTGGACTAATTGCTTTCTTCTTTTTTGCCACTTATTTCTTTAGCTAATACTAGAAAATACTTTAACAGAAATATTGCCTCAAATATTTTATCTTTCAGTTTCATTTATTTCTTATGTTTTTTATAGATTTAAGTACTTTATATTTTTATTTCATTAATTATTCATATTATTATTCATTGTAGATTTTATCGTTATTTAAAATTAAAATTATTATGTTTTATTCTTTTTGTTATTGTATTTATTATTGTATTTCTTTTATTCTTCTCATTTCTTATCTTTATCTTATTTTTTCTTTACTTTCTTTTATTATTATTTCTTTAATAATCATTTGTTTTATCAAATGCATGAAAATTAGCAAAGAAATATATTTACATATATTCATTTATAATTTTCTTCTTTTTGATTATTCTTTTAGTCAATGCCTTCTCTTATTATATTCTCAACTTATTCCGATCATATTCTTAGTTTCTCTAATTTCCTGAATCGAGAATACCATTCTATTATCTGTTTCTTCTTGAACCCTTTCTTGCTGAGGTGTATCTCATTCTTCTCTAATACTCTCCACCTCTATTATTTTCTAATTCACTACCTTGTTTTGGTAATCCATTCTTTCCAACTACATCTTCTTCTAGTGTTTTAGTTTTATCGTTTATTTTTATTAGCACATTTATTTATATTTTTTCATGGATTATGTTGACTTATTTCTTACTGTTGTAGTTAAATATTCTATTTGCATTATAGTTGTATTTATGAAAAATAATATTATATCGAAATTACTATTACAATGCTAATACTAAATACAACCATTAAGTTCTTTGTTTTATCATATAGAGTTATTTCTTATATGTCATATCAATGACTAAATTTTGGAGATTTTATATTATGACAAGAGTCTTTTTAAGAACAAATAATATAAAGTGAAAAAAATAAAATAAGAAAAATTGACAATTTCCTCAATTTAAAGAAAAAGATGAAAATTAAAGAAGAACTAGGATTTTTATAAACGAAGAAAACACTATGGAAACAGAACCAATTCCTATTGTTGATGTACAAGATTTTGGAAATTACTTTGATAAAGTCGTACGTGTATTTGGTAAAGTACAAGCATCTCAAGGAGAGCCAGGTGAAATTGGAATGAATGTTAATGGGGTTGAAATAACAATTACACAAGAAAATATATGTATTCCAAGTTGTGACAGTGAAACATTATTTGATATTACTGGACTAGTAAAAGGAGAAAACAGCCTTGATCTATTATCCTGTGAACAATGTGACTTTAGTTTGTTAACTCTTATTAACAAAAAAGGATAAGAAGAACTAACCAGTTAGGTGATAAAATCTATGAGGCATTAACGTCTATTAAAAAACTTGAAGAATATAAAGAAATATTTGAGTCTAATTGATTTTCATTATTGATTACTTTGTAAAGTTTGTTTTAATTCATTTTGTATTGAAAGCTCTTCTTCTAATAAATCAGTAGTTTCATAGTCATCCATTCCATAATACTCTTCCCCTAATAATTGTATGTCTTGTTTTGACATTAATTTTCTATTATTTCTTTTTTGTAATTCTTTTGCTTCAGGTAAATATTGAGCAGCACCAAAGAAAGTAAACTCATCAGATTCTTTTGTTTTTTTTCCCTAACATAATGAGAAACTATGTGTAGAAGAATATATTTATAAATAACAAACAAAAGAAACACCACCTAATTGTTTTATTTTACGCTCATACTGTATTCTTTCTTTATTTAAATTATTTATCTCATTATTTAATGCTCGAACAGCATTTTCTCCTAAAGTACCATTTTGAATTTCACTTACTTTTTGTCCCATTTCTTTAATAATCATTTGTCTCCAATATTTTGCTGCTTGTATTGTTTTACATTGATCTGGATGTTTAGGTTTAATTTGAAGATTTCCTATTTCCTGATCATTTTGCATTAATTTCCATCTATTAAGCATAGAATGAGCTTTTTCTTGACTTCGTGCCATTGTTTGATAAATTATAAGTTTTTTAATAAAAAATACAAAAAAAAAGAAATACAAAAAGTAAAAACTATGAGATGTATTAATTAACTATCAACCATTACAGCTTGTTCCAATTCATTTTCTGTTTCATCGCTATTTCTGTTTTTAATTTGTTCATCCTCTATTTCTATTTCATTACAAATTTCATTAATACCTTCTTTTACTGGTTCAATTACAATTTCTTTTTCTTTATTTTGACTAATTAATTGATGGTATAATTCATTTTTGCGTGTTGAACCTGTCTCTTTGTTTTCTTTCATTTCTTCTACATTAAAATCATTATAACCAGAACCTTTCTTCTTACAACAATATTTATCAATATAATCATATTTTATTTGTAAAACAACTAAAACAGTATGTTGAATAAATGAAACAATATATGTTGCTAATGTTGTTATATGTTGTTGTGTTGAAAAAAACATATAACACACAATAACAAAACATCCAAGTGTTTGAATTGAATTGGCAGTTAATGATAATGAACCACAATTTTTTGTTCTAAAAGTTCTCCATATCTGCGGTAAATATTCAACAAAAGTTACAATAGAAGAACAAATTCCAAATACATAAGCAAACCAATCAGTAAATGGATTGCATTCACCTATCCAATATATACTAATAAAAACAAATAATATAGATATAATTAAAAATGTTACAGATAATAAAAAGAATATTATTGCTCTGATATAAATTTTATCTTTTTTTGTTTTAAAGAATATTAAATAAAGAGCAAAGATAATAAATTCTAAAACTACTAATGACATCATTTGAAAATATGATAATAAAGGTGGCAAACATTTTCTAGCACCAATATAAGGACAGCTTGCCATTGTAGGATAATTAAGAATAGTAGAATTTACTCCTGCAAAAACTTGATTACAAGTCATAAGTAAAAGATAAGTTGGAGATAATCCTTCTCCATTTTTTCTTCTAATAATTTTGATAGCTTGTGGAAGAACTGATATTATAGTAAATACTAATATAACAATCCCTAAAATTATTTCAAAAGTATTTAAATAATTGATATACCAAAATTGATCTGACTCTGATCCTGTTGCTTCACAATATTTTATTCCATTCGAAAGTACAGTAGGAATAATTAATATAATGATGCTAACTATTTTAGGTATTGTCATTATTTATTTTCATCTTATTTTTTAGATTTCTCTGATTTTGTGAGTATTTTTATATCTTCTGTTTTAGAATATTGAATAACTCCACTTTTATTATTAAAAAGAGTTAGAAAAACTGTTTTAATGGATTTTATGAAAAAAGAATTTTAAAATTTTTAATGGAAAAATATAATAAAAATAAAATTTCAAAAGATTCTTTTCTTATTCTTCCCAAAAGTGCTTTAGAATGAAATTTATACTTTACAACCTAACTTATTTTATATAGAATTTTATATTTTTCAACCTTATAATAATAAATAATAAAGTTGTTGAATTATTTTTTCGTTAATAAATTTTCTTATTAAACACAATTTCTTTACTATTTATTTTTAACACCTTTCTAATATTACTCAAAGAAGCTATGAAAGAAATTATATGTTGTTGGAAATATAATTTTAAAAAAATTTATTTTAATATTGTCATAAATAATTGAAAATTTTTTCGTCTGAATCTTTCATCAATATTATGTTACTAAAAAAGAAGAATATAAATTAATTTAGTGTTGTGGTTGTGTTGGAAGGATGTTTTTATAGTCCAAAGGTCTTACAAATCGAGAATATATCATTTGCTTTTCTTTCATAATAGGTTTTGGTCGAAGAACATTGTCCTTAGTAGAAAACTTCTTTGGTTTAAAAAGACAGTGTTTACTCATCAAAGAAACTTCCAATGGAACAGAGTATTGTTGTTTCTTCAATGATCTTCCTAATGAGTCTAATACATCTAAGAAATTTGACTTTCTTGCTCTTGCTAAATATAAAACACCTTCAAGTAAACAACATTTACAATCAGGATATCCTAAGACATCAACAGCATACGCAACATTTGATATGACTGTTGTTGCACTAGTATCTGCCATTCCAATATCTTCACTTGCTATTCTTAACATCCTCCGAGTAATATAACTGAGTTTTTCACCTGAAAGAATCATACGCTCTAACCAATAAACTGAAGCATCTTCATCACTTCCTCTAATACTTTTCTGAAATGCACTTATTAAATTATAATGTTCATCTCCTCGTTTATCATAATTAAGAGCTCTTTTCCCAATTACTTCATGAACAAATTTTATACTAACTTCATTTACTTTTTCCAATTCAGCACATTGAATCAATTTTTCTAAATTATTTAAAGCCATTCTTCCATCTCCATCGCTTGACTCAACAATCTTATCAATTACTTCATCACTAACTATGTACTTTGAATATTCAGCATTTATTGCCCTTTTAATAATTTCCTTCACTGATACTTCATTCAATCGCTCCAACACAATAACCCTCATAAAGAGAAGTAATTCTTTTGAAAGACAAAAAGATGGGACTTGGGTTGTTGTTCCAATTAAACATATTGTTTTTTCTTTAATTAAATCAATAAGAAAGTTTTGTACAGTTGAACTAATACAATGAATTTCATCAATAAAAATAATAGTTTGAGAGTGTGTTGTTTCTTTGTTTTTTTTAATAATACCTTTTTTAAAGTCTTTAACGATATTTGTATTAATTGAATTTCCATCTAATTCAATAAATGACTTTTCAAAATGCCTTTTAATCAATTTACAGAATGTTGTTTTCCCACACCCAGGTGGTCCAAAGAAAATCATTGAATCAACCCTTCCTAAAACTGTAACTTGATGAATAATATCGTCTCTAACTTTTAATTGTCCAACTACATCCTCAATTTTTTGTGGTCTTCTTCTTTCAGCCAATGTACCAAAAGTAGATGAAAATTCCGTTTTTAAATTTTTTGATTTAATAAAAGAATATATTGATGTTTGTTCCATTAGTTTCATGAACAATAAATGCTCCTATCTGATTTAAAGTTTTGAGACAATTAATTCAAACTTTATTTAAAATGAATAAAAAAAATTCCATAAATCTTTATTCATATTCCTTTTTATAACTAAGAAAATTGATAATTCAAAAGTTATAGAAAAAATATTCTTAATAAAATAATAACAATTAATGAAAGTTACGTATGAATAACCAAATAATATATTAATATAATTGTGGTATAATTTAAGGATGAGTGAGTTTATTATTAAACATTTCTATCTCCTCTTATTACTTATTAACTTCACAAATTATATAATATTTATTTATAATATAATTAAAAATACCATCATATAAACTTTTTTCCTAATTAAATAATATCAATCAATTATTTATTATGTATTATAAAACAAATAAAAATATAACACATTTTATATAAATAAAAAACTTGAATTACAAAAAATTTTCCATTCTAAGTCTAGAAAAACCAATTTATCCTAAAGCATGAGGATCTTTTAATCGACCCTTATTTTTTATTGCAACAACAATAATTTGAATAATTAAATAGAACCAATAAGCATGCAATACCCATAATACACATAATAACCCAACTAACAAATAAAATACAATATATGAACCAGGAATTCCATCAGGAATATAATTTTTAGCATTAATAGCAGCAGGAATGATATGATAACCAAGTGTAAATATTCTAAATTGGAAAAATGAAATTGCAATAAAAGCAAATCCACAATATACAGGAACTTGATTTGGCATGTCATTAACACTTTTACTCATATACATAATTGCATCAACAATGTCATGAAGAATTAATACTAAAACACCAATTCTTCCACAATTATTACAGAAACTAAATATAATTAAAAACACTGTAGCAACATGGTGCAATAAATTTTCAAAATAATCATTTCTTTTCTCACTTTGCATATGGAAAACAAGAGAATGAAAATGATATCCAAGTGCCCAACAATAATATACATTAAGCATTGGAGATTGTTCTTGGTAAGGGTAATTTTCCCATAATAACTCAAGGTCTTGTTTTCCTTTCCCAAATAATGCACTAGGCATCCAATCTTCATATCTAAATAATAAAATTCCTAATGGAGCACTAATCCAAAAGTAAATAGCTTTGAATAAAACAAGTGCAAATCGTTTGACTCTAAACTCTCTAACTCCTGGTTCCCAATAAAACTTATAAAATATGAACTTATCACCTAATTTAGGAAATATATGTTCAATACAAAGAACTCTTAAGGCATAGATTAATACAAATGGAATAAAAGACCATAGAAGAATAAGTGGATTCGGTATAAGATCACTCTTAAGTTCTTTTCTTCTATTGAAAGATGTTGGAATACAAAGAAGGACTATAGGTAAAATAATTGCAATTTGAGCAATATTAAACTTATCTTGATTTGTTAAGGTAGGTAATCCACTAAAGAATTTCATTTCTATTGAAACGAATAAAATTGATTTTGAGATTTATAGTCCCACTTTTATTGTCTCTTTTTGTCTTCCTTTTCTTTTTGTCATGCATCTGAGTTATTTTTAACTCAAATAGGCATTTTTTCTTCTTTTCATATTTAAAGCTATAGTTTTTTTTATTAATTTAATACTAAAACTCCAAAATCATACTGAATATATGGGTTTGGTGAAGATCGATTTTTTTCTTCTGCTGATCTTCTAAATAAGAATAAGATTAAATTTATCAATTATTTCTTAAAAATTATTTTTTTGTTCGTCATGAGTATCTAAATTTAGATAAGAATAAAAAAAAGTCAGAAAGTGAAAAAAAACATAAGAAAAGAATAAAAATTTAGAACATAATTTCCATTACTGTACCTCTTGAAAAACCCATTAATAAAGATTTTTGAGTTCTTATAGAGGAAGTAATTTTTCCATCTGAAGTAAAAGTTTGAGTTTTAGTAAATGCAGGTTTATTATTTGGATCAAAAGTAACAACGTTAATTTCTCCAGCTTCTGACACAACAAGATAAAGCCAATATTTTTTTTCACTTTTCATAACTGAGAAGATATCAGTAATATCTCGTTTATATCTTCCAAATGGCATCATTGACTTTTCTTCACTAGGTTTTCTTTGAGGAGTAACTTCACGATAACTTGTGTCAAATGCTGCTATATAATCTCTCATAGAAACAATTAATAATTTATCACAATAAACAGCACAATGAACAGGACAATTTTGTTTTAGTTTAGTATATTCTATTTGGCTTGAATTAATTTTGATAAATAAACAACGATATTCGGTTTCTTCCCAAATTGCAAATACACCATCTTGACTTCCTGTTATAATTTTTCCATTTTCTAATAATTGAATAGAAACTATAACATTATGATGTGGTGATGTTCTATTATGATGAAAGTATTTAATAAATTTTGCATTTGTTGGATCATTTGGAATAGTGTATGCACTTACTTCAAAGACTTGAGTTATATCTCCTTTTTCATTCATATATTTTGATTGTCTACTTCCAGAAACTAATAAATCACCTTGAGTTGTAAGTAATGATGTATTATAATATTCATCTTCATCTGTTCTTGGGAGTGTTTTTAAAAGTTTACCATCACTAGCCCAAATGCAAATATTACGATCATTAGCTAATGAAATGATTTTGTTATTAAAAACATCAATATGACGTACCATTCCTGAATGACCTAATGTTGTTTCTTCAATAATTACTACTTCACCACATGTAGATAAGTCAATTAGTCCAAGAGTAGAATTAAATCCAACTGCAACTTTTAAATCATGTACAACACTAACACATTTAATTCCACCAGAAGAAGCAATTTCATCAACTCCAATGTCATATTTTTTTAATGCATCTCCCATTGGAAATTCAGTTGAATTACCCATTTCCATTACTTCTTTAACTTCTTCCATTTTATCTTTTGATTTGAGTATTCCAATAATTCTTTGTTTTGCTAATGCTCCAGTAGGAAATCCAGAGACTTGAATTTCTTTTTGTTTTGAATAATCAATTGAGTTAAAAACTAATAATTTACCAGTTGTAGTTCCAATTATAATTGAATTAGTAGTTGGTGAAAATGCCATACATTCAATTTCATGTTGTATTTTAAATGATTTAAAAGGTTCAATTTTGCTTTTAGATCTTTTAAACATATTAAAATGAAAAATGAGTTCTAATCAACTGAATGAAAATGAAAAGAGAAATGAAGAATAAAAGTTGAATGAATAATAAATTTATCAATATTCAATCTTTTTTAATTACAGGGAGTAAAAGCTTTTTAATTTGTTCATTATTTGATATAACTACAGGATCAACTACACTAGATACTAAATTGAATAAAAATTTATTAATTTGTTCACCAATTTGATCAATTTGATTTGAATCCATTAATTCTATATTATTTTTACATATTTTATATACGGTTTCTAATTTAGATGTATCTTTCTTTCCTTCTGTTAATCGAGACTGAAAATTATATCCCATTTTTTTTAAAAAACTAATTAATATATTTGTTGATTCAGTTCTTTTATTTGTTTTAAATCTTCTTATTGCTGTTTTTTCACTTACTCCATTTTTAATGTCATTTTTCTTTTTTTCTATACATTTTGCTTCAACTTCATTTTCACATTCTATAACCCTTCCATCATCAAATTCAATACTTATTACTCTTAAATATTGTCGAGTAACTGAACTCCTTTTTAATGGTTTTCCAATAATAACTTTTGCTTCTAAAGATAATAATCCTATAAAAATAGCTTGTTCACTTGTAATATAATTTAAAAAATCTCTCAAAACTAATTGTGATTTTTGAATTTCATTCGTTCCATTTTTTCTTTTTATTTTTTTATTTCCCCCTTCTTTTTTTATATGTGGCGGATACACTGGAATGTAATGTTTATTGAATGATCCATTGAAACTCATTTCACTTTCTTTTACGTTAATTTCACTATTTTGACTTATTATTTAGTTCTTCTATTCTATTATTTTCATTTTTAATACTCTTTTATATTATTTTTGGAAAAGGGTTTAACATTTTTGTGACTTATTTTAATCCTTTAATACTTTTATAAAATGAAACGTCTCAACTGTGACACTAAATGTCTTTCTTCATTCTTTATCTCTTAGTTTTTTTTTTCAAAAGAGATATAATTAAAACTACCTTTTTTAAAGGAAAAATAATGTCTAATATTATTAAAATATTATTACCATTATAAAATTTATAAGTTACTTTTCTAGACTCTTCTCTCTTTTATAAAATCTATTTCTTTTTTATCTTCTTTTCCAATTTTGTAGTTATTTTTTCGTTCTATGTAAATTATTTTTAGAGAGTGTCTTCAATGAAAACTTACAATAAGATTCTTTGTTTCTATAACTTATTTTTTTTTGATGACTATAATTTGATATAATGTACGTTTTTTGTTAGTATATTAAATTATATTTTCATATAAAGCTATTTTTATATAACAATTCCTTAAAAAAACAAAAGACTTTATAATGGAATATTTTCCTTTTGCTGTCCTTGTCTAGACTATCAAATAGTTTCATTACTTAGTATTGTTATGGGATTTTGTTTATAAATATTTTATTATTCAAGATTTTTATGACAGGTTTATATTAGAATAACTATTTGAATTAAGAATATCATTAAGAGTCTTAAGTTTTTTTTCAAGTATAGTTAGTGTCATAAATTATATATTTTTTTGATTGTCTAGTTTTGATATAAAATCAAATATTTTTATTTAGACGTAAAAAAGGTTCATTATTATATTCAATAAAATTCTTTGAGAAATATCATTTATTTACCTTTAAAACTTATTATAGAAATAAGAATTATATTCACTTATGAATAAAAAACGTTTGATTCAAAAATTTATTAAAAATAAAATAGAGCTTAAGAAAACAATGAATCAGGTTAATGTTGTTTAATATTATGTATTTAAAATAAATCTTTATGAATAAGAGTTTTATTACATATAATTTGTATTAGTATGGATTGTTTGAAATATCTTTTCCAAGAAGGATTTGATATTTCATTTCATTCAATCTGTATAAAAGAAGTATTAAAATTTGACTATTTTTTTAAAATTTAATTTAGCCAATGTTTAAGCGTTAAATAAAGATATGGCGTATTATAGAAACAAATATATTTTTATTATCTATAATTACTTAGTTTAGTTTTAATGAAAATGAGTAGTAACATTATTACTATACTACTTTTTTAGAATTAATATATCTTATATTCTATCAATTTCTTATATTTTATTGAGAAAATTAAATATTTGATTATATTTTTATTCCATTCTTATTTATTTTCTGATTCAAATACTTGTTTGTTCCTTTTATTTATATTATATTTATATTTATTCTTTCTATTATATATTCGTCAAAGTATGATGAATATCAAAATTCTTTATCTTTTCATCTATATCAATGTCATACTTTTAATTTCTTGTTTTTTTTATTTCTTTTATTTCTTAGTTTCTGTTAGATTATTTGTTTGCTTTCTATTTGTTTTATTTATATTGTTATTTCTGATTAGGTAATTCATGTTTCATAGTCATTCATTTATATTTATATTCTACTTTGAACCAAATTATATGAATAAACATTTCAACAAACTCAGAAGGATTTGACATTTTCTTTGTTAAATTATCCATTTCAATACTTTTTTTTAAATAACACGAATCATTTTATTCTTATCATACAAAATAATATTTATAATTTAATTAAATGATATTGTTATTTAATAAACAAAATGAAAAATTGTCCCCAATAATTTAATTAAAAGAGAATGCCATGAATGAAAAATGATCCAATAAATAACGTTATTCCAATTATATAAATAATTGCAGTTTCTACTTATAAATTATAATTCAATCAATTAAAATAAAATATACAAACTTTTATCTGACATTGTTGTAAAATCAGGAAATCCTAAGTAATTTGCAACTGCATGGCATAAAATGCATGAAATTACAGATTTTGTACTGAAGAAAACATATGACGAATACATTCCAAATAATGTAGTAAATCCTACTTGTATCATTGTATTGATGATAGCAGCTTTATCAATAACATCTTCTGTTATTAGGTGGTTGATGTGTGCAAGTCCAAAAAGCATTGAACAATAGATAAATGTAAATATTGATGTGCATCCGTTTGTCAACAGGTATGGTATAAACACTCCTCTAAATAATGTTTCTTCAATTATTGGTGCAACAACAAGTGCCCGTATGATGAAAAGTGAATTAGGACAATATATTTGATCAGTTTGTTGATAAACACAATATATAAATCCAATAAAAAGAATGACGATTTGGGTTAGATGAAATAACGTTGATAAAACAGGAATATTAAAGTTAAGAGGGACATCAAGAATAATAGTGACAAATACACAATATCCTATTCCAATGATCATTCTTATTATTGCTATTTTATTTTCGTCATTTATTCTATGTGAAGCTATACCCAAAAAAGCAAGAAGAATGACTGTCAATGTTAATGTTATGATAATACTCATAAACCATCCAACAACTATCATTTAAACTATAAATTATGTATTTGTTTTTTTTTAATTTCCAAATAAAGTGTATAGTAATAAATATAGTAAATTTGCTATAATTTACTACTATAAAACTATATAATAAAAATTGAAAATAAACCATCATTACATGGATAAGACTCAATCTGATGTGCTTGCTCACTTCCTTGAACAGGAACTAAGTGTTGACCAAAAAGTAAAGAGGATACAAAGAAAGGTAGCAGAGTATATGAAAAACTATAATTATGATGAATATGTAGATAATCCAACTAAAAGACTGGGAGAGAAAATAAAAGATGTTGAAGGAGTTTTAGATAGAATGGATGAAACAAAGCAGAGAACTGATGTTGTAATAAGATTTGCACAAGACACAATCAATGATATGATACATTGGATAGATGATATCAACGCTGTGATAGAGTCTATTATAACATCAACGAATAAAGTTGCAACAAGAAATAACGAATTGGTTTTAAGACTCAAAGATATGGAACATCAACTCTTTGAAGAAAAAATAAATGTGGCACAATCAGATACAGAAAAGAAAGAGATCCAAAGAAAATACAACAAACAAATCAGTGATGTTAATGAAATGAGGATAGAAATCAAAAACAGTGCACTAACAATAAACACACAAAATGAAATTATTCAAGTTCAAATAAAAGACGCTGAATTAAGAAGAAAAAATCAAGAATTAAAAGAACAAATAGAACTCCTTAAACAAGAAAACATGGTATTAAAAGAAGAGGTAAAGTCAATGCACAAAAGTATTAGATAAATTGAACAGTGTTTTTTTAAAAAAAATGAATTAGAAATATAGGTTATTATTGTTTTATCAATTTAAGCAAGTCCAAACCCAACTGCATTTTCAATTGCAAACAATAATTTTTCTTTCATTATTTCCTTGTTTTTGTATGGTGGAAGATGAAGTGCATTAAAACAAGTAGATGCTGTTGGGAATTTTTCTGGATCACCATAACGATCAATGAAGAAGATGAGATTACCTAATCCACCAACAGGAACACGATCATTTGAAGTAACAAATATTAAGAGTTTTTTCTTTTGTTCTAAAGTCAAAGATTTAGCAATTTCCCAGAAGTATTTGATTTGAGGAGAGTTTGGATTATAGTCTTTATATTTTGCATTTCTTTCTAATGCATCAAAGTCATATTCCTTAGTACCGCAAATAACTAATTCGAGTTCTTCTGGTCTCATTGACTATAAAATAAATATCATTGGTAATAACCACATACCCTCAATAGTACAAATCAAAAGAAATAGGAAGACATATAATGATTCATCATAAATTACAATTTAAAATAAATAATAACAAACTAATAATAATGGTGATGAAACAACTTGTCTAAATCCTTGTTTAAATGCATCAAATTGTTTTTGAACCGATGATGTACAATAAAAATCAGCATAACGATCAAGATAGAGTTGTAAATTTTCATTTGTAACAATAATGTCTCTTCCACCTGGAATTAATTCATAACTTCTGTTTTCATCAAAATAATTTTGAACTGCTTCAAATGTTAATTGTAATGAAGAAACATCATCAACTTTACTCATTTCTTTTAATTGTATAAGACTATTATAGACCTCGGGATCAAGAATATTATAATCATCAAATGTTAATGGAATATCAAGTAATTTCTTATATAAAATAGATGGAAATGAAATATCAAGAATGATGTTGTTATAAATTGCCAATCCTAATACTATTCCAATTAATTTAAAATCTTGTAAATCATCTGCAAAACTACAAAACCAAAATTGTCTTGTTTTATTATTGTATGTGAACATTCCAAAGTCTACCTTAAATAATTCTTTCACAATTAAACTAAACCACTCTTTTGATACTCCTCCTTGATCAACTCCAACTTCTCCAATGAATTTTATTTTTAATTCTTTTTTCAAATCAATTGGTCGTTTATTAACAAGAGAATTTAATGATGATAAAAGAAGGTTATCTCTATCAATTCTTAATTCAAGGTATGGATTGAATAACTCAAAAAAATCATTTTGTATTGCACCACTAAGTGTAAGTTGTTGTTCACACCTATTTTCTTCATGTACTACTAATACTCTAGTATATAACTCAATAATGAAACTATATGATAATAATCCTTCCCTAACAATGTTTAGTATTTTTGATTTATTATTTAAATATGGCTTTATCAAAAACAAACTTGTTTTGAAAAAACAGGTCAAAATCATCACTCCATTCTCTTTTAATATTTATTGAATAAACATAAAAAGACTTATAGTCGATAAATTCATTGGCTATATTCATTTCGTAAAGTATCTTAAACAAACGAAGAGCATATATCATAAACGGATATTTTTTACTCCTCTGAACTGACCCTTTTTTAAACATTTCATCTAAGAATGAATGAACCAAAAAATGAACTTGTCTTAAATGTTCAGGACTCATTTGACAAAGAAATTGATGTATAACTTCTTTATTAATTGGATTTTCAGTTATTAATTTAAATAAGTATCCATAATCGTCGTGGTACTTTGTTTGATAAGGAACACAAAGGAATAATAATCGTTGTTCTAGTTGAACTAAAGAAATAGAATTAAAGACTTTTTTGATTGTTTCTGGATTAGACACATTAAATAAAAAGTTCATAAACAAGAAAATTGACTGATGATTAATGTACTCAAAACCCTTAGGACGAGAATTACAATTATCTGGAAAATCTCTGAAAGAAGCTTTAAGAGAACTGTCATTTAAATATGCTTCAATAGGTAATTGAAAAACATCATTTGGAGTCATTGAATAAATTTGTTTTGGTGTTATAAACTTACAGCATTCTTTATATTCATTGATGGCAGTAAGAACTACAAAGTCTCCCATTTCATTTTCACTAATAGAACAATGTTCAGGGTTTGATTTACAATATGTATTATTACACATTGGATTACCACACCCTTCTTTAATAGAATGGGTAATGTTATCCATCCTTGTTTGTAACTCATCCTCCGAGATTTCCATGATGATTTAGTCAGTTTCATTATTTTTCTTTCTCTCTTTGTCACACATCAATGACGAGATGCCACGTCAGCAATCGATTTTTACTTATAAGTTTAGTTGAGGTATGAGTAATGAAAAAGACTTATTTCAATGATGAATTTTATTTAAAACTAAGAAAAACTAATTACTAATTAGTTGTATTGTCCTTCTTTTTGTATTCTTACATGGCAATTCCCAAAAAGTAGTATTTGTAGAAAGAATTTTGTAGTATAAGTTTTAGTTCAAAAATAACAAGATATAATCACTCTTGGCATTGGAAGATTTAACGTTTATAATGTTATTATAAAGAGTTGACGTGGAAACCAGTTTGGTAAAATTGACAATACATTATTGCTCAAAGAAAAATGAAAAACAAAACTATTTTTTGTTTTTTTTTAGAAAAAGATGAAGATTATATCTTTTTTTTTACTGTTTCGTAAAGAACGGATCTTATTAATTTTATTATCCAAGTTAGAATGCAAAAACTTCACTTTGTTCGAGGAAATAGTATACAAGATATATATCTTAAGTCTTTGTATTCTGGAACAACGTCCCCTTTTAGTTCAGTTTGTTTTATTAGAAAATATAAATGAAATTGCAACACTAATATACTACAGGCATCAACTGAAAGTTCTGTAGTTATGCTGGGAACAGTTCATACAACTTCTGTCCTATCAATTAGAGAAACATTAAATGAAATTGGTAAACAAATAAGTGATAAGATGTTATATTATTCAAATCAATTAATATCTGAGACTAAGATGTCTGAGCAAGAACTAATTGATGCCTTTCCTATTCTAATTAAGGAAGAACCAAGTTATGAAGAATTTACTATCTCTGAGGAAGGTTCAAAGAAATTACCTACTAAAGTTCTAGACTCTTTTCAATTTGTCTTTCTCTTCTTACATCTTTCATTCACTTTTCATCATCATATTTCACATCCTTCTTATCTTCCTTTGTGTATTAACTCATTTCAATACCTAACCTCACTTAGATTTTTACTCCATTATTTTAAATTTTCTAACACTATTGTTAATTCTTCACAATCTTCTGATATTTCTAAGACAACTAACCAAAACACTTTAATGAAAATTAATGATAAAACATTATTATCCTTATTCCATTTACATACGTTATATCTTCGTTTATTAAGTCAAGAATATTCGTCATTTACAGGAGAGATTTCTTCATATTATTTTATTGAAAAATCACTTAACCCTTCTACTCATTGTGTTTGGAAGTCATGTGATAATCTTAATTCTTATTTGAGTGCTGGATCGATCACATCAAACAAATGTTGGAAATTAGCAAATGATATTAGTTCTTTATGTGATACTATTGAGACAATTAAAATTATCAATAAATGGATGGAAAATACGTCAGAAAATTCTTTAAATATTTCAAAAAAAGTTATGGAAATTATTTGCAATAATCATTGGGAATTAAAGAAGAGAGGCCAAGTTATGATTGAATCTTCTCACTTATGTGGAAAAAGTCTCTTAGGGTCTCAGTTATATCTTTTTGAAGGATGTCTGCTTGTCTTTTCAAATCAAAAAAATGGAGATATAATTTTTAAGGAATGGTTTCCTTCAAATAAAATAGTTTTATCTGATATAAAGAAGTACATTTTTATTGGAAAAGAAACAGAGTTATGTGAAATGAAAATTAGTAGTATAGAAAATACTTCTTGTTACATCAAAATAGTCTCAAATGAAAATGAAATAAAAGAATGGAAAAATCAAATCAACTGTGTAAGAAAAGGAGATATTAATTTTACTTCAAATACCCATGGAAGTCTATTACAAGGAAAGCGTTTAAGAAAGTCTTCAATTCAAACAAAAAGAGAAACAATCAATTTAAGTCCTATAAATAGTTATACTAATGGAAAAGTAGAAAATATCTCTATAAATGTAGGACTTATTTCGCATTTGCTTGAAATGATTCGAATTGGATTTACTTGTAATCCATTTAAGGGTGAAAATAAAGAAAATGATTGTGTTAATTGCATGAATAGTATTATAAAATTATTAGACAAAAAGAAAAAATTATTTGGAAAAGAAGTAATCAATCATTTTAAAGACCTAAGAGCAAAAAGCCCTGATAAAGTAAAAGAGGTAATCAGTCTAGTACTTAGAGATAAAAGTATAGCCACTGATTCAATAATTATTTCCGAGCTTATTATTCTTGTTATTAACGATTTAAAATTATATCTTAATGAACATACAACAAAAAAAGATTCAAATGAAATAAAAGAAGTTTATGAATTATTTAGTTGCTATTTTGGAGATAAATCTATGGATCCAGTACTTGAGACACTTGTTGAAAATTATGAAACGATAACCACTGAGTCATTTAGCCTCATTGATAGTTTTATACTACATCCACTTCTTTTTCATAAAATTGAAAATGCACATATTATAAGTTCTTTAGGGTCTATGGCTGTTGTATTTGATAGATTAGGGAATGTACAGTTTAGAAAACCCGAAGGTGATATTAGAACATCATTTAAATTATCACAACCAGTATTTCAAGTATGTTCTAGTAAAGATAGCTTGATTGGTGTTTCAACAAATAAAATCTTTTTTATGAATGTGTCAGGCATATTACGAGAAGTCCCAATGACATGTCAAAAAGTATATTGTGGATATAATAAAATTTATATACTAGCTGATAAAGAACTTAAAGTTTTTGACTCTAGTTTCTTATTATTAAATTCTGTTCCTCTTGAAATTGATGCTGCTATCATGGAAATAAATTCCTTAGATACTCTTTGTATTTATGGTAAACAAAATGACATCAATAGAATGATATTAATTAATTCATTACTTGAAATTGTTTCTAATGAAGAAATTCCAAGAAATGACTCAGTAACTGCTGTTTGTTGTGCTGGAGAATATTTATACGTTGGAACGATTAATGGTGTGTTATTAAAATATCGTGGTAATTTATTAGTTGATGAAAAAGAATTAAAATGTGGTAAAATTTCATCAATTGAGTTTTTCACAAGAACCATATTTGTTTTTGCAAAAGACCTACCATTGATTGTACTTTATGATAAAGGACTAACTATTTTGAGTATTGGAGAAATGTGGGGATTTAGTGACTGTTATACAACCAAAACTCAAAACGACAAACGATTAGCTTATACACAATCATCACCTGATACCATTATTGAGTCAACACGAAAAAGAGTTAGTTCGTCAAAATCTATCACAAATTCTTTAACTAAAAAAGAGCGAAAATGTGATTTTTGGATTATTTCAAACGATGGTAATATTGGAAAATTTAGTACAGGTAATATCCATCATAGAAAAGATGATATGTTAACTGAAACATATAAGTTTTATAAGACTGAACACTTCCACCATTGGACAATAAGTAATACTAATCATTATACATTATGCGATATTTGTCATCAAAAAATTAAATCAAATTGTTTCTCTTGTATTCATTGTAACTTAATGATTCATACTCACTGTGTATATCCTTTACAACTTCAACAATATTGTACCAAGTAACTATTATAGTTTTATGGTTTTATTTTTAAGTTTTATTGTTAATTCTTTTTTAAACAAGAAATTCAATATGACTGAGACAAGTTTATATTTCATATTAATGTTCATTGGTTGAAGAAAGAAAAGACTCTACTAATAATAGGAGGAAATTCTAATGATAATAAACTGGTTTATAAAAAGAAATAAGATAAATAGTCAAAATAAATTAACATAATACAAAATAATAAACAAAATAATTTAAATAAAAAGAATAAAAACAACTAATAGTTAGAATAACAAATAAAAGATAAAATATAACAAAAAAAGAAGTAATTAAAACAAAATAATGATATTATAATCTTTTTCATTTAACAAAATATCATTAAATAGTAATTATAATAAACTATTCTATTTATTATAATCAATTTTAATGTTTAATTTAATTGTTAGTGAATATTTCTTCTTTCATTAAGAAAAATTTCTAAAAGAAATAAAATAACTAAAATCATAAAAAATCATTTCATGACATCAAACAACTATATCCGACTAAATGATAAACCACTACCTCCTCTTCCAACGAACCAAATTGAAATGTATGAACCACCAATAATGATTAATGAACAACAAAATAATATTCCAATACCAACTAGTGGAGTATTTGTACCTGAGAAATCATATATTGAGAAATACTTACCATTAGTCCTTTTTATTGCTGGGTTTTTTATTCCATTATGTTGGTTTATTAATATATGTTTATGTTGTTGTAAATTTAAGACAGGGTCGTTATTCCCAATTCTTTCAGCTGTTATGTTATTAGTTTATACATTAATATCTATTATTAGTTTAATAGGAATAATAAGAGGTATGATTTATTTATTTTCTACTATAGAAAATAAAGAAAATGGTAGTTTATGGGATTTTATTTTTGCTCTTCTCAAATTTATTTAAACCACTTAATATTTATCCACTTTTATTACAGTTATTTTCCTATTTGTGAATATAAAAACAATTTAAAATAAGCATCCTAATTGATAAGATTTAAAACTACTTTATTATTATTATCACATTAAATAAATTTTTGTTTTTTTTATTTTAGAAAAGACAAAATGATTAAAACCTTTTCAACAAATTTGCCTTAACAGCGTTTTCATTTAAATTTATTGTTTCTTTGAAGGAGCATTGTTAGCTTTCTTTTGTCCTTTGACAATTCCAGAAACAGCTTTAGCTACATTCTTAGCTTTTCTAAGATGGGCAACAGCATCAAATGCCTTCATTCCCTTTGTAAGGGTCTTAGTCTCAAGGGTACATGGGGCGGTTAATCTGATAACCTTGTTAGCATCAAGGACTTGTTTAGCTTCTTTTTGTTGGACTGGAAGTTTATTGAATTGTTTAGTCTTCTTTTGTTCTTTAGCAACTTGTGCAGCAAAAGCAACTTGGGCTTTCTTAAGTCCCTTAAGGCAAGCCTTAAGTTCTTTAGCTTTGGCAGCGTCTTTGGTTTTAGCATAATCTTTCTTAGCAGCAGCAACTTTAATCTTAAGTTCTTTAATGGTCTTGTTATGTTCAGCAATGAACTTTTTAATTTCAGCAGCCTTTTTAGTTTTAGCTTCAGCATTCTTCTTATTAAGGACTAATCTTTTAGCTGTAGCAGCATGAACTTTTGGAAGAACAACAAGTCTATTCATGTATTCAGTTAATCTTTGAGCATTTCTATTTAAGCATTCTTTTGATGATTCTTTTCTTCTTGGATCAACAGCAATTCCAATAGTTCTAGCAAGGTTTTTATCGATTTTAGCGGCTCTAAGTTCCTTCAAAGTGAATCCACGTCCAAGTCTCAATTTATAATTAAATCTTTGATTCATACAATGAACTGATGGTTTAAGAGATTTAATGGTAGCTGGGAAGACGGATTTAGCCTTTTCAACTCTGGTTTGGTGTCTTCTAATTTTTCTGAATGGTTGTTTGAACCAAGTATGAACTTTACTTCTCCAATCTTTACAAAAATGAATATTTGAGACTGCTTGATTGTGTTTCATTCTACCCTTCCCGGTTTGTTCGAATAATTTTCAGTTGAAGGGTTACTCGATAGGTTTTTTTCTTTTCTATTGTTTAATTCTTTTTACTAATTTTATGGTTTCTTCTTTTTTTTTTCTTTTATTATAACAGTTTTTTATTCAAACTAATTGTAATTTTTTGTTATTTAATTTATAATTTTTTTTTAAGAAACAAATATTAAAAAGAAGTTTTATAATAAATCATTTTATTTTACTATAAAAATTTATTTAATATGAAAAATAATAATTTGAATATTTTTTTTTCTTTTTTCTTTTATTATGATTCATTTTTATGAAACATAAAATAAAAATCAAAGAGAGGTAATAAAAAAAAATTGTGATTACTTACTTTTATTTAAAAGCTAAATTAAATAATAGTCAATTAGTGATGATGTTTACATTCACAACAATCGCAATGATCTCTTTTATGATTTGTTTTTAATGGCTTTTTTATTTCTTTAACTTTTTGTTCGTTTTGTTCTTCAGAACTAAAAGTTACATTAGAAGAATTTTCATCTTCTTCAATAGAATCATCATAATTTTGTTTTTGACAATGATGAGCAACTAAATCTTCAACAAAAGAACATAAATCAAACTCAAAAGGTTCTCTTTCTCCAGTATTAATTTCGATTTTTTCAAAGTCTTTCATTCCAATTCCAAAATTTAATACTGTATGAGGATAATTAAATGTATCTAACATTTCTCCATTTCGAGTAAAGAACACTGTTTTATTTGTTGAGTTCCATCCACACCCAATAACATCTCCAGGACCAAATGAAGTTGTACAATTTAATCCAACTTTTCCATTTTCATTAAATACCTTACCATCATCAGAATGTATTCCAATAGTTCTTTTATCCCATCCAATTTGATGATTTCTAATCATTGTTTTAGTAGAACTCAATCCAACAGAAATCCAACAATATTCTGATTTACCTTTAATACTAACTTCATAATAATGTACTAGACTAGGACAAAGAACAACAGTATTATTATCTTTCCAAAGCATTTGAATTTTACCTTCTCTATCTAAGTTTGTTGAAGAAACACATCTAATCTCTTTCTTTTTACCTTTCTTTGTTGTTAATGCAGTGTTATTATATGTGTTTTTTGAAGGTGTTCCATCATGAAAATTAGAGACACAGGTTAATTCTCCTTCAAGGAGATCTTCAACAGTTACACCATATAATTCAACATTAGTCCCTTGTTCTAATCCAATTTTTTGTTTAATAAAGTCAAGTGCTTCTTTTAATTCAATTTTATGTTCTAATGAAGAAACTTTTTCTTTTAATGAATTAATTTCATTTTTCATTTCGTTCATTTCTTTAAGAATAGACTTAATTGTATCTTCGTTGATACTACTCATTCAATAATACAAAATGCTCAAAAACTAGTTAGGGTTTTTATTATTCTTTTTCTTAAAAAATTTATATATTTTCTTTTGATTAGATTATGTTTTGTTCTTATTCTTTTCTTCTTTTGAAATTATTTGTTCTTGTAGTGCTTGGTTATTAATTTTCAAAACTAGCTTTTAAATAATATTACTGAGTTAAATAGTTATAAGTCAATTGAATTGTTTAGACTAGCATAAGTGGAAATAAGTATTATGTCATTTAATACAATTGGTTTGTTAAAAAGTTAATGGGTCTATTTTTATTTTACTACTATAAGACAACAAGTTTGTTTTTGTCTTGAATAGAATTATCTTTCAGTTTTTTATACAATTTCGTTCACACTAATTCCTTTAATTTTTATTTCAAAGTGAAATAAAATGAGATAACAATTAATAAACTAGTTGTGATTATTATTTTTTATTCTGTTTTATTAATACATTATATGTTATTAAATAACATCAATACCCCCAATTCGTATGTTGATAAATATTATTAAATACAATATATTTTTAATAAATTTCAGTTATATTTGATACAAGAATATTTACTTCTTTACGTTGAGACTCAGTTAAATACAATATTGCATAACAATTTTCACATAATTTGTTTATAATATTTTTTGGGGTTTTGATAGATAACATCATATTAACTATTGCATGAATCGTACTAATAGTTTTATCATATTCCTTATCAGAAAATTCTTGATACTTCTCTTTATCATTTCTAATTTGGTTTAATGTAAATAATCCATTATATCCACTAATATCTTTTTTAGAACTGTCAATCATTTTCTTAGCAACTCTATTCCATACTTTAAATTGATCCATTATATCTCTTTTTATGATTTTTTGGAGTAAATCATTACATCCATTTCCATAACTCATTCCTTCACATAGCATAATAATACAACTTATTGACTCATCGTCTTGTTCTGTCTCACTTTTTAGACTTGTGTAATTTAATATAGTTAAAATTTCATTTAGTTCTGTTTCTCTCAAGTTAATAGTTTCTCTTATTTTATTTAATTCTTTCTTGCGTTTGTTGAATGTTAATAAAAATTGGGTTCTATCATTCTTTTTATCAACCCAACTTTTAAATCCATCCAAATTAATTTCATTATTTTTTGCATGGTTATGTCTTTGAATAAATGATGAAATATAAGAATACCCTTTAATAGTAATATTCTCTTTAATTATATGGATTTTATGAATATCGTTTTTCCATTGTATTTGTTTATCATTATTTTGTTCTTCTAAACTTTTCATCTTTTTTGTAATAAGATTATTTATTATATTACAATTAATCTTCCATTCAACAATGCTTTTTTCAAATAATTTCTCATCTTTTGGTTCTAATAATAATGGTTGAAATAAATTTTGTTCATTTTTTCCATATTTTTGAATAATTTGTTTAATTGGTAGTAAATATAAATTTTTATCAATAAATTCATTACAAATGTTTACAACATTTTTTAATGTATTTTCAATGTAATATACGACGTTTTGTGTTTTCATCATTTCTTTTAAAAAGTTATGTTCTTCTATATTTCTTTCTCTAATAAATTCATCTTCAAATAAATAGACATTATCATTTTCTGTAATTTTCATAATTCCAAGATGTTCTTCATATCCTTTCATTAATAAACTTATTCCTTTAACAAAACATAATTGGATATATTCATTGAAAATTCTTTTAGTTAATTTTTTCTCAATAAGTTGGTTTAAACACCATTCACTATCACTTGTCAATATTGTTCTAATTGTTGTTGGTAATTTGATAATTTCTTTCTTTTTTTTCATTACTTCAATACTCCCTTTATCAATATCTACAATGATAACATCTTCGTTTTTGATTATTTCTTCTGCTTCTTTGAAATATTCACTAGGGACTCCTATTATATAAGGAAATGGAGATGTCAATTGATTAATTAAAATTCGAGGAAGTAATGTAATTGAAATACAAACCCATTCTAATGGAAAAAGTAAAATTTTAAACATTTCAATTGTTTTTACAATAGTGTTATAATTCTTACAAGTAAATATAATTCTTTCACATAAAATAATTTCACTCCAAATGTCAATGATTTCTGATATTCTAAAGTGGTAGAATAACTCTGATAATTCTAATTCTGTTTCTTTAATATCTCCTTTATACTCTTTTTCAATAATCATTTTCTTTTCATTTATTTTAATTTCTTTATGTTCTCCATACTTTATTTGTGGGGTTGTATATAATTGAGCAAATTGTTCTTCTCTATTTTCAGTGCTTTCAATAATACTTTGTAACCACTCATTCATTTCTTCAAATAATTGTTGTTCACTAACAACAAATATTGCTTCTGGAATATACCATTCATCTGTTATTTCAATCCATTTATTAATTTCCTTTATTTCATTGGCATTAATCTTTCTATCAATAATAAAAACAAAACCATATCTCTCTTGTCCTTTTGAATTTGTTATTTCAAAAATTCTTTTTTCAAAAGGTCTTTTGTATTGACTTGCCTTCATTCCATTAGGAAAACAAAACATCCATAACTCATCTAATAATCGTTCATCATTTGGGTATTGTTGAGTTATAGTTCCACTTAATGGTATATTTTCAAAACTCTCTGTTGTGACTTTCTCTTTCATAAAATAGTCTTCTAAATCAAGGTTGAATGGCACATGTTCTATTTTTCCAATTCCAGAAATAATTCCTTTACACTCTTCTTTATTTTTAGTGATTTCTTTATGAAGAATATAATAACTTTTTCTTCCTGGATTATAACAATAATTTTGTTTAGTTATTTTGTGTTGAAGAATATCTGGTGACTCAATCACAGTAACTAAGTTTCTTTTTATATCCACTGAGAATTGAAGTTCACCAATCTCCATTGAGTTTTGTTCTAATTTAATTTTTGATAAATAAACAACACTTTTTGGAAGTGAGGACAGATGGATAATAGCTTCTGCTATTTTTTCTTCTTTTTTTGTCGAAATTTTTTTGATTAATGTAATAAAAAGATATGATGACAATAAGATATAACATGTCTTTTCAATTGGAAATATTATTTTTTTATCTTTCTTTACACCACTAGGAGACACTTCCACTTTAAATTTTTGTGTTGGGTTAAAACAAAGTAAATAATAAGAAGACATTTCTTCAAGTTGAATAGATGAAAAAGAAATAAAAACCATATAACTATAATTGATGAGGTTAGGAAAATATTCATAACTATTTTCGTTTTGGTTTATAACTTTAGATGACTTAATCAATTGAATCTGAGTCATAAGAATATTGATTTGATTAATCCAATTATTTAATAATGATTCACTCCCTAATAACTCAACTGTTTCTTCTTTGTCTTTAACAATTAATACATTAATTGAAGGTGTTAGTTTTTCAATAGTAACAGTTTCAATTTCTTCTAGCATAATAGAATTGATAGGAGGTTTCATATCATTATAGCTTTCTTTGCTTGAATATAATGAAAGAACTGAACGTGTTAACACCCAATAACATGGAGTCGTGTCACCTTTTTTAAATCCAACATGAGTTAAGGTTAACATCATTAAAGAATAGAACTAGTTTTATTAAGATCTTGAAAATAATTGCTATTTTTTTATAAAATGAAATTTATGATGGAATTTTAAGGTATAAATACAAATGATAAATAATAAGTAAAGAGTTAGTATAAGTAAGTAATTAATTTATTTCATCACAAGTTTCAACATTATAAATTCAAAAAGAAGGAAGTATTATTTTATTCTTTATCACTTTGATCATTGTCATGACCATCTGGTTCTTGACTTTGTTGAACTTCATGTCCTTGACTTTGTTCAGGATGTTCATAATGAAAGTCTTGATTTGTTGGGTCAGCACGTTTAGCCTGACGTCTTCCATTAATAAACATTCCAACGTGATAAACAATCTCTTCGAGAATAAGACATAAAAGAATACAAACAATAGAAATATAAATTTGTACATAATTGTTGTTGAGGTAGGTACATAATAACCCACTCACTAATGGCAAAAGTGAATTACCAAGACCACTAACACATTCACTAATTCCCATGAACATTGATTTACTTGATTCACTTGCTCTCATTGAATAATACGTTGATGTTTGATATGCAAACCCACCAGCTAAACCACCTACAAAAGCTAAGAACCAATTTACATATGCATTTCTTGAAACAGCAAAAACAATTAACATAATAATGTAGAATAATTGGAAAATAAGGAAGAAAATCCTTTTATATGTCCAAATCATAGTTAATGACATAAGCACCATAACTAAAGTTTGAGCAAGGAAATAAAAGAAGAATATAATACCAATATACATGTCAATTCCTTTTGTTGGTGTATTAACATCTTGATCTTGAGCTAATTTAACATACATATTAGAAAGAACAGCAGATGTACCATAAATACCACATTGCATAATATATCCAAGATAAATAAATGTTTTGTTATTAAATTCTTCTTTAGTCCATTTAATTTTAATTGGTTTTTCATTACGTGGTAATTCAATACTTTGTTTTGGAGTTTCTACTAAATCTTTTGGAACTTGAATATCAGCTGGTTCTTCTTTTGTCATTTCAATTTCAACACTTTTATTAGGTTGCTCTTCAGTTTTTTTAATCACATCCACATCAACTGCAATATCTTCTTTTTCTTTTTTATTTTTCTTTTTATCCTCCTTTAATTTTTTTAACTTCTCTCTAACACGTTTAGGATGAGAAAATGGATATACTATCATATTAATTAATACAAGCCCAATACATATATAAAGAGAATTAATTCCTAATGCACTTTTTAACATTCCTCCAAATAAAAATCCAAAAGCCTTACCAACAGACCAACATACTTGATATAATGATGTATTCCTATTTTCATGACCTAAAGGTGCTTCAAGTCCAATTGTTCCTGTTGTAACAGGCCAAAAGAATCCTGTACAAAATGGCCAAATACAAACAGATACATACAATGCAGCAATAGAACTTGGCCATATTAAAATAACAGCAACAGCTATAATAAAGAATACAAAAGCAATTCTAATTACAATGTATGGATTAAATTTGTCACCAATTTTACCACAAATTGGTGTTAATACTGCGTATATAATAAATCCAACAGTTTGTAGTAAAGATAAATCAAAAGTTGAACCACCTTTATCATTCATAATTAAAGGTACAACAAGCCAATAAAAATAATTTGCAAAATTAAAAAGGAATCCTGTTAGACACGCTCTTGGGAAATTCCAAAAGATTTTACCACAGTTTTTTAATATAGTTTTACAAGTAATTGCCATACGATTCACAGTATCTACAAATTCAACTATTAAGTTATTTCTACTAAAAACAATTAATTTCTTTTCATTTAAGTAATTTCTTTGTTGTTCTATTTTTTAGGGTGTTTTCTTCTATTTATCTCTCATTTTTCATCTAGTAAATTTTAGAAGTATGTAGGTTATTGTAGAAGAATTACAAAAACTTCCACGTAAAATACTTGTATGATTTTTTTGTTATATAAAACTCCTTTTTTTAAATAAATAACAAATTTTAATTTAATAATGTTGAAACTCAATGGTTAGTTTTTGTGGTAATTTAAAGTTAAAAGATCTAAATAATATAAAAAAGGAATAAAAGTAAAACAAAATAATAAATTAAGAAAGTAAAAAAGTGAAATAGTAAAAAATAATAAAAATAAATTATAAATAATAAAATAGAAGAAAAAAAAAAGATGAAACAAACAGAAAGAACAAATTAAGAAAGATGCAACAACACCTAATTTCAAATACACTTCAAAATGAAATTCCAATGTATCCAGAAACAATTTCTGAATATGTAGAACAATTAAAGAAATTTAAAGAATTTCTTGAATCATATCATAAAAGAGTTTTAGAGCCATTAGGATTTTATAATATGATGCTTAGAACCAAACAACAAAAATACACCATTCCTGAATATGAAATAGACACTATTATTCCTAATTTTGTTATCATATCAGATCTTTATGAAGATATGTTAAATAGTATTAATGATTGTATTGACCTTACTCGATCAACACAAATAGAAATGCAAGAAAAAGAAGTTGATGCATGTATGGGAATAGTAACAAATGAATTAATTGATTCATATAATGGATTAATAAAAAGATTTAGTCGTGCATACACACAATTTGCTGTTGATTATCCATATGCATTAACTAAACATTCATTTATGTTAAAGTATAATTCTCAATATAACCAACACTGTCTTAAAATCCAAAAATCATCTGAAGCATTAAATTATGGTTTAGAACAATTACTTGAAGGAGTTCTTGAATATCCTAATGAATTACTTATTGCATTAAAAGCATTATTTAATAGTATAACTGTAAAATACCCAAGATGGTTTGAATTTTATGACATGATTCAAATTGTTGAAACACTTCATAAAAAGGTGGAAGATACCAAAAAAAATCTTAAAGATCATCTTATTGTTGCACAAACAAAAATTGATATTAATTTCCCAGGAGGAGTTAGTACAGAAGAAATTTATGATGAAAATAGAAGACTTGTAAAATATGTTGATGGGATCGTAGAAGATATACAAACATTTGATTATGATGGAACTGAACTTATGCAAACCGTTTTTGAACCAAAAGAATCACGTGAAGTAAGATTTTATATATTTAATGACACATTATTTATGACAACACAACCAAAAAGATCTATCTTTAGTATAATGGCACATACAGCATTAAAAGGAATTATATTTAAAAAGAGATTTGTTTTAACACAATGTAGTGTTAGAGAAAAGAGTGATAATAGAGAGACTAATAAATATAGATGTGATATTGTTGAAGATACACCTCAAAAAACATTTGTTACAATTGAATTTGAAGATGACGCTACTCTTCAAATGTTTATTCAAAATCTTGTTAGTGCAAAGTTAGAATTTGCTAAAACTCAATGTTTTGGTGTTACTCCAAAAGACTTCTTATCAAAAGTAAAACAAGAAAAAGGAAGACTTATTCCTAGATTCTTTAGTTATTGTACTTCTGTAGCTATTTCACGTGGAATTAATGAAGAAGGAATATTTAGAATTAGTTCCGAACAAAAGAATATTACAAGACTTATCAGTCGTATTGATAATGGAGAATGGAATTTTGAAATTGTTAATCCTCATGATGCTGCTAATCTTATTAAAACATATTTAAGAACATTACCAGTTAGTATTGCTGGAGACAAATTAGATGAATTTATGGATGCATTAGAAGAACCAGCTCCAAGTGAAGCAATTAAAAAAGTATTTGAAACTATGCCAGAATGTAATGTTGCTATGATGTATGTTTTTGCATTAGTATTAAAAGCAGTTGAATCTAAAAAAGAAATTAATAAAATGGGAATAGACAATTTATGTATTGTAGTTGCACCAACATTTTTCTGGAAAAAAGGAGAAATGCAAAGACAAAATGGATTTGAAATAGTTCAATATATGGTAAATCATTTTGAAGTTTTTGATGCTATTAGACAACGTGTTGATGAAGAGTTAAAAAAAGATGAAGAAAGAATTAAAAAAGAAGAAGAACGAGCAAAAGATAGAAGAGATTTTGTTTTTGGAAAAGCATCAGAAGAAGAAAAGAAAAGAAAGAAAATTGAAGATGAAATACCAACAATGACTATTGATGAATTTAAGAAAGCTAAATTACTTGAAATACTTGAAAAAGAAAGAAAAGAAAAAGAAGAGTATAAAGAAAAGAAAAGACTTGAAAGAGAACAAAAAGAAAAAGAAGAAGCCGAAAAAAGAAGACTTCAAGAAGAGGAAATGGAAAAAGAAAGACTTGAAGCAATTGAAAGACAAAAAGAAATTGATCGTTTAGAAGAAGAAGAAACAAAAGCCAAAATTGAAAGAGAAAAGAAAAGAGCAGAAATTGAAAGAGAAATGGCTGAAATAGAAAAGAAAGAAAAACAAAGACAACTTGAAGAAGAGAAAAAAAGAAAAGAAGAAGAACTTAAACGAATTGAAAATGAAATTAAAAGAAAAGAAGAAGAATTAAAGAAACAAGAAGAAATAAGAAAGAATGTTGCTCAAATTATAGGTACTTGTTGTGTTTGTAATACTAATGTATTAGACACTGAGGACTCACTTAATGCTGGTAAAAGATTAGTACATGAACGATGTTTTGTTTGCAAAGTTTGTAAAGAGAAGATTTCAGGAAAATTTGCATGGAGAGAAAATGGGTTTATTTGTGGAAATTGTGTTATGAAAGAAAACAATTGTAGTCAACCAACTGGAGGTTCAAATTTATGTGGAAAATGTGGAAAACCAGTAGAAGGAAAAATATTAAAGGCTATGGGCAAAGTATGGCATCATGAATGTTTTGTTTGTGCTAAATGTGGTGGGAAAATTTCAGGTGGTTTTGTTAATTGGGATGGAAAACCAGTTTGCAAGAATTGTAAAGATTCCATATAACAAAGTATTGATGGAAAGTCTTTAATTAACACAATCTTTTTTCAGAAATTCAAATTGTTTAAAATAATTTTGATAAAGTGTGTAATTCTTTTGTTTTTTCTTTATTTAATAATAAATAACTTAATGGTAAAAAAATTTATTATTTTATGAATAACATTCTTTATAACAAATTTTATTTATAACAAAAAAAAAGTAGAAGAAAACTATAAAAATAAAAAGAAGATTCTTTTTATTTATTTTTAACGTAGTTCACACCACTTAGAAAGATCTACCAGAATCTTATTAAGTCTTCTTCATTCTTAAGGATTGTTATTAAAACTTTGCTTTTATCAGAGAACTAATAGGAAGAAGTATAAATATAGAATAAGAAGAATATATCCTTTTATGGAGCAGAACTAGCATTATAATAAATAACAACATGAACAGTACTGAATATATTGTTGACTCTCCAAAAGCTTCTTATAGAGATATTAAAAAACAATATTTTGATAAAATTAATATATCTTTAAAAGACTCTCAAATTGAAGATGAAGAATTTTTATGTCCTGCTCCAACAATAGAAAAACCAAGAACAATATCAAAACCAATGAGAATTCCTAAAGATGTTTGTTATTATTTATTAAGTAAAATTAATCAAACATATATTTATTTTATTAGAAAAATTCATTAGGAGATGATGTATTAAAATATATGTTAAAAGGAAGTGATGATGAGGTAAGTTGTTCTCCTCCTTCAAATTTTAAATTTTAGAAACAAACTACAAAAAAATTGTTTTTAAGTTTAATGTCTGTTTCTTTTCTTAATTTAAGAAATAAAAAAGAAATAATTATGTGTTATAAATTAATTGTCAAATTTATTTTAGTTTAATTTATGGTATGGTGTTACTGAAATTAAGTGAGTGATGGTAATAATGATAGAAATAAGGTTTAGATAAATTGTCTAAATAAATAGAAATTTATTAGTTTAATAATTTTGAAAGAACAGTAGTTATTGTTTATACTCAGTTTAAAATATGTTAAAATTGAATTTTTTTTGAAATTTATTTATTATAACTCTTTCAGAAAGAAAATAAGAGTTATGAATTAGCTATAACAATAAAAAAGTAAATGAAATGTCTATTTACTTTATTCTTTTTGAAAATTAAATTTTGTTTATAAAACGAACAAAACTAATTTAAAACCATTTTTATTAAAAATGATAATTTCATTTAGCGTTGTGTTGTTTTTATTTAAAATTATTTCATAATCATTCTAATTATTTTATTTTAAAATTAACACATTTAATTTTAATAATTCAATTATTTATCTTTTTAAGTATTAAAAGAAATATGAAAATATCATAACGTAATTAAAAATAACTTTTAAATAAAGAAAATATCCATGTGAATAAAAGCATGTAAAAAATTCCTGAGATGTTATGTTATTAAATTAGAAGAATAAACCTAAACTCTTATTCTATTATTTTTGTAAATTAATATTTCCATAATTATTTTTAGTAGTGAGAAAAAATTTTATTATTAGCAATAAATAACAAAATCTAATTATTTTGCATTAGTATTGGTGGTTATATATTTTATATATTCATTGGTAGATTTTTCAATTTTATTTAATAGTATGATTGAAGAATATTTTGGTTTCAATTTAAAGTCTCATCTTCGTTTTGATTAAAAATTTTTTCTTCTCATTACTTTATAGAATAAATTTTCTTAAAAATTATCATTAAGAAATGAATAAATGAGATATTTAGATAAAGCAATTTAAAAAGGGAGGAGAGAAAGAAGGTTATTATTGTTTTAAAAATAATTTGAATTAGTTAAGCATTATTTAATTCAAATATCTCAATTAAATAATCAAATCTAAGTTAAATAGGTTAAATATGAAATTAATGAAATAAATCAGTAAAATATAAGAAATAATTTCTTTATCAACTATCAGTAATTGAAAAAAATAGTAAAGAACAAAACCGATTATTGATTATAGTCTTTTGATAGTTATTAAAAAAAAATATAACAAGATAAAGATTTGATAATTTAATTAAGTAGAAATGACAAATGAATAATTCTTAGAGTTTATTATTATTTATGTATTAGTATATAATACTATTATTTGTAACATATTATTTCTAATGGTGTATTATTTAGTAATAAAGTAATGTTTAATATAATTATGTTTAGAATGTGGTTTTAAGTGATTAATATTCAATTAAAATATTGACCTTATTATTTGATGATAAAAAACAATAATAGATTATCTACTAGATAATTTTATTTGATTGTTTTAATTTATTGTTGTAATATAATACTATATTTTATAAGTAATACTTATGATTAATTCTCTTAAAGAGGTATTTTGATATGATGAAGTTAAATATTAAATAAATTCTTAAACAATTAAATAATTATTAACAAGAATCTTTTTATAAAAAAAGGTTATTAAAAAATAATATTGGTTCATCGTTGTCCTATAAGAGTCAATACGTTTAAACATCTAACAAGTCTATCTTGATGTAATTATTCATAAATAAAAATTTGGTTAAAAATAAAAAGGAGAAATAAGAACGAATAAATGTGCAATTTAACAACAACCACTTTCAGACTTTGTTTCAAGTGCAATAGGAACAGGGTTTAAATCATCACCATTATCGTCTTCTTTATTTTCTATAATAACTTTAACAACTTCCATGAATAAGTCATTAACTCCTTGGGCTGTTGCAGCACTTGTTTCTATATATGAGTAATTTCTTCCTTCACACCATTGACGAGCACTTTCAGTTGAAACTAACCTCGGTTGGCAGTCCACTTTATTTCCACATATAATGATTGGCACATCTTTTCCATTGAGTGCTCGTGAGTATTCACTAATCCATGTGTCAATAGCAGTAAATGAACTTGTATTTGTTACGTCAAATACAATAATTGCTCCATCACTTCCTCTATAAAAAGATGAAACCATACTTGAAAATTTTTCATGACCAGCTGTATCCCAAATTTGAAGGTTATATTCTTTATTTTCAACATAGACTGTTTTAGCCAAAAAATCACATCCAATCGTTGTTTTGTATGTTGGCTCAAATTTATTCATTACATATCGTTGTATTAATGATGTCTTTCCAACTCCACTTTCTCCAATTAAAATCAATTTTAGCATTGTAATGAATATTTATTTACCTTCTTTTGAAGTTCTTTTACTTTTTCTCTTTTATTATTTAAATGACTTTGTTTATTATTATTTCTTATTTCATTTATTCATAAAATTTCCTTTTTTATTTATTTACTTATTTTTTTTTGATATTGAATAAAATACTTCTTAATTTGTTAGTCTCTTTATGGACTAACAATGAAATCAGTTCAACGCCTTGAAAAAAAATTGCTCCAATGAAAGGTTTGACATTCTTAATTATATAACTAATATTAGGTACTACCAACTTATTTTTTAAATAAACTTTATTTTTGCTACTATAACATTGTCATAAATAACAAAAAATTATAATTTTTTTTTCAACAATCATCTTAAACTTAATACTTCATAACTATTTTGTTTTTAGAAATTACAAACTAAAAGATAAGTGCTTAGACTATTTTCATTTGTATAAAATTATACTTTAGAAATAAGAGAAAAATAAGTAAATTTTTTAGATTTAAATTATTAAAAAATAGTTCTAATGAATCATCTTTTCTATTATAAAAAAATATTCTTCAAATTTTTTAATTTGTTTAAATTATTTTTCTTTGACAAATATCAAAAGAAAATCTAACAATAAGTTTTGATATAAGAAAAGCAATTATCATTATATATTTATAATTAATATTATTTTTAAATATAACATTTATTGATATTTACAAATGAGTTTATAAATATTTGCTTTTTTTTGAAAAAGTTGATAGAATAAATTGTTTTTGAACATTTTAATTTTCAAAAATATTGAATTTCTTAGATTTATAAATTAATAATAAAAAAAATGAGTTAATAATATAATAAATTCAATTCTAATTCAATTCATTATTTATATCATTCAAAACTCCTGTTTTTTTTTTAAATTAATATAATAGTAAATAATAAATGATAGTTAATTAAGTGGTATTACATGTATTTTCTATTTTTCTTTATTCACCAGAGATTTAATCACATTACTGTGCTTTATGAATGGATTACTAATCAATTATTCACTTGGTATTTAGTTTTTCATTGTTAAGAAATGTTATTTTTTATGCTTCATTTTTTTTTCATTTACATTGAACTAAAGTTTTTTCATACTTCATCAACTTAAATATTCTTCATTTAAATAACTACCTCATCTTTATTTGAATTTTGTTGTGTATTGAAATTCCTCATTTTTTATTTTCTTATATTATGATGCAAGGATATGTTATTACCACTGTATTATAATGAATAATTTCATTTAACACTAACAACAATACACAGATTATTTCTTTATAAAACACATATACTATTAAATTACTTTCATATTTATAAATAAATAATCCTATCACTTTTGATAATATTTATTAATTTATTATAATAAATAATATTCCAACATAAATAATCAACTCCATTCTTGAAGTATTGGACTCGGTGTTTTTTAACTAAAAGTAACATCACAATCAAACTATAATTAGAAATTCAATGTTTAGATTTATTTTAATGTTTGTGTAGTTTCTCTGACGTGTCATTTGAGAATATAATGAATATAATAAATATAATATTAATATAATAAATTTATTTTCGAAGACGTTTTACTCTGTTTTGTTGAAGAAACTGTTAAATACTAATCATACTATTATGAAAAATATCACCACCTTCTTGCTGATTATTTTGTTAGTTACTGTTGATGCTCGAAGATCAACTAAAAAGTCTTCTGTACGTAAATCACCACGAAGATCACTTAAATCAAATTCTTTTTCAACAAAAATAAGAAGCGCTAAGAGAAAGGTAACTGCTAAGGCTGTTCAAATAAGAAGAGGCACACAAAAACGATTAAAGGTTACAAACCAACTTTCAGACATTCGAAAAAAAGGAAAAAAGTTTGCGGTTAAGACTTTAAAAAATGCATTTAATTCCGCAAAAAAGCTTAAAAATAATTCTCTCAAAAAAGTATTAGGAAAAGAGCGACTCATTAAACGTAATAATAAAAAAGGATTGAGTAATAGAAAGAAATCATTAACAAATATTTTTAATAAAGGGAAAAAAAAATCAAATAACATTCTTAACAAAGTATCTAAGAAAGGTAAGAATGTAATTAAAAACGTAAAAAGTATTTTAAAAAAAGGTAAAAATACTGTTAAAGGTATAGTTAAGAAGGGTAAAAATCAAATTAATACTCTCAAAGAAGCATCTAAAGATAGAGGAAAAGACAAACTTAAAACATTAAAAGAAAATGCTTTAAAGAAGGGAAAGACTGTTATTGATGCTGCTAAAAAGAAAGGAAAAAAGATTGCAAATACCTTAACTTCAAAGTTAGCTAAGGCTCAAAATAAAAAGGAAAATGTTAAAGAAGTAATCAAGGGTGCTTATGAAACATGGAAAAAACAAAATAACCAAGACTCATCAAATAGCTTTGTAAACGAACAAACAAGTGGATCATCTGGATACTCTGGAACAACTGGAAGTTCTGAATATTATGATGGATATAGTCCAAGTAGTACTTCAACAGGATCAAGTAGTTCAAGCACAGGAATATCTGGTAATGGAGCTAACATACCCAACACACCAACAACTAACATACCCAACACACCAACCACTGACAGTACTAATACACCAACAACTGACAATACTAATACACCAACCACTGATACATCTACTAACCCAATAACAACCACTGAAAATCCTCCAAGTCCAATTCTTCAATGGAAATTTGCTAATCCAGCCATAAAGGGATGGGGTTGTTGTTTCCTTGCAGCCTGTTATATTGGAGGGTTAAATACCTATGAGCAAATTAATGACTGTTATGACTGGGCTGTTGCCAATAAAAGAATCCGGGGTAGTGATTGTTATGTCTATGGAAAAGAGCAATTAGCAATTGATATTGCCAAACACTATGGAACACCATATCATGTTGGTGATACATTTGATAAAAACTCTCATCATTATTGGGTAATAGATAGTACTGGAAAGGAAGTCTACAATTCATGTGGTATTGGATGGAGAGGAGATTAATTAAAGCATTGAACAGAGTTTCTAATTTTAGAATTAATGATTATTAACAGTTTTAAGGATTTTTTCATTAATTTTTAGTTAAATTCCAAAAGAAAAACAGTTCAAACAGTTTGTCTTTCTTTTTTTGAAATAACCTTTTTATTAATTGATTTATTATTTTTAGAATATAAAATTTCTTTTCAAGGGGAATGAAATATTCTAAAATATCATTTAATGACACAAACACACAAAAATAGTATATACTAATGATATGTTCAAAAGTTCAAAGATGTAACAGAAACAAAAAAAGTCAAAGAGATAAATTCACCGACTAGAATATTTGGTTTAGTAGTTTTAAGAAATTAGTTTAAACTACAAACAAAATAACTTTGAAAAAATAAGTCTAAGTTGTTAATATGTTATATAATCTTAGTTTGTATTGTTATAACAAAGAAAAATAAAAGGATAATAGAAAGAAGAGTGTAGATAAAAATAAATTGGTTAAATTAAGTCATATCTAAAAAAGAATCATAATGAAAAACTTGGTAATTGAAAATAAATAAAGAGTAGAAAGAATTTATCAATGGAATAATAAGTATTGTCTTATTATAGTGCTAAAATTAATAATTTATAATAGAGATTAAAATTGTATTTAGATCTAATTTTATTGAATGGAAGTTTAACAAAGAGATAATGGTCAAAATAAAATTAAAGTAATATGAGATTTAATTAAAGTAAAGTAAAAAATTATTTAAATTAATTTATTTCAAAAGAAGAGTTCATTTTTTCATGTCTTAGACAATATAATAATTTTCTTTTAATTGAGTAAAATTGATTATACTTCAGAAAATTATAATCAATATATTTAAAATATAATTTTATAGTAGTTATTTTTGATTCTTTGAGATGTGAAATATATTATTAAACTTCTTTTTTTTTTAAATAATTGATTATTATTAAATAAACTATGTCAAAATTATTGTGTAAATCACTTAAAGTTTCAAGTTTTAAATTTATTAATTTAATTGGACTATTAATATGAATGTATTTATTTTTTCCAATAAGTATATTATCTGTAAGTTATTAATCTTTAACAGAAAAGTGTTAAAAATTTTTTGGATAGAATTTAATATTGACAACAGTTTTGTTCAACAAAATAACCATAATGTAATTTTTATTACACGGTCTCAAGAAAAAAAAACAAAATATTCTTGATAAACAAAATGGATTTTATCTTTTTTCTTATGTATAAATGAAAAAATTTTAAACAAAGGTAAATTTTGCTATAATTTAAATATAGTTTCGTTTAGTTTTGAATAGTTTAAAATTGAAAAATATTAATTTTATTTAATTCATTTCGAGTTTTATGTGGTTTATTTAAAATAATACAACATGAAAAAAGAGAGAAAATAAAAAAAGAGGAAGGAAGAAAATGAAAGAATTTTCTATTATATCTGTAGTTTATGAATTTTCATAGAAATACAAAAATGAAAAAAAGATTTTATCAAAATGAAGAATTAATTACAAGTGATAACATGAGTATAAACATAGTCCACATCTCAAAATGGAATTGCACTTGAACGACAAGACTCTATTTCATCATATACTGATTGATCTAAAACTATATCGTCAATACAATTTGAGTGAAATGAACTTAAAGGAATAAGGCTTAAAGAATCTGATTTTGGAGATGGTTGTTGTTTTTTACAATGAAAAGGAGATTTTTTACTTATTATTTTTGAGAAGAAGTGAAGTTTCTTTTCGGATTCCATAATCTGGTTATTATAAGTTCTTAAAATGAAGCTTTTATTTCAACACTGATTAAGTGAAAATCAACTAAATCTCATTTTCTTTAAAACACCAAGACTCTTATTTTTTGTTGCAATATATTCTGTTTTATTAATTTCTATTTTAATATGGCAAACTCTTTTTTTTTAATACCAGATTTGTCAAATTTACTTTGTATATAAATACCATTCATTACACTTATATTCTTTTTGGTTTTGCTTTGTTCAAAAAAATTTTATATTTTTTATTTCTGATATTTTAAAAAACATTGGTTATTATTTATTCGTACTAACTCAAAACCTTTAAATACTTCCCTTTTTTTAATTGTTTTCTTCAATAATTCGTTGCGAAGAAATTTAGAATAAATATAAAATATTTCCAAAAGTTAGTTCCAAGTTCTTTACAAGAATGAAAAACAGTATTAACCAATAACACAAATTAATATCAAAAAGTCAAAATGAAAAACACCAAAAAAAACTCGAAAATAATCAGAAGAAATGACAACACAAAATGATTATCTCCATTACGAAACAATACATGAATCAACCACAGAACCTTCTACCCAAAAAACTCATTTTAAACAAACACCAATACCAAAACCAGCTGCACCACCACCACCTTCTATTCTTTTATCACCAAAACATAGAGCCCCTCCACCTCCATTATCTCCAAGGGTGAATGGATTAAATGATGTTCAACAACCATCTTGGGTGAATGATCCTTCAACTGATTCTGTTCATAATTTAGATTCTAAACCAATAATTGAAAAGAAAATTGAATTTAAAAGAAATGTTGATACTATTCATCGAGAAGAATTACATAAAGATGATGGCGTATTACATTTACAAAGTCCACAAATTATACAAAGACCACGTTCATTTAGTGATACTTATGGTAAATTAAAAGAAGTTCCAAACACATTTAATGTTTCTACTGAAAAAAAGAAGAAAAAAAAAAAATTTGGAATATTTGGAAAGAAAGAAGAAGATATTATTATTAGTGATCCTGAAGGATTTTCAATAACTATTAGTATGAGGCCAGGTTCATCTTCAAATCCATTAAGTAGGTTTGATGGTAAAAGTGAGAAAGCATTATATCCATTAAATCCTCCTCTTCCTCTTTTGAATAAACGATATGTAAGTTCAGAAAAGGAGTATTTTGATTTAATTGATGAAATTGAAAAGGAGCAATTATTTTTTGATGAATGGAGTAGTCCTGTTGTACCAAATGAAAAATGGGAAATGAATTATTCTAATGGTTGGGAAAAAAAAAGCCTTGTTACTACATCATGTATTGAAGATGGATATTACATTGAAATTGAAGAGGGTGCTTGTACTACAAATACTGATTTAAAAGATTATTTAATTGTAGATATCACGTCTGACTTTAATTACTTTAACAAATTTGTAAAAGGTAATCCAGATGCAGAGCATTATATTTTAACAGAAGAACCAACAGCTCTTAGTATTATTCCAGCAACACACAATGGATTTAGAAGAGGAATTGTAATGAATAAGAAAGGAGAAATTCGATGTTTATTACCAAATGAATTAGAAAAGGTTAAAGAATTTAAAGTTGCTTTTCCAGACTTAAGTCATGGAGATTTTTATAAATTGAGTAAGCAAAATAAAGAAAAGTTTGAAAATGAAATAGCAAGGATTGAAATAATGAATTCAATTAGTCATTATAAATTTGGAATATTATATTGTCAGTCTGGTCAAAGTAATGAAGATCAAATGTTTGGAAATACTGAAGGATGTCCTGCCTTTTATAAATTCTTGGACTTACTTGGAAATAAAATTGAGTTACATGGATTTAATAAGTACAGAGGTGGATTAGATGTTTCAAGTGGTTCTACTGGAATTTATAGTTATTTTACAGAATATTTAAGTTATGAAATTATGTTTCATGTCTCTACATTATTACCAGAACAACCTGGAGATCTTCAAAGAGTAGAAAAGAAAAGACATATTGGAAATGATGTTGTTGTCATTATATTTAAAGAACAAGGAAATAATTGGCAAGATCAATTTAATCCTAAATGTCTAACTTCACAATTTAATCATATATTTATTGTTGTTCAACCAGAAATAAACACAAAAGATAATATGGGATATTTTATTACTGTTTGTTGTAAGTCATCTGTTAGTCCATTTCCTCCATTCATGACAACAACGCATTACAGTCATGATGAAAAAACAAGAGAATTCATTTTGAGAAAAGCTATAAATGGGGAACGAACAGCAATGTTTTCGACTGCTTTTAAAGGAAATGCAACTAAAACTAGAAAAAAACAACTTTCATTATTATTTGAAAGCCTTGAAGATTGAATTATTTTATAAATTTACATTTATTTGTTATAATTTTTTTCAAATTAAAAAATATAACTTAACAACTATAGAAAATTAAATTAGAGAAGAAACAGAACGATGTGGGACTTCAAAAATACAACTAGCCCCATCTTCTTTATCATCGTCTTTATTTATGAATTTGAATTGTGGTTGAATAGGTTGGTCAATATAAGTTGGTTTTATTATTTTTGATTTTTTAGGAAATTTAATCATAAGCTTAGCATTTAAGTCAAGGTCATTAAAATTCTTTAATGGATAATGTTGTAATAATCTTAATGCTTCATCAAATTCTTTTTCCATTAATTCATCTTTAATTGATATAATCATTGAAACACAAAAACATTGAAGGTATTGTCTACTTCTTAAATTAGCAAGAATTCTATCCCAAAACATTACTAAAGAATTTATTGGTAATTCTTCTGTTAATAACAATGACATCCATCTAAATAAAAATAATGCATTCTCAATTCCTTTTTCTTGTAATGATTCAAACAATTCGTTATCTTCTTCTTTTAAACGATTCATCACACCATTCATTGCTTTATTAATACCTTCATCTTTATCATCTTCTTCTTCATTAAAATAATGTGAATATTCTTTTAATAAACCTTTCATACAATAATAACTTGATACTTCTGCCCCTTCAAAATCTTGATTATTTGAATGAAGAGCAAAAACATAATATAATACTGAAACAAGTTCATTCATGCCTTGAGTATATTTAATTTTATCAATTGCAACAAGACAATATAATATCCTTTTAATAACATTTCTATGATTAACAATATTATTTTCGTTTTCAATTTTTAAGATAGTAAGTGTTCTTGGAATATCATTATCAATTATTCGTATTTGGTATTTTAATTTAACAGCATCTTGATCAATTTTCTTTCTTTGGTCTGATGAAGTAGATGATGACCGTGGACGTACAATTTTATCAAACAAAGACTTTGGAGAAGGAAGACGAGAAACTGTTGAATGAGAACGTTCAGGAATAGCAAAAACACTTTCATTACGAGGGGTGTCAAGTGAACTATTTGGTGTTTTGTCATCATGAGATAAAGGAGAAGGATCATTTCTATCAAAAATAATAATTTTGGGGTTATTTGAAAGTCTTGTTGGACGAGGTCTTATTGGTTGTACTTCTTTCTCAAGAAAATCAGTTCTTCCAATAATTGTTGGCAATAATTGTTGGGTATTAACTTTATATTGTTGGGACTTTTGTTGAATTTCTAGTCCCCATTCAAATTGATTTGGAGGTAAATATCCTAATAAAATCTGCCATGCTTTTGGTCTTAAAGCTGAGTTAACTTGAAGCTTTCCTGAATACATCATTTTTCTTAATTGGGTTATGTCAATAACTGGTTCAATAAAAAGTGATTCAATTCGTTCATTCATATTTTGGATGTTTGTTAGTTGAATAAATTTGATCTTGTAAATAAAATAGTTTTATTTAATAGTTTATTTTTTTAGTTTAATATAATACTTTTTATTTGTTGAATTGATTGAAACCTATAAAAAGTTAAAAGAAAAATTTACTTATAAATTATTTCATTTACAATCCCGTAACATAAAATAAATTCCTGTTTCTACTTCCAGCAACAAGAGAGTTGTTTTTTTTTTGAAATAACATTAAAATTAATTCCTATCATTGTATATATTATTGTTTTAAGAAGCTGATAAGAAGAATTTTTACTGTTGAACCATCACATCCACAAATAATTTGATTATTACAACAACAGATAATCTCAACTTTATTTTATATATAACAATTTGAAGACTTAAGAATATAAATATCATAAACTATCAAAATCTTTTCATTTCCAATAACACAAAAATGGTATGGGTCTATTATTCCTAATTGAAATACTCCCGATTTATGAAGTTTACTTTCTTCAATAGTAGGAAATTATGAAAGTATAGTCCATATATTAATTGTTCTATCAAAAGACACTGAAAATATAGACTAACGGAATAAATTGTTTTATTAAAGTAAATTTCCATAAATGGGTTTGAGTAAGAGTATATATTATTGTTTGCTTAAAATTAAAATAATTGATAAATTCCACTAGTACAATGTCATTCTAAACAACAAAAGTATTGTTTTATAATGGTAAAATCCTGTTAGTTTAACTTGTCAATGAATCAAAAATAATTGTCAGTATATTTAATTATACTACATTTATAACTAATACTAATAAATTTATTATGATAGACAAAACTACCAATTGAACTATTTGGACCTATAAAAACTTTATTTGTTATTAGTTAAGATGTAATGTTCTATACTTTTAATTTTCTCTTATAATTTAAACAAATCAATTCAACATTATTTGCATGAATATCAACAGAGTTTATTACATTTAAATAACTTTCCAATACTTGAAATGGTGATTGTCCATGAACATCCTTTTCAGCAACTGATGAATAAAGTGTGTTATTTGATGGTATTAACGAAGACTGTTTTTGAAGAGGAAGCTACAACCATTTTTTATTTGATAGAAATACTGTTGGTTCATTAAAAGTAGTTAACGCATTAAATAAAGAAGGAAAATTTATAATTGATTTAGAATTTATAAATAATAAGTTATTATCTAATGATAATGCCTTAGAATATTACTATTTGAATTTCTTAAGAAGAGACTACAGAATTAATAGTAGTTTTAATATGTTTATTTGTAGCTTTAAGACTTTTAATATCAATTACAGTTAAATATAAGAAAACCATTATGATTTTGAATAATGTGTATTTACAAAAAAAATGTTCCTTCTATATGTTTCTTATTTTTATAATTCAAAATGAAGAGTCAAATATGTAAAAGTTTTTTTGGATTATCAAACAATAATGAACAAGAATAAAAATTATTTTTCATATTATTTAAGAAGGTATATTCAATTTCCATAGAAAACTCAGTTGTTTTTTTTTCAGAAATATCAAAGAAGTATGGAACATTCCAATATTTATTAATATCTTCTGATAATAAAACATATGCTATTATGCTGAATTAAAGAAAAATGTTTTTGAATTGCTTTTATTTAATCTTTCTATTGATGCTAAATGATAATGAAACATAGAACAATCATCAGAATAAATAAGCAAAAAAAAAATTATTATGTTGCATCATAATATTCCTTGATCCTTTCTTTAGAAGAAAATAATTGTCTTGTTTTTCAATTGTTTGACAAAGATTTTTAAATACTAACTTTGTCATTGGTTCAATATTCCTTTTTTTTTAAATTTGTTTTCTTTCTCAATACCTCCAACACAATGAAAAACTAAAACTCTATCTTTCTACACTCACTAAATTCATTTCTTTCTCTTTGGTTTAAATTTTTTTTGTAGTTTTTAAGTTTTATTTTTATCTTTCTTTGGTATTTATAAATAGTTTTTAGGAACTTCTTTCAACTATTGTTATTTTTATCAAATTTAAGTTGTTATTTCCGATGATAAATTAAACTGTTGTATAACTATTTTCATTTTTATTTGAATAACACAAACTTAGTTAGAATGAAGATTCTAATTCAACATTTCCACATGTAAATGAAATACCATTCTCACACTTCAATTCAACACGTGCTGTTACTCCAAAATCAATTGCTTTTAAAGAGAATGGTTTGGTATAATCAACAATAAGTGAAGATGAATTTGAATGTAATGAAGGAGCCATACAATTCCATGGAGGTTGCTCTTTAATAAAAATGTAACGATTAGACTGAGTAAGTTTTCTCGAAGAAAGAAGACAAGAATAAGAAGGTTGTATAAAGCTTAAAATAAGCAATAATAGTAATGCAAGAATAATTGAAAATATCATTAAATAACCTGCTAATTTCTTTGTTATATCAAAAAAAGTGAGTCCAACAATTAAAGAATTAAGAGCAATAACAATACTCATATAAATTTGTAATGTAGATCCCATTAAAAATGTCATTGAAAAAGCTATTAAACCAATTGAAATAATTATATACCATCTAGTAATAATATTAATAATAATTTCTTTATTAAACTTATTATTAATTACTTCATCATTCCAATCACTTTTCCAATAAGACAACCAATTTATAAATGAAACAACAATAGTCCAAATCCAAATCATTCCAAAACTTGGTATACAAATTACTTCTATAATTGATAATATTGTAAATATTATTGCTACCCACCAAATTATTTTTTTTGGACCTAATCCAAATTTACCAATAAATAATTCATTTTCATCTATTTCTTGTGGTTCTAAAACTTGTTTAAGAATATCTTTAATTTTTTGTGTAATTTCAGTTACTTTATTTAATTCTGTTATAGAAGTATATAATTCTTTTAAAGATGACACAATATAAGGAAGTAATGCAACAGTATCAATACTTAATGTTCCATCAGGAAGTACTTTAACTGTGTTAGGATATATTTTTTGTAATTCTTGAGCCATAAATCCATATTTTTGATTATTTTCATCATTTTTATAAACAAAAGAATATCCTACAACATTTTTAAGTTGTTCTAATGCTCCAGTAATTTTTTGAATTTCATTTTTATTTCTTTGATCACTTCTTTGGAAAAACCCTGCTTCACTAAATAATTCACCTGCAATACATAATCTTTTAATATTCTTATTAACACTTTGAATTGTAATAAAATCTTCATTACATGATGGTGTAATTGATATAATTTGATTGTTATTTTCTATTTCTTTAGAACTTTCAATAGTATCACCTAATCCAGTTTTATAGGGTTTTCTTTTTCGTTGATTAACTGTATCAGTTACAAATGTGATATATTCTAAACATTTTGATTTAACTTCTTTTCGTTTTTCTTCAGGTAAACTTTTATATGCAATTCCATGAAATTCATGTGGTAATAATTTTAAATGTCCATCCCAAACATGTGAAATACAATTGTATTTTGTTTTTGCTGGTTCATTACATCCTGGAAATGTACATTTATATTCTTTATATCTAATTCTATGTCCCTCTCTTGACATCTTGTATCAATGTATTATGTTTTGGTTTTCTTCTTTTTTTCAGTTTCTATTCTTTAAAATAACTTTTTTTCTTTATTGTATTTTTATTATTTCTTCTTTTTAATGTTTTTCTTCTATTAAATTACCTTGTTGAAATAATTAAGAATAATAACTTATTTTTTGTTATCTATTTTATATAAAGAAGAAAGTATATTATTAAAAAAAAAAGATGTTTAAACACTGTCATTTTAGTATTATTAAATTGTCTTATAATCAAAGAAGATGGTGTTTAAAAATAATTCTTTTTGTTAAAAGAGTAATATTATTTAATATAAAAAAGTTTCTTATATTTTTCTTTTTTATTGAAACAAATATGTTTTTTAAATAGAATTAATTAGTAAGGATATTTTTCATTAAAATAACTCTCTAGTCAAAGATAAAAAATGAAAGAATATTTTATTCTACCATTTCAATCGATTTCATCATTGATAACATTGGTCCTTCAGGGTTCACTCTTTTCAAATAATAACATGCCCTTTCAATTGGTATTGAAACAAAATTGTTATGATGATGACAAATAACTAATCCTGTTTTTCCTGCCATAGCTACATGAACTGCTGCATTTGCTAAACATAAACAGAAATGTGCATCAGCTGCACTACATGGTGCTGATCGAATCATATAAGATGGATCAACAAATTTAATAGTATGTTCTATTTTTTTATTTTCTAAATACTTATCTATTTCTTGTCTAATATATGTAACAGCATCCCAATGAACAATATTTCCTGATTTATCACTACCAAGATCAAGACCTTTTGGTTTAAGATTTTGACATGCCCCTTCAGCAATAACAATCACTATATGTCCTTTTGACATTAATCTTCTTTCTGTCATTCTAAGAATCTCTTCAATTGGTGTATCAACCTCAGGAATTAATACTAAATTTACATCTCCTGATGCAACTGATGCATATAATGCAATAAACCCTGCATCTCTACCCATTAGTTTAACTATTCCAACTCCATTCTTTGCTGATTTAGCTTCATAATGAACTGAATTAATAGCTTCTTGTGCTAATTCTACAGCAGTATCAAACCCAAAAGTAGAGTCTGTATAACAAATGTCATTGTCAATAGTTTTAGGAATACCAACAACTGCAATAGGACTACCTCTTCTTCTTAATTCTTTATTAATTGCATTTGCCCCTCTTAATGTACCATCTCCTCCTAATGTGAAGAGAATATTAAAATTATTATCAATAAGAAATTGTGCCATAATTTTAGGGTCTTGAGCTCCTCTTGAAGTACCTAATATAGTTCCACCTCTTTGATGAATATCACTGACTGTAAGGGTGTCAAGTTTCATTTGTTCAGATAATTCAGGAACAAGTCCTTCATAACCATATTTTAAACCATAAATTTGTTTAACTCCATATCTATTTTGAAGGTTCATAACTAATCCTCTAATAACATTATTTAATCCTGGACATAATCCTCCACATGTTACTATTCCAACTTTGGTTCTTTCTGGAATGAAGAATATTTTTTCCATTGGTCCTGCTAAATCCACTTCACATTCATTAACAGGTATTCCATCAATTTTAATAGCAGACATAGACATTTTCATTCCATTAACAAAAGGTTCAGGTGATGCATATGTATTTTCATATTTACATTCTCCTAATGATGTAATTTCTAATGATGGAAGTGGTTCTTCTGGTTTTTTAGCAATAAGTAAATCATTTCTTTGATGGACATGTCTTCTTTCGGTCATCTAATTTTATTTTATCTTTTTTCGATGTTATTTTTGAGATTTCCTTTTTTCCTCAATACGATTTACTAGAAATTACACTAAAAATAAAAAATAAATGAATATTTAATAATTATTGTTTTTAAAAATTGAATAAACAAAAAAAAACAAACTGTCTGTTTTAAACATTAATTTTACTTACAACAACAAACTTTTAATCCTTCATAGTTATTCATTCTTATTTTTTTTTTTTCAGAGTATATTACTTGAAAGAGTCAAAATTCATTAAATTAAATTATATTAGTACACTCACTTCAATTAGTATATTCATTCAAATAAACAGTAAAATACAACACATCTACTAATGTAAAATAATTTAATATTATACATTACTATTAATTCTTTCTGAATTATTAACATTTCAAAGTTTCTTTCAATAATAAATTATTAATTATTATTTTATTTCTAATTATATTTATTACAAGACATATTGAATTATAATGTCAATTTGAAATATTGAAAAGAAAATGACAATAGACTAACAAAGAAAAGAGTTGTTGTGAAACCTTTTAATGTTCATGCATTAGTTATAAGTTAATAACTTACCTTAAATTTATAAAAAAAAAAATGAATAAAAACTCTAACTTGACTAGATATTATAAAAGAAAAATTAACAACAGTATTTTAATTTTCAACTAATTAGTATTGTTGTGTATTATCTATAGCCAGTATATAATTATGTGCATAACAACAGTCCAATAAATTTGAAAATATTATCAGAAGTTGTTACTTGTAAAATTGACTTTTAGAGTTTTATCACTAGTAAAGTACTACTCCTAAATAAAAAAAAAAAAAAAGAAATCAATTATGATTAACCTTATCTTTATGTGTTCATCATGTTGAGAAGTGAGCGAATCAGTTTCTTCAACACGCTTTATTTCTATTGAAATAAAGTTTTTGCAAGCATGCTCGACTTAAATGGTTCCTCAATTAAGTTGCTGCCTGACTTTTATTTTGATTTTAATGAGTAATATAATATTTCTCATTCTTTATATTGTTGTTTTAAGGAGAGTATATCCATAACTTACTGTTATAGCTCATCTCCTTTTACCTTCGACACCCCTTAAAGAAACCCTATTCCTTGATAATATCATTATGTTTAATTTTTGTGCAACAATATCAATTATATATGCTTCTTCTTTAATAAATGATAATTCTTAATACATAATACACCCTTAGTAAATAATAATCCTTATAATTAATAATGAATAACAATACACCTCAATGAATAACAATACACGTTAATGAATAACAATACACCTCAATGAATAATAATCTTTTATAATAATCACTTCTAATAAATATTAATAATAATAAACAGTTAGTGTTGAATAGATATTATCTCACCAAAGGCACGTCATAACCAGACGATAACTGGGAGATTCGAAGCATGGGATTATTTTAGGGTTTCATGTGGTGTCTCTGACGTGCCATCTTCGAATCTAAGTACTACTCCTAAATAAATAAAAATGAATTTTTTGAATATAAAAAACTTACAATTTTTATTTTAATTTTTTTATATTTATTCCAGAATTGAAATATTATTATTAAAGATATGAGAAGTAAATAGAAAACTAACAAAGAAATTGTCTCATTAATTAGTAGAATGATAACGGTTATTGTCACTGTTTTAAAATTAGTTTAAAGAAAAAAAGAATAGGGGTATTTTTTCTTCTTTGTTTTTTGAAATTTGAAGGTTTTAACAAAATCAAAAATATATTCAAAATGTAATTTTTGATTTAATCAATGGAAAGTTCTTATTCAAAGACAAATACTTGATTCACATTCTATAATTGAAATTAAATTTTATTAATTAATATTAAATGTTTGAATAAAAAATAATTGCATAATGTTTCTTTTCAGAGAAAAGCAAATTATAATATCTACTTATATTGTATTTGAAAAATTAGATTATGTATGTAGTAATACTACCACAATTAACCCAATCTTAATAAAATTATATTGGTTTCAAAAAACAAAACAAGGATATATTTTTTAAATTCATTAAAATCCAGAAAAACCCAGAAACTTTAATAAAAGAAAAAAGAAAGAACTTGTTTATATAGAAGAACAATATTCTACTTAAAACTTTGGGGTTGTTTTTCTTAAAAATAATGTTTAACATAATAAAATTTTAATGAAATATTTGTATAATGCTGAATAAGCTGTTTTGAAATTCCAAAAAAATAAAGAAATTATTTTATTTTTTGTTTTTAGTATAATGTAATTAAAAATAGAATTATAAAATCAATAACTATTAAATATAATAAAAAAACTAAAAAATAAAAATAACTATTCTAAATTCAATTTTAGACAAAGATTTTACAAAAATAAAAATAAATCTATTTTCAAAAAGAAAAAAAAATGATAAAAATATAAAAATAGCACATAGAACCTTTATTATTTATAATTTCCAAGTGATACGTTACTTGGTTTATTTGCTCTAAATCTATTTTTATATTCATTGAGATATAGAAATTTAAAGGGTTGCGAGAACAAGTTTCTTTAATAAATGACTTCTAATCAAATAAACACTAGTGTAAAACAACAAAATAAATACCAAATATATAAAAATTATCAAGTTTATCAAGAATCAATATTGATTAAATTGCTTTTACCTTATTGTGATATTGTTTTTGGAAAACCTTCTAAAAAAACTACAACAACCTTACAATTCCTTAATATTAAAGAATTAAAATTTAAAAATTATTCTATCAATATTACTGAATATATTGAAAGAAGATGTAAGGAAATAATTGAAATGGAACGAAGAAAAGGTGTTAAAGAAAAAACATCTCTTCGTAGATATGAAAATAATAAATTTACTGAGTGTCTTCATTTATTAATGGACATTCTCAGTGAATTTGGTTATTTTTTTAATACAACAAAATCTCAAGGAAAGAATGGTATTGCTAAAAGTGAAACAATTCAACAAATATTTTATAAAGGATTTTTTATGTTTAGTAGAGAACAAGTGGAACTTTTTGGTAAGAATTATCATAATTCTCTTATTCAATCAATTAATGAAAATTCAAACCTTGTTATCACCAATAATTCTCTTTGGTTTCATTAAAATGTAAATTAATTGTGTTATTTTTTTCTTTTGTTATTTATTTCACTTTTTATTGTACATTCTTTTCTATTTTGTTATAATTATTTATTTCTTTTTTTTCTTTCTTATTTAAAAGTATCAAAAATAATTTTTTAAATTGTTGGTTGTTTATTCTCTTTGTTTTTTTTTCTAGTTTGTTTTTATTTAGATTTTTTTTTGAATGTTTATATTCAATACATTAACAAATACTTCAAAACCTTAATGTAATTTCAAATTTTAATTCTTTTTCTATTTTCAAAATATTATAATTTTATAATAATATAAAATACTATTAAATAATATAAAAAAAACAATAAGTTATAATTATTTTTATGAAAAGAAAAACTCAAAATAATTAAATATTTTCTTCAAATTATATTACACGTTCATTTTGAATGAATTGAAAACAAATTTAATTTATTCAATAAGTATTTTTATTTAAGTATTGTTTACACTAATTCATTTTAACTTTAATAAATAAATTCAATTTAAATATATTAGTAATGAATTATTCATCACTTTAACTTAAAAGCACTTTTAATAGAACCTAATAACAATGAACTTATTTTTTTTCAATGTCAAACAAAGTCCAAAGAACATATTACATTTATTAATCAAAAGTCTTAATAATAATTAAACAGAAAAATTAATTTAATTAAAAAAAAGTTGTGTTGGGCATTTAAATCAAGAGTATTGTATTAGTTTTAAATATTTATTTGAATACTTCAAATAGCAATTCTTCTTTACTGTGTTATAATTATATAACACCCTTATTAATTTGATATGTATTTTTCATCTTTATTTTCATAAATCGACTTTTCAATCATAAAAGTTTATTATATGATATTCGTTATAACAGATCTTTTAATAATGACATACCTTCTATGCTTCAACTATGACACTCACTATTTTTTAAAGAATAAATATGTCTAAATTCAAACCTTTGGCTGAATTAATATAAACACCTATCTCAAGTCAATAAAATAAAAAACATAAATATTGTCAAAACAGAAAAGCTAACTTAATTAGTGAACTTTAGAAATGATTTGGATAAGATCAACAAGTCTGTTGGAATATCCCCATTCATTATCGTACCATGAAACTAATTTAACAAAGTGTGGGTTCAAAAGAATAGTAGCAGCTGCATCGAAAATTGATGATCTGTTATCATGGACAAAGTCTGATGATACAACAAGGTCTTCAGTGTATCCAAGAATTCCTTTCATTTCTCCTTCTGATGCTTTCTTAATAGCAGCTTTAATTGATTCAACAGTTACTTCTTTTTCAAGTCTGCATGTTAAATCAACACATGAAACATCTGGGGTTCCAACTCTGAATGACATACCAGTAAGTTTTCCATTAAGGGATGGAATAACTTTTCCAACAGCTTTAGCTGCTCCAGTGCTAGCTGGGATAATGTTAGCACATGCACATCTACCAGCTCTCCAATCTTTTCCTGATGGTCCATCAACTGTCTTTTGAGTAGCAGTAGTAGCATGAATAGTTGTCATAAGACCTTCAACAATTCCAAATTCATTGTTAATAACTTTAGCAAGTGGTGCAAGGCAGTTGGTTGTGCATGATGCATTTGAAATAATGTTCATTTCTGGTTTGTATGCCTCAGTGTTAACTCCAACAACAAACATTGGTGCATCAGCAGATGGGGCTGAAATAATAACTTTCTTAGCTCCTCCCTTAATATGAGCTTCAGCCTTTGGAATAGTAGTGAAAACTCCTGTTGATTCAACAACATAATCAACTCCAAGTGCTCCCCATCCAATTTGAGCTGGATCTCTTTCAGCTTTGACAACAATCTTGTGTCCATTAACAATAATGGCATTTTCTCCAGCTTCAACAGTTCCTTCGAATTGTCTGTGGACGGTATCATATTTTAATAAGTAAACCATGTATTTTGGATCCATGAATGGATCGTTGATAGCAACTAATTCAAAATCTTTTCTTTCAAGAACGACTCTAGCAACGAGTCTTCCAATTCTTCCAAAACCATTAATACCGACCTTAATTGACATAATACTTAATGAATGAAAACAACAGTTCAAAGTGTTGTTTATAACTGTTGTTGCACGTGTTCAACCGTAATTTCCACGTAATGAAAACTACTATTTATATCACAAATTTTCTTATTTTTTTTTACTTTTTTAAAAATAAAAATATGTTATTTCAAATGATTCTTTAATGATGGTATTAATAAAACTTGAATCATAAATCAAATGAAATAAATCATGGTGAGAAAATCTATATAATATTTACATTTTATTTAAATGAATAAAACAAACTACAACAACATTATTTCAATAAATCAACAAAGAGAGTTTGTGTTATTTCAAAATATTCAAAAAGAATGTCCATTATTGGTTGTGTTTGACTTAGATGATACTCTTATCCATACCCACATAAATACTAATAATCTATGTATTAATTCATCAGATATATTTACAATTAGAGTTAATGAAATAAAGTATTATTGTGAAGTAAGAAAAGGAGTTGTTGAAACATTGGAAAGACTTTCAAAACAATTTCGAATTATGATTTATACTGCATCAAAAAAAGAATATGCTGATCAAGTTGTTAGTCATTTAGAAAAAAATTGTAAATTATTTTCTAAAATTCTTTATAGAGAAGATTGTCTTGAAGAAGAAGGATTTATTTATAAAACTATTCATAATATTAATTATAATGTTAAACGAATAATTTGTATTGACGATAATCCTTCTGCATGGAAAAAATTAGAAAATGTATATGTTTGTAAAAAATATAATGGAGGAATAGATGATGAAATGATAGACATTGAAAAGTTTATTAATTATTGTTCTTTTATGGATGATGTAAGAGACATAGTATTAGAACATTCATTAAATGTTGTATTTTATGTTTTTTATTCGTTTAATTTTAAATTTACAAACAAAATAACAAATAAAAATTTATTTAAGCCCAATTATGTACTGTTTTCAAAACTTTCTTTAAATCATCTTTTTGTTGTTGTGATAAATATGTAGGATTTTGAATCTTGAAATGAATTTTTAAATCTCCATAATTTCCAGGTGATTTTCTTATTGGCATACCTTTTCCTTTAATTACTTCAACATAATCAGAAGTAATAATATTTTCTATTTTCTTACTTACTTCTGAACCATCTAAGAATGGTATAGTTAATTTAAATCCAGTTAAGGATTGAAGTAAATTAATTGTTATTGTACAATGTAAATCATCTCCATCTCTTGTAAATAATGGATGTGGTATTGTTTTAATTACAAAAACAATATCTCCAGCTTCAACATTTGGTGATTCATCTCCATAACCTTCAAATCTGATTTTTGTTCCATCTTTCCATCCTGGTAAAATATTCAATTCAACTTCATTTGATTCTTGAGTTGTTGAACCATTTGAATGAGTAATATTTTTTGTAATTCTACGTGTTTTCTTACACCCAGAATATAATTCTTCTAAAGTACAATTGACATTTGAAGTTACATCTTCCCCTTTCTGTTTACCAAAACCTTCATCCATAGATGAATCATCTCCTGTATTAAATGTATATCTTCCTCCTTGTGGCATTCCAAATCCACTAAATCCTCCAAAGTCTCTTGGCATTCCTCCCATATTAAAACTTCTTTTACCTCTTCCTCCTTTTGGAACTCCACCCATTCCACCAAACATTTCATTGAATAAATCAAATGGATTAAAATCACCATTACTAGTAAATGTATATGTTCCTCCTGGAAATCCTCCTTCTCTAGCAAATCCATTACCTCCCATTCCACTCTTTAAACCATCTTCACCATAACGATCATAAATTTCTTTCTTTTTAGGATCTGATAATACTGAATAAGCTTCTGCAATCTCTTTAAATTTTTCACTTGCTTCTTCTTTATTATTTGGATTTCTATCTGGATGCCATTTTAATGCAAGCTTACGATAAGCTTTTTTCAAATCATTTTCATTAACATTTCTGTCAACTCCTAATATTTCATAATAATCTTTTCCCATGTATTTATTGTATATGTTTTTTTAGTTCACAGTTTAATGCTTTAAATATCTTTTTTATTGCTTATTAATTCATTAATCTTCACCACCTCCTAATGATGTGTTTCTTCTATTTTAGTACTTCTCTAACTGTCTTGATTCCTTTCATCTAAATCTTTTATTTTTATCTCCTCTGACGTGTGAATTGTTATCAACACGTCACCATCTTTTTTAAATTCAAAAATTACTTTTAACTTAAAATGAAAAAAAACATGTAATTCATCATTTCTATTTTTATGACTCATTTAATTGCTCCTAAATGTAGTATTTTAAATTATTAGAACCTTAAAGTATTTGTTAATAATTTTTACTCTCAGTAAAAATGTTGCTGACGTGTGTTAATACCACATCCTTTTTATAGGTTGTAGTATATTTCCATTTTGTCTAGCTTTAAATAATAACTCACTACTACTACATCTTCTTATAAAAAAACATAATCAAAAAAAATAATAGGAAATTATGCTACCCTATCAATTTTTCACACGAATAAAAAAAAAAGGAAAAAAATTATCATCTTTCTCTAACTTCTTTTTCCCCATAATGATTCTTAGAAATATCATTTCAAATTTTTTTCTTTTTAAATTAATTGTTATTAGACATAATAAAATACTTATCAATATTGAATCAAAAAAACCAATTCATTATTTTATATTTTTCATATCTTGAATAAAGTGATATTTTTCAACTTATTAGTTGAATAGATTCTTGTAATGTAATTCTTCTTTCAAACATTAGATATACTTAACGTTTTTTTTTAAATTGAACTGAGCTTTCTTAATTAAAACTCTTTAAGTTATGTATTATTTAGACTTAATAATTGGAAGAATATAAAACATATCAAATATACAAAGAACTATCTTTTTAACTGCTTTTGATACAAATTAATACTTTTAAGTAGTATTAAACAAATAATAAGTAATACCTGTTTTTTTTTATTTCATTGTTCTTATTATGAAACATTTCATTCTAAACTTCAATAGATGACTTTAAAAGAGTCTTATTAAAAAATGAAGTAGTAATTTTTAAATCTTCATCCAATTGAACATTCTTAATAGTTGTGTAATAATAATTAGTTTTATTTAAAAAGAAAAAAAAAAGTTGTTGTTCAACAAAATTAGTTAAAAGATATCTTGATCGAGTAATGAAACAATGTTTGTTGAGGTCATTGGATTTTCTTCCACTGTATCTTTCAAAATTCCATCTTCTGTACTTGTAGATTGCTGATGACTAATATTATCTTCAAGATTCAATGACACATCCTTTACACTCTTTCTACGAGCAAATTGTTCTTTGAAATATTCATCTAAAAATTCATCAATTTGTTGGAAAGTCCAACGAGCACTAGGGTCTTGATTCCAACAATTAGTAATAAGGTCAGCCATTTCTTTTGGTACAGAACTTGGAATTGCAAGTCGTTTACCTGAATTTATGAAATCGGCAATATCCCAATTGTGTTGGAATAAATCTTGATTAGAATATGGCATTGACTTACTGAGTAATTCAAATGCAACAACAGCAAATGAAAAAACATCTACTGGAGTACCATAATCACTTCCATTAATCATTTCAGGTGCCATATAAGCAGGAGTACCAACTGCTTTTGTCATTGAAGCACTTTGTTTGATAGATAAAATATTCTTTGAAGTTCCAAAATCAGATATTTTAGCAGCAAACTGAACTTTTGGTGAGAAGGAGAAAAGTAATAAATTGTCCGGTTTTAAATCTCTATGAATAATACTGTTTGCATGCAAAAATCTCATTCCTTTAGCACAATCACTAAGTACTTTAATTGCAAGTAATTGTGTAAATTCATCTTTGATGTATGCCTTTTTAACACTTCCAAATGGTGCATATTCCATAACCATCATTGTATGACCTGGTACATTAGATGATCCAATAAATTGAACAATATATTCATTTCTTATTGTTGAATATGTACTAACTTCTTGTTCAAATTGCTCTTTATCTTTTTCAGTTAATGTGGTTTTACTTTCTTTAATTGCAACCGTTTGTCCTCTATAAACTCCTTTAAATACTCCACCAAATGTTCCTTCTCCAATTAATATATCACATTGTACTTCAGTGTAATCAATATAGGGAGAAACAACACTCTCTATATTAATTGGAATACGTGCATATAATGTTTCACCTTTAGAGTCAATAGCAGAAATTGTTAAATATTCATCAGTTCTACATGTACATAACATAATAACTTCAATCGTTAATGTAACTCCAAATCCTTTTTCTAATTCACCTTCTCCATGATAAACTGTTACTTTCATTCGATGTGTTTCTGGTGCTTCAACTTTATATTTTAATGATTTTTTTGAAGGATTAGTAATAACTATTTTCTCTTGAAGTGGTTTATTAATTTCAACTGGTGCTTTTTCTGAACCAAAACGTAATTCTTCACTTCCAAATTTAAATGGGAAGTTTTCATTAAAAGTAAAATCAACTTCACTTCCATCTAATCTATATGTTTGTGGTTTATCTTCAACTGGTTTTTTAAAGAACCAAATACAAAATACAATGATAATAGCAATAATAATAAGTAATAACACAACACCAATAACACATCCAAGAATAATTCCTGCTTTAGATTTAAAGAATTTTTTTACACAAACTTTATTTGTTGGGTCATAATAATAATCATGAATACATTCACATGTTCTATCATCACATGAATCTATTATTTTTTTTGAATTTTTTATTACTTCAAACCAATCTGGTTCATTTGTTTGTGAATTAAAAGTAATAACACCACCAACATAAAATCTTTTATGATTTAGTCCAACTGCAAATCCAACAAAATCACCAACTGCTTTACCTTCATAAGACTCAAGAAGTTCAAATCTTGGAGAATACCCTGAAAGTAGATTATCAAAATAAATATAAGCTGATCCTTTTCCATTTCCACTTGTCCAAACACCAATCATAATCATACTTCCATAAACTGCCAAATTATTAGCATTTCTTGGATTATAAATAGTAGTTTTATTTAATCCATAAAAAGGTAAACTAATAGTTGCTTCTTTTTCATAATCAGTATTTTTATCAAAAACAACCATTAAGTTTTGATCAGATACTTGAACATATAAAGTATTATGTTGATTAGCTATAATTGGGTCATATTCAAATGTCTCTGATTGTGTTAAATTAGTAGAAAATTTAATGTCTTTTATTTTTCCTGCTCTACCATATTGGTCTAATTCAATTAAACTAACTGACTTTCCTTTTTTTACAAAAACATATTTATCACCTGCAGTAATATATTCTCCACATTCAGTTTTATTTTCTTGTGCTTTTTCTCCAAAAGCACTTCCACTATATACACCAAGATAATTGTCTTTACACACAAGAATAAATTCTTTATCTTTAACTTCTGGATAATCTCTTTTTTGAAATGCCATAGGACTATTAACATCAGAAAAATTTGGAGTTATTTTATAAATTGATCCCATTTGAGGTTCTATTGAATTAAATGTTCCTTCATTTAATACCATAATTATATCTCTATTACAAAATGCTTGTGGTCTAAAATTCTTTTCATCTTTAATAGTGAAAATAGTAGAACTATTTACTTTTTCTCCAAGATAAGTATCCATTCTATATTGTTTTAATGTACTATCTAATTCATTAGTTTATTATTACTTTTATTTTAGTATAAAAACAAACTATAACTCAGACCACTATTTTTATAATACAAAAAGAGATTATATCTCATTGTTGTAATTTCATTATAATGAATTTGAAACATTTGAGTCTTTCCTTCTTTTTCTGGAAGGACAAGGTCTGTTAATTTACCATATGCTACAGAAAGAATAACTACTAAATGTAATAACATGTTATTTTAAGTTCTTGAGTGATCTTTTTATTTTTTTTTCTTCTGATAATTTTTAAATTTTTCAAAATTATTTTACAATACCTTATATTATTTTATTCTATAATTTCTTTTCATTGTTTCTTTATAATTCTTCCTTTTTTAAATGTTCAATGAAACAGGAAAGAAGATGTAGTTTTATTATAAAGAAAAAATCAAAAAGTTTATGTTATAAACTTTTTTTCAGATCAATCATTTTTTTTATTATTTAAATAACTATTTAATATAAATTTCAAAAATAAAAATAAAAATTGGAGTTTATTTTTACAATGAATCAATAATAAAAAATAATTTTTTTAATTCATTGTACTTTATTATAATTATTATTATTGAATTATTCAAATAATTGTTTTATAAAACATATTTAAAAATATATTCTCAATTATTTTGTTTTAGAATGTAATTGTTTTCTTAATTCTTCATAAATTGAATCTTTAATTTGTTGTTTCTTTTGTTTATTCATTAATTTTCGAGCAACTTTCTTTTCAACTTTTTTAACTTTCTCAGTCTATTTCGTAAATAATTTATTTTTATTTAATAAATAGATATAAACAAACATCAATTGTATTATTTATTTCTATTTTTTGGTCATATTTTTTACTCATTTCTTCAATAATATCAAATTGTTCTTGTTGAGAAAGATTTTTTTTCGTTTTTTTTACTGGCTTAATACTTTCGTTTTGTTCTTCATTAAATTCGTTTTGTTGTTGGTCATTATTATCTTCATTTTCTTTTTGTTCTGTTTTTTTTTGTTTTCTTCGAGCAAATTGAGGATGTTTTCTTTTAGTTCCAACTAATTTAGGTTGAAAATGAGATGATTTACGTGTAGTATTTTTATGATTGCCTATTCGAGGCATAAGTTTTAATAATTTCTCAGTTTTAAATTTCTAATTAAACCCTTTTTTTAATAACAAAAAATCCATTCAATCAAAATAATTATCTTCCATCATTGGCATTTCAACCGTTGACTTACTCTTTGCTTGTTCTTGTCTAAGTAATTTATTTTTTGCTTTCCATTCTCGTTCTTCTTCATCATCTGAAAATTCAGGTGGTTCTCCATCTCCTTCTTCACGGTCAGTTCCTTTTCTACTTACTTCATCAACATTTACAAAATTCTTTTGAACATCTTCTACGTAAACATCTTGTCCTATGTCAGTAGTTCCATCAAAAATATAGAAAGGGTCAGTAATTTGACCAAAAATATCATCTACTTGACCAAGAAATTCTTTATCTTGTGAGTATAAAATAGTTCCATTATTAATTACTCCATAACCACCTTGAACTAAACTTTTTCCTTCAACAATTTTTACAACAGTTCCTACTTTTTTAATGAACAATGGTTTATAATTCTTATCAATTGGTATTTCAGTTGGTTCTTCTATTTTCTTTTTTCCACCAATAATTGCTCTAACTGGTGGTTCTGTAATAAGAGATCCATCAAAAGGTTGTAATTTTGGTTGATGTTCAGGTGTACAATCCATTGGAGTGATTGGTTGCATCTTTTGATATTTTGAGGGTTTATAGTTTTAAGAAAAAAAAGAAATTAATTCAAAACTAAAAATTGAGAAACAATGACTGAAAGAGAAAAAGTACATCAAGAAACTGAAGATGCTATTCACAGAGCAGATGAATTTGTTCAAACAATAGAAAGAGATATGTTATGTATTGATGATCGTATTAATGCTTTTCGTTTAAAACAACAAGGATATGAACATCTTCTTATTCATATTAATTCTATTCAATCAGCTGATAAAGAAACTCTTGTTAATATTGGAGAAGGTATTCATGTAAAAGCAGAATTTAATAAAAAAAATATGATGCTTGTTGGTATTGGTTTAGGATTTTATCTTGAAGTTTCTATTAATGAGGCAAAAGAAATTGCACAAAAACAAATTGAAAGACTTGAAATGGAAATACAACATGACCTTCTTGAATTAGCAAAGAGAAAAGCAACATTAACACTAACAAATCAAGGAAAACAACTATTAGAAAAAGGATTTTAATGAATTTTTATTGTTTTTTTTATCTAAAAGTCTAAAGAAAAATTAAAAGTAAACGCCTTTTATAATTTTTATATTTGAATTCAATGCAATAACATCTAAAGATCCACAACTACAACACAAATATTATCTTTGCTTCCCTCTTTGTATGCTTGATTCCTAATTGTTTGGGCACGAATTTCAATTGGTTGACCATTAGTCATTATGTCATGAATTTCAAGATCAGTTAATGCATCAGTTACACCATCACTCATTACACAAATGGAAATAATATCTTCTTTTGATATTATTTTGGTAGTTGGAATAGATGTCATAGGAGGATGAAGTGATCTATCACCAATACTTCTAGTTACCATAATTTGTCCATTAACACGTTTAGTACCAAACAAATTCATTACCACACCACCATTTTTAACAATCATCTCTTCTTCTTTTGGGTCAGTAGCTTTATGGTCATAAGTAATTTTTTCAATACTTTTATCTTTTCTTATTACATAAGCAGGAGAATCACCACAATTACCAACTTCAATACTATTTTGTTTAACAGCAACAATAGTAGCAGTACAACCTGCAGTTGTTTCTTTTGAAACAATATCATTTAATGATTGGAATGTATCATTAATATTTCCATGACATGAACCATATACTTGTTTTAATTTATTTCTACATAATGTAGCTGCTTCATGACCATTATGACCATCAAAAACTGCAAAAAGATCAGCACCTTCAATATTTGTGGCAACACAAATACGATCTTCATTATAATTTCTTCTTCCAGAAGTATGAGCAACAGCTGAAGTACATTGAGTAGAAGTTTCATAAACAGAGAGCTAAAAATGAGTATTTTAATACTAGTACTTTTATAATATAACAAACATCTGAACAATTAAGGTCTTCATCATCACTGTCATATTCAGTATGGTCAATGTTATTATCTGCTAAGAGTTGTGCTGTTTTTCCTTTTTCAATAAGAATTGTACTACTTTTTCTTGGTAAATGAACTTTAGCTTTTTCAGCTTGTTGACGAATAAATTCTTCTTCTGAAGAATCAGTTGAATCATCATAATCATCAAAATTATTATTGGAAGAGGAACCTTCAGAAGACATTAAAATGAACTGGAATTATTTATTCTTTTTGAAACAAATTTTTAAGACTCTTTTTTCTCTTTTTTGTATTAATTTTTAAAACTATATATATAGTTTTTCTTTAATTCTAATGAGAATTTTAGCTTTAATTATATAATTAGTATCACAAACTATCATTATTGTATAAAAAACATATTTTTATTTTATTTTTTTTTTTTGAAATTCTTTATTTGATAATTGGATTTTCTTTTTGAAGGTATTATAAAATCATTCTATTAACTTAATATTACAACTAATATGTCTTCGACAGAACTTTTCTTATTTGTTAAGGTAATTTGATTTAAAAATTCTTGTTGATTTTTCTCTGTCATTCTTCATTTTTATAAAAAAAAATGTTATAACAAAAAAAAAAAAAATAAAATGGCATTGAAAACAATTATTTAATAACCTTTTTTGTATTTTTTGTATTGATTTTAGAATTAAATATTGTGTGATTTGTTTTAAACATAAATTGAAATAATACAACCATTTTTGAAGTGAATTTTTTATAGTTAGATAAAGACATTAATCCATCATAGATGTAAGTTGTTTATAATATAAAATCAGAAGACAATAACTTTTTTATTGATAAAAAAAGTAGTTTTGAGCAAAGAACATAAAAACTTGAAAGCAATAAAGAAGAACTAAACTTACAAAAGATTTTTATTGAAAATAGAAGAAAGTCAATAAGAAAGAGAAGTGATTGATTTACATTAATTAAAAATTGAAGAAAATAGTTTAGAAGGGAGTTATTTATAAATTTAGTTAAAGATATAATTTCCAATAATTTTTTAAATCAAAAAAATAAATATAAAAAATTTATAAATAAATTAAGTGTTTATTTTGAATATATTTTAATTATTTGATGAATCTCTCTTAATTGTTTTAATGAAACTTGTGATAAATCAATTTCAACATCAGGATCTTTTGTGTTATAATTTAAATATGTTAAAATTTCAACTAATCCTTTTTCTTGAGTATTATTTAATTCTCTTATGATGTATTCTACCCAATATTCTCGTTCTTTTTTACCATTACAATCTGTCATTCCTAATAAATCGTCAATACTTACAGTATTAGTTTTTCTCATATTTGTTAATACAGTGATATATGTTGTGAATACTTTTCTCAAATACTCATCTAATGCTTTTCTATCAGTTTTTCGTTTTTGTACTTCAATGTCACATACTGGATAATTGAGACTATTCAAATAATTGATTATTCGTTGTTGAATATCACTTAATGATTGATGATATGTTATTGTTGAGTTTATAGCAAGTTCTTTAAATAAAATAAATTTATCTTCATAACTTATTTCTTTCTTTGAAAAGAAATGAAAAAGTTTAGTACTAATGATACAAAATTCTTCTTCTACACTTTTGAATAATATATCTTTTTCATAAATATCATTAAATAAAAGTTTTATTGATGGAAATAATTCAATCAAATTATCTATATAGATATATTTTCGTTGACTCTCCATAAATTAAATTATTTGAGTTATTTATTATAAAGTTTGTTAAGCATTTCAGTGATATCCTTGTTATTTCTTCGAAGAAATGTAACATACAAATCCACTCTTTTCAAAAGTATATTTATTTTTCAAGCAATGAATATTCCTTCAAATTCACTCGTTCTCTTTTCCTTCATTCTTTTTATTGACTCATTACCAAATGAAAACCAATTTTCTTTTATTTTTCTTTAAAAAATGATGATGTGTAAACTATTTATTCTTCAATAATAAATTGAAGTTAGTTATTTTTAAATAATATAATAATTCTCAAAAAAAAAAGTTTTGATTATTATTGAAATATTTAAAAAAATAAACAACTTCTTCTAATTTTATTTTTTAGAAATTTAAAGAAAAATAAATTGAAGGAATGACTTAAAATTAATTTAGATCAATAATTAATTGATTTACAATCTCAACTGCTTTAACCATTGATTCTACAACTGCAAACTCTCTTCTGGAATGGAAATTTATACCTCCTGAAAAGAAATTAATTGATTCTATTCCTTTTTCACACAACCAACAACTATCAAAACCTCCTCTAAATGGTTTTTTAATTGGGACAACACCACATCTTTTCATTGCATTTATTAAATTATCTTCTAAGACTTTACAGTCATAAAATCTTTGAATATTAGAATACATTCGTTTCATTTCAATACTCACCTTAACAGGATATTCACTCTCTACAATTTTTCCATTCTCATTCATTATTTGAACAAAATGTTGTAATTCTTTTTCATCAAAAGATCGTATAATAAAAGAACTACTTGCTTTTGTTTCATTTGCTTTACTTGAAGTACACAAAACAAACCCTTCTTTGTCTTTTGTTAATGATGGATGATTTATTGGTTTCAATTCTAAATAACGTAATAATGCACTAGGACAACATGTTCCTTCAATTTGAACAAAACAATTTATTGCATTAAAGTTTTCTGTTGAATATGTCCCTAACTCATTACCATCTAAAGAATAAGCCTTTTTTGCTTTAAGTTTGTTAATGTCTAAATGTGTTATACTTCTTCCTATTTCTTCGTCAGGAGTAAAAACTATTACTACAGGAACTTCTTTATTTTTGTACATTTCACAAATTGTCATGAGTATAGCAACAGCACATTTATCGTCTGCACCAAGTAATGTATCACCACTAGAAGTTATTATTTTTTTGCCTTGGTATTTCATTAATTCTTTAGCTGTTAATATGATGTTATTTAAAGGTAAGTGAATATCTTCTGTTCCAACAACATGAATAAGTGGTTTAATGTTTTTACCAGGAGCATCATTTGAAGTATCTACATGGCCAAAAAAAGCTAGTGTTGGAGAATTAGAAAGATATGCAAAAAGATGACCAGTTTGTGTTAATTCATTTTTAATTCCCATTTCATTTAATTCATTCTGAAGGTATTTTTCAAATTCAATTTGAGTAGGAGTAGATGGAACAGAACTAGACATTGCGTTACTAGTTGTTTCAAACTGAACGTATTTAATAAATCTTTGGACAACCACCTCCTCAATATTCATTATTTAGTTTATGAAGATTAACATTATATAAAAATAAATTAAAAAAAATTCATTTTATACTATAGAAGCTCCTCCATCAACAAGTAATGACGTTCCTGTTATAAATGAAGCTAAATTACTTCCCAAGAAAAGAACAGCATTTGCAACATCATTTACTTCTCCAACTCTTTGTAGTGGAATGTCAATGGAATGATGCATTGAATCAATTAATTCCTTCCTAATGCTTTTGTCATGTGCCATCTCTTCACCAAACCTACGTTCTAATTCTTCATCTGAAATCCATCTTTCAACAAATGTATCACCTGGACAAACAGCATTGATACGAATATTTGGTGCATATTGAAGTGCCATCATTTTAGTAATATGCATAACTGCAGCCTTACTATCACTATATCCAAAATATTGAGGGTCAGCTTTAATAGAAACATCACTACCAATATTTACTACAGCACCATAACTTTGTTCAAGTAAATTATGAAAGTGTTTTGTCATTTGCCAAACACTTTTTACATTTGTTTGATAAATTAAATCAAATGTTTCCTCAGTCAGTTCATCACAGGTGTCATAAGTAACTATTCCAGCATTATTAACAAGAAGATCTAACCTATTATACTTTTCTTGAACAATATGAACCAATGAATCATACTCTTTGAAATTAGTTACGTCAAAAGGAATAAAATCTATTTGTCCAAAATGTTTATTATTTAATTCATGTGAAATAGACTCACCTAATTCTTTTCTTCTTCCAATAAAAATAACATTACATTTTTGTTCAGTGAGTTGACGTACAATAGCTTCTCCAATTCCCGATGTTCCTCCAGTAATCAATGCAACCTTTCCTTCAAAATTCATCACTGATTAATATTACTCAGTTCATTCAAAAAATAATAAAAGAATAAAATGACAAGTACAAGTCAATTAAGTATTTCTATTTCTTATTTAATAGATGTAAACTAAGGAATAGACAACAGTCCACACAAAAATAAATGACTAATATTTATAAGTTCAATTTTATTGTTATAATATTAATAACAAACCATAATAAATGGGAAAAACGCTTCAAACAACACATCATAACTACCTTCAAATAAATCTTTTTTTGATGGCAATACTCTTAAATAAAGTAAAATTGATATCAATAAATACATCACCATCATAAAAATAAACCCTTGAATATGAACAAGTCCTAATGCACCACTTACAATTCCACATCCAATAGCTGCAATAACTTTACAACAATAAATTGTGTCTTTATTTTTTTGAATGAGTAAAGGTGAAAGAGAAGGAATTGTATTAGACATACTTGGTATTTCCTTTTTTTTAAAGTTCTTTTTTATTTTTATTTTTTTTAAAACAAAATTTAAAAATATGTTTTGTTATTAATTGGAAGAATTACATTTTCATATTGTTATTTTTTCATTATTAATTATTCAAAAGATTCAGACAACAAATAAGTCTAAACATACTTATAAATTTAAGTTATAAACATAATGAAAAGAATAAATGAGTGAGGTTGTTGATGAAATAAAACAAAAATCTAATTAAATAATCAAAAATAAGATGAGAACAAAATTAGCTTAATTATTATACATCAATGCATTTTATTTCCATTTAAGTAATGAAACAATAACACTAACGTTATCTTTAGACCCTTTTTCTAATGCATCCATCGCAATATTTTCTGCAATTATTGTTGGGGCTTTATTTAATTTCATACCAGTAATTACCCAATCAACAACATCATCATAATTTAATGTTTCATAAATACCATCACATGATATTACAAATGCCTTATCTTTCTTTGTCATTTCATAAACTTTCACATGTGGAGTAGAAATTACAGCTCCTCTTCCTCCTTTATATTGTTTATCACCTAATGATCTTGAAACGGCTAAACTACCATATACTCTTCCACCATAAACAGGAACACCAAGACTTGTAATCCTTTTCTTTTCATCTGGTAATTTTGCTTTGTGTTGAACTGAAAGTACTTCATATTGTTTTCCTTCAGAAATAACTAATACCTCTGAATCACCAACATTTGCACAAATTAAAAACCTACCAATCACCAAAACAACTGCTGCTGTACATCCTGAATTATCATAAACAGTATTACATAATATTTTATCACTTTTACTGAAAATTTCATTCATCATCTCTTCATACATTTTCTTCTTCATCAATTCACTTTTCATAAGTTCTTCTTCAACAACACTTATTGCAGCTTGTGAAGTTCCACTTCCTCCATGTCCATCAAACACTGCATAAAGTCCAAATTTAATTTTATCCTTCTTTATTTTATCTTTAACAATTTCAGTATCTTCATTTGTTGGTCGTTTACCTTGTAAAGAAATCATTCCAGTAATACATTTAACTTTTTTACTTTCTTTAAATTGATAGTTAAAGACTTTAAATGACTCTTTTTCTTCATTAACATTAATTTTTTCATTTTTTAATTTTGCCTCTTTTTCTATAACTGGATAAATTGCACGTGGAATTTTGAGTAATGAATTGGGGTCAGGAATATTAGAAACTATAATACCTACTTCCCCTGTCATAAATGGTTTACTAAATTTAAATTGTTGTTTAATAAAATTGATTTCACTAATACTACCATCGTATTCAGGAAAACAATTTTTTAATGGATATCTCTTTATTAATTCATCAAAATGCTTCTTTATAAGGAATATATACATTCCTTTACTTTCAAAGGGATGGTCAGTAGTTGTTGTTATTCGTTTCAATGTAGAAATAACTCTAAGTAAACAATTTCCTTCTGGTTCAACAAAACAATAATTGTCAAGTAAAACCGGAATAATTATTATTGAAGGATTTCCAAGTTGAATTTGATTCATGTCTAATGTTGGAGGTGGATTCCATGTAGATAAATAAATATTAACATCGTTATGAATAAATTGTGACATTTGAATTGGACTTATTGGAGGACAGTAGTATAAATCATTTATTGTAGGAATATATTCAACTGATAAAAATTTAGACATATGAGGAATTAAATATGATAAGAAATGAATATCCTCATGATATGGAGGACAATTATATTTTTGAATAATTGGATTAAACCAAATGTCTTGTATTAGAGTCATCAATTCTTTCCATGCAGGATCCATTTTAATATCAATTGAAGTATGTAATCGTTGCATAGTTTTAGAACTTTCAAGAACTTTTATTAAAGGGGTAATATCAAATGGAATAATTTCATTGTCTTCTTTTACATCTTCTACAATATCTACAAGTCTAATAATCCCTTGAATACAATGACTAACAACATGTCTTCTAAAATCAATAGTATTTAGTTTAACCTCCTTTTCACCTTTTCCAACAAAGTCAAATGCTTGGAAAAATTGATGAATTCCATGATGAGATGGTCCAGTAATGTAAATATGAAGCTCTTTATTTGGTGTTTTCATAATGACTTAACTTAATTTAAAGATGGTATTTTTAGTTTCATCAGTTTTCTTCTCTTTTAATTTATTTCCTTATCTTAGAATGTTTTATATAACAATAATATGAAAATAACAAATCAATTTATTTGCATTTTGTTTGCATGAAGGCATTCTTAATCATAGCATGATTCTTATCCATTGATTTGTAATGTTTTTCAAAATGATATAAACTAGATTTTACTGCTTTAGAAACTTTCTTATGAGCAACAGTAGATATATGTTTTCGTAATTGAATAACACGTTCTAATTTAGATTGAACTCTTCTGGCTTTGTGATTAAATCTTCTCATTATCTTTTTGCATAATTTGTGGAATTTTTGACATCTTCTCATATTAAAAACTTTTCTTGATTGACTTTTAAATTGTTGATAGAATTCTCTTGGTTTATTTCTGTATTGTCTTCTTATATCTTTCATTAATTGTCTTAAATGTCTTCTAACAGTTTTTCCTGCAACTCTTCTTTGTCTTCTTAATCTCTTTCTTTGGGTTCTTCTAATTTTTCTAATTGAACGAATTTGTTCAGCCAATGCTCTACGGATTTCAGCGGCTTGTTTTCTTAATACAACTAATTGTTTCATCATTCCTCTCTTTTCATTAATTGGTTTATTTGCCATTGTTCTTTCAATTTTTCGAATCATTTTAACTGTTTGTTTCAATTGGGTGTATAAAGCTCTAACATTATTTTGATGTTTACGACTGTATTTTTCAAACCATCTACCATTAATAAAACGATGGACTCTATGATTTACAAAACGGTCTTCTGCATTAACAGCAAGTAATACACAAAAAATTAATAACACCTTCATCTTAACTATAAAAATATATTTTTTTTTAGTTTTAAGTTCTTTTTTATAGTTCTTAAATAAGAATATTATATTTTTAAAGACATTAGACAATAAAAAGAAATTAATAATAACTAATTATCTCTTTCAGTAACTTCTACAATTTGTTTATATCAATTCAATTTATGCTTATGCCTTTTTTGTTCTATTTTGTTTGTTTTTGATAATGGTATAAATGAACGTGTTTATGAATATATTTCTACAGTTAAGTCTTCTGATAAATAAAGAAAACTTTGGGACATTTACATCAATTTCATGTTAAATTTATTGCCTAAAGATAATTTTTGTTTTTTCTTTTTGGAGTGTCAAATTAATTTGAAAAAAAAACTTGAAAAATTAAACAAAGAAAGATCATTTTGTACATCTTCTTAGGTGTTTCATTTTCTTTGTTTGAAAAGTAAGTTGGAAGTACCAGATACCTCTCTTAAGAAAGATGTTAAGAAAGCGCTTAAGTACTTTACATAATCTTTTCTCTGTATTTTGATTATAATCTCAACGGCATAGTTCATTATCAATATAAGTATGCTTCACTAGAAGTATAAATGAATTGAGAATAGAAACATTTAGTATAAATAATTTCTAGTTTTAATAAACATATGTGTGACTCAACTTCTTATCTTCTATTAGTTTTTTAAATGTTAGTATTTTTTATTTTCATAATAAATGTTTTTTTTTAAATTAATAAATTCATATTAGATTAAAATTTGAAGAAGAAAAACCTTCTCTAATACATAAAATGTATTTGTGTTAAATTTTACTGATAATTTAACTATTAAATATGTACAACTTTTGGATTAATTCTTCACATTGAATGGATTATTCATATAAGTTTATTATGACAAATAACATAAATTAAAACTATTTTTGTTAAATTCATTAATAAAAAGAAAAAGAAAATTATATAACTGCTAATAAAGTAAATATAATCCAATGTTACTACTAGTAAGTATTAATTAGAAACAGAATAGTATTTATCTTTTTTGGTTTTATGACAGATAAATTTATGTAAGTTTCATAGAACAATTTTTGAAGTTACTTGTTAAATAACAAATTTCAACAAAGAATTTTTTTATAAAAATTTTCAAAGAAAAAATTAAAAAAAAAAAAATAAGAAAAGTTCTTATTTTTTTAGTCATGCAAGAACTTATGAATGCTCTTCAAGCAAATGGTAATGAAACTATAGACAGAATAAGAAAAATTGAAGAGCGATTAGATTCACAGCAACAAATTATTGAAAAATTAACATTAGAGAATAGAAACCTTCATCATCTTTTATTTTCAATTATTAAAACAAGATTACTTGAAATTGATGATGTTTATGATGATGACATTGATTCTCAATACATTGAAAAAATGATTGGTGATAGAAATCAAAGTCTTTCTATGTTTGGTGTTTCTAGTTTTAATTATATTAATGAAGTAAGAAAAGTAGATAAACCACTTAAACCAATAACACCAGAAATACTTATTGCATGTTATAAACTAACAGAAAATGAAAGTGAAAAAACAAGTATTTTATGTGCAATTGCAAAAAATACAAAATTAGAATATTCAACTTCATTATGTGATATTCTTGTTTCACATATTGGAGATTCTAATGAAGTAAATGAAGATTTAGCAATAGATGCTTTTTGTTCAATGAAATGTAAATATAAAAATGAACAATTAATTCTTAATTTATGTCAGTGTTTAATTGAAACACCAAATGATAATCTAACAAAGAAAATGAAATTGGCATATTTAATATTAAGATATTCTGAAATAGAAGATCATTATATAAGAAAAGCTATGTTTACATCAGGAATTATTGAATATATTTGTGAAGATTATTTATCACTTCAACAATGTGGAAGTCTTGGAGTATTACTTTTAGTAATTAAAAATTTATTAGATGACCAAAGTTATACTGATTTTATTCCTTTTGAATGTGTAGAAGCTATTATTCATTCTCCTTTATGGTATGAAGATTTTCAAGATAACCAATGGAAACAATTAACTCATTTTGAACCTTTTTCATTACTAAAAAGTCTTTGTTCATCTCCTATTCAAAGGAATGTTATTAGTAGAAGTGGGTTACTTGAAGATATTTTTGAACACATAGACGTAGATAATAAAGATTGTCTTCTTATTTTATTAGAATTAAATAAAATTTGTCCTCAAGATGTTGTTGATTATACTGAAATTATAAAAGAAGCAATGAAAGACCATCAAGAAGATAAGGAATACCTTCAAACGGCAACTCATCTCCTTTGTGCAATAGCATTATCTCAGTCTTCAACTTCAAGACAATCTCATCTTGAAACTCAAAAATAAAATCACAACTAAATTTTAAGTATAAAAATACTTTTTTCTAATTCAAATAAATCTAATTTTATCATATTTCTTATTCCTTTAAATTCTTTATTAAATTAAACTATTTAATATTATAAAAAATAATTTAAATTTTTAAATTTTCTATTTTATTATTTTCTTTGGAGCAGAGATAATTTCTATTTAAATTTGTTTATATTTAGTAAACTTCACACTTGGGTAAAATTAGATGTTTTTTATTTTTCAATTACCACTAACTTGTAAACAAATTTGTATTAATTAATAAAAAAAAAACAGTTCATTAAGACAATAAACTATATGATATCTTATTAATTAAATTAGTGTCAAGTTTTTATTTTGTAAAAGTAACATTTAATATTTTATTGTAATAAAAGTTTGTATCTCTTTATTTTAATAACATCGTAAGAAGTTTTTAGAAACACTAAAAAGAACTAAAAATATTTATAATTTTTAGAAAAAAGTATCAATTAATGATACATGAAGAAAATCATAATGTTTAGTGAGACTAATCTTCAATAACAACATATTAAACTAAACTATTCTTAGTTATGTAAATTAATAATTCAAATAATTTTTTTTTGTTATGAAAAAATGATTTCGTCATGTTTTAGTAAATTAACAATTTAAACTTACTCAAACACATAACCAACAACTCCTACAATTAATTTAAATTAAAAATTGACTATTTTAAGTAGTTTTAAACTACTTTTTGTTTAACAAACATTCCACTCTAACTTATTAAAATTTTTCTTGTAATCCTCCTTAGTCTGTATAAAAATGATCAACAAATACATTAAATACAATTCTTTTTATATACAAACTAAAATAATTATTTATCTTAACTGTAAATAAATAAAGTATAGACTAAAATTTAATTAGACTTAAGCAAAACACTTAAAGAAAGCGTAAATCACACCTCCAATCCAGCAACAAATAAGCCATAATAATAAGCAAATAATGAAGTCCATTCCAACTTCTTTAGTCTTCCACCAAATAGCCAATGGTGGAATAAAGATACAAAGGATGATAATGATAATGTCGTCGTCTCCCATAACCTAAACTGAGTGAATATTTAGTAATTTCAGATACTTTATTAGTGATATGCCACGTCATTTTCTAATTTAAGTTTATAAGTAACTAATTTGCCACACCTTGGAAATACTAAAATTAACACCTTCTTGATTTTTATTGTTTAACTCATTCTTCTTTTTCTCTTTTTTAAAAAAAAACATTCAAAAAGTTCTTACAAAAACTAACATTAACGAAAAAAAAATCATCTACTAATGGAATGGGACTTGGAAATAACTAAATGCAAGCACAATTGGTGAACCTGATATCTTATTTGTTGAGTAATAGAAACAACACCAAAGACTATGTTGATTATTAATAGTATTAGGTAAATTAATATGAAATAAAATAACACCATCTTCTAAAGGATATTTATATATTTTTTCATGTGTTTGTTCAAGATGTTCTTTTAACTTAGGTGATGGTTGTTGTGTAATCACTATAGTGTCTCCTTTATGTGAACGTTCATTCAATTTTATGAAAAGAGAGTTATAATTAACGACTTGTAAATAAAGTTGTTGAAGTGAAAATTGAATTTTTATTGATTTCACATTTTCTGTTCCTTTCTTTAAATGAATTTGATAATATCCTTTTTGTTGAAGTTCAAATGAAGACTTTGTTTTTCCTTCAGACAAACAACTGAATGTAGGATAATTTTGAATAGCCTCTTTTTGGTTATAGAGAGTCAAAGAAATATATAATTTACCAGCGTATTGAGGTAAAACACTAACTGAGAACTCAACAACATTTCCTTTCATATTAACCTCAAATGGAGTTTGTTCAGCAATATACTGCAATCCATAATAGTTAATTTCATTATCAAGTTGAGTTATTTCATCTTTTCCATTGGTTTCAGAAGATTCAAAATAATTTGATAATAAACTATTCATTAATGATGTTTAAAATATTTACTATGAAATAAAGTTCTTTCTAAAACCATAAAAAATTCAAAATAAAAGAACATAAAGATACTTTTTATTTTCAAATACTACATGAATTACTAACAAAAATATTTAAAAATAATTTTTATTTAACCTTATAATCCAACAAAAATAAACTTTATATATTTTAAAATTCTTTAAATAATTGATTAATCACTTTACACTACTATTTCAGTTTTATGATAAAATATATTTGATTTGTTCTATTGAAATTTATCTAATGATAAAGTTTATGATAAAAAAAAACAATATTTATGTATTTTTATTATTTATCAGTATATATTTTTGTTTTTCTTATTTTTATTCTTTTTAAGATCTTTATTGGAATATTCCATTTTTAATTCATTTTTATTTTGTTATTATCAATATTTTTGTTATTCATTGTAAAATTCATGTGAATGTGTTTGATTTTATTCATTCTTAAATGAAAGGAAATACTTGGAAATACAAAGAGAGTCAATAAAGTTAGGAACCAATCAAAAGTAATACAAATAATTTTGAATAGTGTTTTAATTAATACAATGAATTAGATTAATAAATCATTCTGTTGTTAATCAAAGTAATAGTAAAAATAATGAAATTAAAACAAAACAAAATATGATTTGAATAAAAAACAAAAAATTGATTTAAATAAAAAAATGATATTAACATATTCTAAACAAACTATAAAGCATAAAATTGAGTGTATTAGAAAAACAAATAAACTACATTATTTTGTCCAAACAAAAATTATATTTTCTTTAAAATATCCAGTAATAAAGTAAATAATTAGGAAAATACTACAATAAAAAAAACAAATTATAAATATTTAATAAACTTAAAATAATTTTTTTTTCATAAAATAATCAGAGAAAGTTATATCTTTAGTATTATTTTTACTATAATTCTATATATTCTCTTGAATTTTTCAACAAGTAACTTTACTTGTTATAATACTATTTTTCAAATAAAATAAAATTAAAGTCATTTATAACAACAAAAAAGTTAAAAACTAGAAAAAAATTTATTAAACATCATTTTCTTTAATAAAGAGATTTAACGAAATCTTAAAATAAAAATTCAAATACCAATGAGTAAACCAAATAACACATATGAATCTACCATTGATGACTTTACTTATTCAAGTAGTCTAGTTAGAATTCTTGCATTAAAATATGATTCTTTTATTTCTAATTTGATTAAATCACCAGAACAAATTCAGATAAAAGGTATTGAACAAGATGAGGATTATATTGAATTTAAATATCACTACCAAAAACTCAGTAATGAAAGAAAAAAAGAGTTAATTGATACATTTAAAACACAGGTCTATTTATCTAATTTAGCTTCATTACCATTAGAGATTTCAATTAAAGTATCTTTACAAGAGTATTATAACAATACTTTGAAAGTGATTAGAGTTTCAAGTATATTAAAAGGAACTTATCAAATCAAAATTCCTATAGGATATGATTCTCCAAATCCTATATTCTTTGACTCAGTTACCATTAAAATTGATGTACAGTATCCAGACGATTGGGCATGTGATGGTTTGGATATTATTCATTACGTCTCAGATGAGGAACTTCAAAACAGGTCTTTTGTTTTCTTGTCTGGAAAAACACTTTCTCTTGCAAGATTCAACAAAGAAATGATAGTACCCGGTTATGGACTTCGTTCAAAAAAAGGTACTGGAAAGCTAATTTTAAAATCTAAAACTAAAGCACCAGACTACTCTAATAGTTCTTCATGTAAAACTCCAACTGCAACAAATACCAAAAGTGTAAATCATCCATTAAATGAAAGTGGTACTATAACACAAACACAAAAAACAAATGGTAATTCGGATAAACCAGGGTCAGTTGAAATAAAAAGTAGTGTTAGTGTCTACCCTCAAACAAATAAAAATAATGATCAAGACATTAAACATTTACCTGATGGTGCTGCTATATATGAAGTAGATAAGTTTAAAGATGAAGTTAAGAAAAACCACAAGACTTATTATATGTTCACTTTAAAAGACTTCTTTTTGAAATTAAAGATAAATGTTCATACAGATTATCACAAAGAAATAAATAATAAAGAATGTTTTAAAAAAATAAGAATCGAGGATGAAACTGTTTTATATGATGTTCTTTTTGGTGGTGCTTTTGATACAAAGGAAGATGCAATGGAATTTCTAGATGCTAAATTATTCAAAGACTTCAACCTAAAACAAAGTCTTGATGAAGGTAAAGCTGTGTCTGGTGATGAATATGCCGTTTTAGAAAAACATTACTTTGAAACAGAATTTGGATTTATTCCTCTAGTTTATCCTATTCCAAAGGAGTACAGAAAGCAAGAATACAAGTTTTTTGTATTTTTTAATTATCTCCACCCATCTAACGAAATTTATCCAGTTCTTATACGTAAATTGGAGAATTATTATTAAATACAATTAGTGATTTTCCTTTCTATTTTTTTGGATGTTTGTTTATCAGTAACTCTTAAAAAAGGTGTTGAGTAAAAATTACAAAGAAGCATAGTATGAATGTAACTATATTAGAATTGAAATGGAATTAATTAGTGTTATTTTATTATGAGGAGAAAGGAATTTTTCATAGAACAAGTCTAAACTTTGATTAAAACAACTCTTTATATGCTATTATAAATATAAGGAATTTTTGAATAAAAGATGATAAGTTGAGTCATATGTATTATATTTAACTATCATTTTATAGAGAGAAGGTAATTTTGGTAACTTATATAAAAGAAATTCATCACATTAATTTTCAAAAGAAGAAAAAAGCAAGAAAAGAAAAAGTATTATAAAATAGTTAAAAATATCAACAAACTCATTTAAAAAAGAGTTGTTTTAAGAAAGTGTATTGAATAAAAATAATAAAATATTGTGAGGATTTTTAATAAGTAAGCAAGGTTTGAAAATAGATAAATGTCATAAAATTAATAATTAAATTAAGTTAAATCATTTTTTACTTAATATAATTTTTGGAGGATAATAAAGTTTAAGAAGATATTATTTTGTTGATAATAAAACTTAACTCAAATAGAATCAGAAAGGCAATTTGAAATTTTTTATTTAGAAAATAGAAAGAGAATTATAATTTTGATCTGATTATAATAAAAGTCTAATATTAATAATGAAATGTATAATATTGATAAATATCATTATAATAACTTTATATTTTTTATAAAAAAATGAAAGATTTTTAGAACAAAATTTTCATTTGTTTATTAAAGGCATCATTCAAACATTTTTTATTGATTTCTCCAACAAGACGACCATTACTTGTAACAAAAGCAGATTCTACTTGGGCAGCAATAAAAAGCATATGAACTTCACTTAAAGGAGTATGTCTTAATAATAACAAAGGACATTCTTTATAATTAAGTAAAAACTTACCATTAAGTTTATTAGAAAGTTGAGAATCTAAAACTTTTCTAATAGAACTTAACTTTATTTGTCCTAGAAGGATTCCTCCTTCTTTACTATTAATAACAGGAATAATTTTTTCTTTTAAAGTATTATAATGTTCTGTGATATCTTTTAAATCTTCAATTGTAGTAAATTCTGAAACAGGAAACATGTTTTCATCCATTACCATTTCTGCTGTTTGATGAATTGAATATTGAATATCAGGAATAAACGGTAATTTCTTTGATATAGCAATTTTATCATAAATACCTTCTGTGAAAAATCTTGATAATGAAATTGTTACAACAGTAGCAAGTAGAATAGGAAGTAATAATTGGTTATTATCAATAGACTCTAATATAACTACTGTCGCACTAAATGTTTGTGTAATTGATGCTACAAAACAAGCTCCTCCTATAATAGCAATTCCTCCAGGACCTAAATTATTATAAATTCCTAATTCATTAATAATTTCTCCAATTAAACGTCCAAGAACTGCACCTACAACTACATTAGTAGAGAAAAGACCAACTGGTACTGGTAATGAAATTGAAAATGCAGTGATAGTAAAACGAGCAACAAAATATACTGCTAAAACAGTGATATAATGAGGACCAAAGACAGGTTCAATTGATTTATTTCCAAATAAATATCCTAATGTTACATTAACTGAATAACCAAAACCATTATATTTATTTTTCCATGGAGCAGTAACAACACCAGTAAGAGTAGCAAAGATAATAAAATACAAATAAGGAATTCTTCCCAAATAAAATTTACGTAAATATGCACGTGTTACAAAAATAGTTCCTGTTGCATTAGTAAATAAAATAGCAAATACCCCACAAATAATACCAATAATAAGAGCAATAATAGCTTCTTTTATTCCTGGTGGTTCAAATGTATATGAAATTGCCATTACTCCAGTAAATAATCCATCTCTTCCTTTATAAATGTTTGTTACAGCTCTAAATGTAAAGGCTGATATAACTGATGTGAAAATAGCAAACCAATAATTTCTAACAGGATAATAAGTTGCAGTGACTTCAACTGAGAATAATAATCCTCCAATAGGACAACCAAAAGTAGAAGCAACACCACATCCAGAAGCAATTGCTAACATATGAACAAATAATTCTTTATTTTCTCTAATGAAATGGAAAAAAGGAAGATGTGCCAATTGTGCAGCAATACAAGAACAAATGTGAATTGAAGGTCCAACTTTTCTATTCTAAATAAGTATTATATTAATGTTTTTATAAACATAGATTTTCTTTTTAAATACCAACAAAAATAAAATAACAAACCCACACCATAATCCACTTCCAATAGCAAAAATTAACCCAATTACTTTAGCTATTAATGTTCTCATTGTTAAAAAATTGGGGAAATGGTTTCCTAATAATGTCACTTTCATTTCTGGGACTCCAGATCCATTAGCTGTTGGTGAAACATACTTTGTAAATAAAAATGCACAAGTTCCACCACATATTGTAAAAAGAATCCAGATAATAATTTTATAATATGAAGCATCAAACAATAGTAACAACCAATTCTTTAATTTAGAAATTTGGTCAATACAAATATCCATAGTAGTTCCTGTTAGTCCTCCAAGAAGACCAAGCATAAACAAATAAAGTGCAACAACATGAATCAAAGTTCCTTTAAATCCGAATACTTGGAACAAGCAAATTTTTTTAATCTTTGCCATTGTCCCTTCATTTTGTACAACTTGTTTTTTTGGTTCTCTTGAGATTCTGACTAAAGAAGATTCAGAGTTATCACCCTAAAACGATCAGAACTTATTTATTTTTCAATTAATTCTTTATTACATAAACAAACATCAATTTCATAAAATTCTTCTGGTACTGGTGATTCTTCAGTAACAAGTTTTTCTAACTCTGTTTCTTTCTCTTCATCTACTGAAGGATTATAAGAAATAGAGGGTAAATTTTGTTCCATTCGGAATATATTTATATTTACTAGTTCTATTAATGAAAAACCAAAAAAAAAATTATTAGGTTCCTTAATTTAGCATAATACCTTCAACTTAATACAACTGCATTACTTAATTAAAAAATTTGTGACCTATTTAAAGCTGTCTTTTAAAAACTTGTCTTAGAGATAGTCATTTTTAAAGTCTAAACCATTTGGTTTATTCGTTTTTTTAATATTCATTTTTTTCATCATTGAAATAAAAATGAAACATTTTATATCTTTCCAAATTTTTGATTTATAAAACAAAATATAATACTAATTTTTCTTTGTTTGGTTGGTTTATTAATTTCTATTTTTTGGCAGTTCAGGAAATACTAAAACATATGAAAATGAATTTCTTATTTAAACATAAGATTAATAATATAATAGAAGTACTTTAATTGTATGTATATTTAAAAGAAATAAACTTCTCATATATTTCTTTTGGAACTATTCTATCTTGTGTTTAGTAATTTATTATGAATAAAGAGATATAAAAGATGTAATTGTTTTGCATTTTAAATTAACTTTGATAATAAACACATTTCGTAAGAATGAAGAAAAAATCTTTTTTTAGTGTACAAATTCAAAAGAATAATTATTATTATAAAAGAAGTTTTATTTAATAAGAATGTGTTATTAAATATTATTTGTTAAGATATAAACAATATGTAAATTAAATGAAAGTTTTAATGAGAGGAGAATGGTAGATAATAACAAAATTTTATGAAAGGATGGATATTCAAATAAAATGAAAAACCTAAAAAAAAACTAAAAAAAGGAGGATGTTAAGTATTTATCCAATTAATAATGATTTAAATAATACAATTCCTCTTTTATCACAAAATCAAATTAACATTTTATCATCTTTACCAAAAAAGCCATTGTATGACCTTTATACTCAACAATACTCATTTATTACAAATTACTTTGAAATTCATTTTAGTAAAATTCACTTTATTAGTTATAAAGCTAAGTTTATTCCAAATACTCTTAATTCTTCACTTAAAAGAGCACTTTTAATTGCACATTTTAATTCAATTGGATTACATAAAATTATAACTGATGGTTGTACTGTTTCATTACCAGAAATAATTATTGAAGAACATTGTCACTTTTCAATTCATTCAAAGAACAATGTTGTATATATAGTTGATTTAATACCAATTCAAAGTAATGTATTTACAACTCAGAAAGCTAATATTTTATTAAAATCAATATTTGTAGAAGACACTAATTCTATTGTCTCTTTTAAAAAAAGTTTTTATGATACTTCTAAAACAATTGAATTAAATACTTCTGATGGGAAATTGAAAATATTAAATGGGTTTTCATCAACGTTACGTATATTTGGAAATCAAACATTTCTTGTTGTAAATTCATCTCATAAAATATTTCAAATAAAAACATTTTTACAATTTATGGAAAATAAAGGTGTTGAACAAATCAAATTTGAATTTAAACCAATGTCTTTATTTAATTCATTAACAAAAAAATTAGTAAAAATTGATTCTATTGATTTTTCTAAAACACCATTACATACTTTTAAACTTAAAGATGGAAAAGAAATATCATTTATAGATTATTATAAGTCAAAGTACGGAGTAATTATTAAAAATACAGAACAACCTTTACTTGTACAAAATAATCCTTTCTTTAATGAAAATAACAATTCAAATGAATTTAGTTATTTTATTCCAGAATTTATGTATATGACTGGACTTTCTTCAAAAATGAAATCAGACAAGAAATTATTAGTTGAACTTGAAAATATTTTTTATAAACCCCCAAATATTAAATTAGAAAATATTCTAAGTCTTGTTTCACAATATATTTGTAAACTTCCTAGTCTTAATTTATGGAATATTACTATCAATCCTATTCCTTTAAAAATTATGGGGTTTAGACTAGAAAGACCTCAATTAATATTTAGAGATTCACTTCTAAGATTATCAACATTAAAAGAATGGAAATATGATATTAGAAATAAATTATTATATAACCCTGTAAATATTACTAAATGGTGTGCTCTTGTTCCTACACAATACCTTGATTATTTCACTCGTTTTGAACAAATTTTACATCAATTTCATACAAAAATACATATTGAATATACATCACCAAAAATTATTAAAATGATTGGTCTTTCACTTGATGATTATTTTAATGAAATTTTAAACTACAAAATTGTATTTGTTGTCATTTTAAATGATTCATTATATGAAGATATTAAACGAAAATGTTTTGATAAAGAAATTATTACTCAATGTATTCATCCAGACACATTAAAAAAACAGAATTTATTTCCAATTGTAAGTCAAATAACATATCAAATTCAATCAAAAATAGGAGGTATTCCTTGGGATGTTTTAACTAATAATAAATTTATTAAAACTATGATTATTGGTATTGCTGTAACACCATATGATGATAATAAAGAATGTATTTCACTTGTTTCATCTATGAAATATAATTCATTTGCTACAAGAAAAAAATATTCAGCTATTGAAACAAAAGGAAGTGGGAATGCAGGATATAATAGTCAAATATTAATTCAAAAAGCATTAGATGATTGGTACAAAGAAAATTTAAAATATCCTTCTAATATTATTATTTATAGAAAGGCAAATAAAACTTCATTATTAAAAATTAAAGAAGGAGAATTAAATCTTTTAAAACAAATCATTAACTCAAAAAGTATTTCTATTAAACTTTTGTATTTTATTGTTTCATGTAGAAATGATATCAAAGTATTTAGTCAAAATTATCAAAGTTATTTTAATCCTCAACCTGGAACGATTATTTGTGATACTATCTTTGAACATGATAATTTTGAATTTTATTTGATAAGTCATATACCAATAAAAGGTGTTGTTCGTCCTGTTCTTTATACTTCACTTTATAATTCAACTGAATTTACCCAACAACAAATATATCAAATTACATTTGATTTATGTCATTTACATTATTCAGTACTATCTTCTATTTATACACCTGCTCATTTATTTGAAGCAAATGAATTAAGCCATGTTTTAAATAAATGTGGTTATACTAAAACTACTTTTACACAAAGATTTAACAGTAAAAAGAACCAATTAAAAAGACAACGCTTTGGAATAGAAAAAGAACAAAACCATGACAAATATTCATTTGACAAAAAAAAATTAAAACAAATGAAAATAGAATATAAAATAACTTCTGAAGAAATTCTAAATTCGTTTTCTACTTCTTCAGATACTCTTCTTCCTCAAATGTCTGAAGACTTTAACAATCAAATAACACAAAAAAAACCACATCTTTCTAAAATCCTTTTAGAAAAAGAACCAAAAAAGTTTAACACTACTACACATAAAAAGAAAGAAAATAAAAGGGCTTTTTCATTAGAAGAAATTAATACAGTTAGAAAAGGTACTCCTATTTCAAAACCAGAAGAACATTCTGACTTGAGTTTTAGTTATGGAGTTATGACAGATGAGTCATTTACTGACAATGACTACTACGATATTAGTTCACATCCTTATTATTAATATATGTTTTATATATCACATTTAAACTTTCATATAAAAGAACTGTAAAGAAACTGAATAATAGAAACTCTTCATACCTTCAAAAACTATAAACTCAAAAAAACAATGATAAAAAAAGAAAGAAAGAAGAATAGTAAAACATAATAAAAATAATAATAAAAAATAATAAAATTAAAACATAAAGGAGAAAAGAAAAAAATAGATGACACGTAATAAACTCAATTAAAAGCAAAAAAGAACAAGAACTAATAAGTTCAGAATGGTTGAAGTAGAAATTGTTGAAAAAGAGAAATTCCAAGAAATTATGTCTAAAATTCGTAATGAAAATGAAAAGACTAATTGGATTTGTTTAACTTATGAAGGACCAAAGAGTAAAAAACTCGTTATTGCTGGTTCTGGTGAAGGAGGAGTTGATGAATTGAAAACACTTTTCAAAGATACTGGAATTTACTTTGCATTTGCTAGAGATTTTGATAAAATTGATGATTCTATTTGTGTTAAATTTGCTTTCATTGAATTCATTGGTGATAAATCTCCAAGACTTCAAAAGGCTGGTGTTGGAATGCAACTTAGTTCAATTCAAGATCAATTTGGACAATTCCATATTACTCATATGTGTTCAGACCTTGAAGATGTTTCTGCAGAAATTATCTTAGCTAAGATGAAGAATGCTTCAGGATCAGCTTCACACGTTCTTTAAACGATTTGAATTCATTTATTTTAAATAAATTTTTATTTTTTTTTTTTTTATTAATAAAGAATTATTTTTTTTATTGCTTCATTTATTTTTATAAATTTAATAAAAAATATTAATAACAAAAAAACCAATAAAAAAATGATTACTCAGCAACGAGTTATGCAACGCTTAGAAGAGATCACCAAATCCTCCGAAGTCTTCCTCTTCTTCTTCTTCTTTTTTCTCTTCTTTCTTTTCTTCAGCTTTGGTTTCAGTTTGAGCAGCAGCACCAGCAGCTGGGGCAGCAGCGGCAACAGCCATTGATCCCATTTGTTTCTTTCCAGCTTCAATAACTTCCCAAACATTCTTACCGTTCATGGCATCAAAAACTTGTTTGATTTTAGCTTCATCGATTTCAGCACCAGCAGCAGTAAGGATTTCCTTGACTTTAGCTTCTTCAGCGTTTTCATGTCCAATAGTGCAAAGAATATAAGCAGCGATGTATTGCATGTTCGTGCTAAGTTATTTGTTAAAAAGGGTTTCCTTTAACAGATAACGAGGGTTATTCTCTTCTTTTTCATTTTTATTATATCTTTTAGTTAATATATTATTAATTATATTTAATTTTATTTCTTGTCTTTGTTTCTTAAAAATGATTTAAATAACAAAAGTCTGAAAAATTAGATGTGTTATTAGTCAGAATGATATACTGGCACAGGTCTTGTTGGTGGGATATGAGCAGCTGGAAGTCCTGATGGATCTTCTTCATCTCCATTATCGTCCCAATCAATAATAATACCTGCTGCTTTTTGTTTGTCAATTTCTTCTTGAGTAACAGCAACAGGTTGTTCAACTGGAACAATTCCCTCAGTAATAGTTGGTTGAGCAATTCCTTTAAACCATGGATGGCATAATGCTTGTTCAGCATTCATTCTTAAACGAGGGTCTGGATATAAACATCGAATAACAAAGTCACGAGCTTCATTAGAAATATGCTTCCAATCATCAGAATCAAAAACAATTTCACCACTTTGCATTTGTTCAACATTTTCAGCAATTGTATCACCATCAAATGGAAGATATCCACAAAGACATACATATAACATGACTCCAACTGACCACATATCAACTTGATATGAATATTCTGTAGCTCCCATTAAAATTTCTGGTGCAGCATAGTCTTGAGTTCCACAAGGAGTTTTCAATGGCTCATTTTGGAAACACTTAGCAAATCCAAAATCACCTAATCTACAAGTTAATCCAGCATCACCAACCATTAATATATTTTCTGGTTTAATATCTCTATGTGCAATACAATGAGAGTGCAAATAATATAAAGCAGAAACAACTTGATAAATAACCCATCTTGCTTCTACCTCTGGAATTCCTGACTCACATTTACTAACGCGAGAAAACAAAGTTCCTCCTGGTAACAATTCCATAACAATAGAAATATTAATATCACTTTCAAAGACATCAAAAACTTTCATAATAGCAACATGTTGTGCAGCTCTTGCAATTTCAATTTCTCGAATTAACAATTTAGTTTCTTCAGGTTTAACTAATCTTTTGTCAATCACTTTTACTGCACATAACTCACCAGTTGGAATAGCTCGTGCTTTTCTAACTACTGCAAATGCTCCCCTTCCAAGTTCTTCTCCAAGTAAAAAGAAGTCTTCAATAATTCTATTTCTTCTTTCATCATCTTTTGGGAATAACAAATATTTTTTTTCTTCTTCAATGAAGTCCTTCTTTTCTTTAAAATTAGGTGGTAATCTTTTATGAAGGTTCTTTTTCTTTGTTAATTCCATTTGTCTTTTCCTCTCTTTCTTCTTCATAACCATTTTAGCTTGTTTTCCTTTTAATCCACTAATTCCTTCAGTTACAATTTTTGACAACTTTGCACTTTTCTCTTTAAAGGCACTTGCAAATGTCTTCTTGAACGACTTCATCTTTGTAAAATAATAGTTCTTCTAAATTTGTTTCTGCTCCAAAACTATATTAATCTCATAATCATTTATTTTTTATATTTTGTGTTATTAACTAAAAAGCCTATTTTTAGACTATATTTATGTTTTTTATAACTAAAAAATATTCAATTATTTCTTTGTTTCAAACCTTTTATGCTCTAAGATAAATACTGAAACTAATGAAATAAGTATCAATATAAATAAAATGATACTTTGTAATAAACGGTACCATTGTTCCCATGGTACTATTTTTAATAGAAAAATGAATAATGGAAATCCTAATCCTGAGACTAAGCTTTGAACTGAATAAAATATTGAAAATGCAGCATCACTTTCAAATTGAAAATATTTACCAAGTAAAGCATCTATTTGAGTATTAAATCCACCATCTGAAATTGCAATACAAATTATAGCAGTGAATAAGAGTATTGGTACTGGTGCTATATCTGTGAGTAATGAGTAGAAAAAACTAATTTAAAAACAAACGGTTCAAGAAGTAGTGAATAATGATGCTTATCAAACCAAGAACCATAACAAATCCAGAAATAGATAAAACAATAAATTTCCCTATCATATCACCTAGTTTTCCAAAAATTAATGAGATAATCATATTTATTGTTCCAAAAATACACATTGCAATCGTAACATATTCAACACCAAACATTGCTGTTACTTCTCCATAAATATAACACTGACTTAAACCAGAATAAATAAAGATAGGTAGCATCAATAGTAAATTCCATGAAACAAGAACTTTTTTTATACTTCTTAAATCTGTTTTGAGACTTACTTTTTCTATTTCTGGAAGTACATTCATTCTATTTTTTTAAATTAACGGATATTCAAAGAAAAGAAACAAACAAACTTAATAAAAAGAAATGGAATAATACCAATAAGACAAAGAGAAGAAAAAATAATAAATAGATATTTTAAATCTAATCCAGACAAAGTCATAACATATGCAAATCCATTTCCAAGTGTTTGATTCAATTGATAAACAAAAAAGAATATTCCAGAGTTTCTACCTCTTTTTTCTGGTTTAGAACATCTAGTTAACAAACTTCCTTGTGCACACCAAGTAAGACTCTGTCCAAATCCTACAAAGAAACTAAATATAATCAATAAATAACTCTTTTGGAATATATTTACTAATAAGAATGGAATGATACAAAGTCCTCCAATAATAAGACACCAACGCTCTCCAATTCTTCTGAGAATCAAAGGAACGATAAATCCACTAACTGCAAAAGTAAAATAAATAATTGATAGAGAAACCATTCCATAATTACCATATAAACTAGTCATAAAGTTTTCAGTTGTATTATAAGAAATATATATTATTAAAAATCCAACACCAAGCATTATAATATTGAACATTCTCCATTTCCAATTTTTTGGTGTATCTATAGAATTAGTAATTAAACTTTGTTCTTCAGACATTTTTATATTATTTATATAACCAAAACAAGTATTTAAGTACTTAAATATCAGTACCTTATGGGGTTTGATCCAGCCCTTGTAAAAAACCCTAAAATCGTTACAAGAATATCATGATTGGATGATTACATCTCAAAACACTACAAATCCCAAAATAAAAAGCCACGTGTTTTTTTTAACTAATAAATCATAATAAAGAGATATAAATTAAATGAAGAAAAGTATAAAAACAAATAAATAAAAATAAAGTTATATTATAATAAAATAAAAAAATCAATTATTAATATACTTCATATTTGGAGATTATTTCAGTTTCTTCAATAGTCTAATTCTATCACACAACTCATTTCTAATATTCTCAAGTTAGAAGACAACTCTTCAAATGTAATTCCGAGAGTTATTATAAAACATAAAAAGTTAAAGAAAAACAAAAAAAAAATGAAAATTAGCACTTATTTATTTGGCTACAAGCAGTTATTGGTGTAACTCCTTCTTCAAACACACGAGAGCCAAGTTCTATTAAAGTTCTGTAGCAAGTGGTTGGATATTTTGATTTACGACAAAGGTTGTCCATTGATTTCATTACAACAATAGTACTAAATCCGTCATACTTTTTCTTCTTTAATGCAACACGAGCTAAGTTAGTACACATCTCACATTGACTTTTTTGTTTAATTCCATCATCAACTCCTTGAGTAACCTTCATCACTAAATCACTAAATTTACCCATTTGAATTTGAAGTTCATTAATAGCATCAGCAGTCTTTATAATTTCATTATTTGTATCATATAATTGATTTTTCTTTTCATTATCTTCTTCTCCATTAATAAGAGTTTGATTTATTTCTTTTTCTAGTTTATCTTTTAATACAATTAATTTGGCATGTTGGACTTGATGAGATTGAATAGTAGCTTCAGAAATTCCTCTAATAACACCAGCAGTTCTAAGCAATGATGATGATGCTTTTCTTAAAACAAATTCTTCTTTTTGTTTTTTAATAGTCATTAAATTGATACTTGTTTTTAATTCATCCCTCTTTGTTTCAATTTTTTCTTTCATATCTCCATTACTAACAATATTTCCTAATTCTCTCATAACTTTTTGAGCTTGAGATATTCTTTCTTTAAGAGAATTAATGTGTCGTTTTAATAAAACAATTTTCTTAATTCTTTTAACTCCACCTCTCAAAACTTTATTTAGTCTAGAAATTCCAACTTTTCTCTTTTTTTCTAATGCAATTTGATGATTCTTGTTAGCTCTAATTTTCATTCTTTCAATTTTCATCTTTAACATTGCTTTAATATCATTGACCTTTCCTCCTTTTCTACCATTTAATACTTGTAATTTATTTTGAACTACATGAATTCTCTTTTTCAAATTTCTTTCTCTGATTTTAGCTTCTTCTTCTCTAATTTTATTAATTTCTTTAACTTCAGCTTCCATAGAATTAGCTTCTTGTTCTGCTTTTTTCAAAAGAGTTTTAACTTGTTTTAATTCAGTTTTATACTCTTTTTCTAATCTGTCAATTTGAGGAATTAATTTAACTAATTTTTCTGAACTATTATATTTTTTCCTTCTAACAACTAATCTTGCTAATTTCTTCTTAATAAGTCTTTCTTTTTTACTAAATAAAATAACTTTTCTTTCACTTCTTTTACTTGCTCGAATAATTGAATTTCTTAACCTACGATTAATACTTTTAATACTTCTATCAACTCTTCTAATTCTTCTTGATAATACTTTAATTTTTCTTAACAAAACTTGTCTTTTACCTCTACTATTTTCTTGACTTAATTTCTTTTCATTTAATGTCATAATTCTTCTTAATACAACTATTCTCTTTTCTAATATAGTTTTTCTAGTGGCAATATGTTTTTTCTTTTCTTCATATTTCTTTCTACGTTCTTCAAAATATTGATGAATTCCATTTTGTGCATTTTGATATTTATCTTTTGTATCTTTAATTTCATTAATTATTTCAGTCATTCTCTTTTTTAAATCTGCAATCTTTTCTGGTGATTCTTCATTTAATAATACTTTTCTTTCAATTTTATTATACCTCTTCTTTAAGTTTTTAATTGTTGATCTTAATTTATCTCTTTCATCTTTCATATCCATCATTCTTTGTCTACTAATCCTACCTTCAATATTTCTTTTCTTAGCATTATATGCAATAGTAGCTCTATTAATTTTTCTTTTAAGAGCTCTTAACATAAGAGTATTTTGTCTAACTCTAATTT